GACCAGTCTCTTCGGGTGACGGATATCTACATTCTTACAAAATTTCAATACTGTATGTTATTTCGTTTTTGAATTATGGTGTTGAATCTGAAGAAGAAGGAGAAGAAGAAGATGAACAAAACTCCCTATCATAGCCCCATACATCTATGATGCTAGGTACCATGCCAATCCCTATATACTAAGTACTACCGTCCTTAGTGATTTTGCCATGTGGCTTTTGTGATGGACTTCTTTGAGTTCCTGCTTGCAACATCGCTAAAGCACCTAAAGAGGCATGTTTTAGCAGTTGAGAACTCCCACATTAACTCTCGGTGCATTAAGCCTTGCTACAACGACAGCAAAATGGGTCCAGATGTTCGATAATTTTAATTCAGGATCTCATATTGACCTAGAAGTTACTGACCAGCACTGTCTCTGCCTTGTGTCCTCGTCTAGAAACCTTCACGCTGCTTTCAGGTTATATTTTTTATAGCCTGGTTCCAGGTGTTTACTTTGATCTTTTGACAAGTTAGATCCACCCTAGACAAGCTGCTGTGCATGTATCTGATATGTGCACTCACCACAGACCATAGCATGCAGCTGCTGTCTGAACAATGGTATGAAAACACCTGGATCACAGGCTATAAACCACTCCATTATGGTGGTCTGGCAGTATACACGCCCTCAATCCTCGTGCGTGTATACCAGCCAGATCATAGCTCAATGTGGTGTTTTTACTTACGTGCGTTATCCTTGGATGTCTGTGCAGAGGTTTTGAGGTTTGTGCAAAATTCTGCCGATGGTCCCAATCTGTATATACTGCAACAAAGAATTGACTTTTGCCTACGTACATAATGCCTTACCTCATAAGAAATACTAGGTTTGCACACCCCCATTGGAAGCTGTTGTGCAAATTTTTTTGCTTGCCTGTGTGCTTACATATGTCATGTGTCATCTTTGTTATGTGGATTATTTTAGGCCCAGATGAAAAGATCGAATTCCTAAAAAATATAAAGGACAAGGTTAGTTCATGTTAACCTAGTTTTAAGACAAGAACTATATGCCATTGGCTATTACTTTTACACTTAGCCTATGTATATATACCCTCTACCAGGAACACACTGTGTTAGTTAGTACAGTAGGAGTCCAAAAAATGTTTTACAATTTCGTTCCGTTTCTTTCCGTTTGCCGTTCGCCGTTCAGTATCGTTCTGTTCCGTTTCCGTTCAGTTGTGAATTCCGCGTGACATGCCGTCCGCAAACGCGGTAGAGACTCGCTAGCGGGAGAGCGAAACAAGGTTTTTTCTTAGCACAAACACGAAGCAATGAGAAGGCAGTACCCACGCAGGTGCTAGAAGAAATATCTTCACAGTGAGGCATTCGCATCTCGCGAATGACGGCCCTCACGCGAACGCATGTACGGCATAAATGGAACGCAACAGAACGGAACGAATTCCAACGGTAAATGAGCGTTTCAAAAGGGAATGGAAGCTCAACGAAACGGAACGGAATGAAATTGGAAACGTTTTTTGAACCCAACTGTAGAATGTGGCACCGGCATATCCTTAACCTTCTGTGCGCATGTGCCGCGAGGGTTACAGTAGTTGGTTTGTGTGTCTGTGTGTCGACGCTTATTCTGGCACTACTGGCTATGAGGTGGGTTATTAGTGATACCAGCGGCTTCAGAACTATGTGAGCCTGAAAATAAATGAGCGATTTTTCTGAAACGACTGCGTTCGAGAGATATGCCATGAAAACAAGCGAAAAAGCCAATATGCATAATTCCGCTGGCTTACCTCGACCTGATCTGCTCGCTCTGTGTACCTTGGAGGCACAAGAAACAACAACGAAGGCCGCGTGTCCACTCCCGCATTCTATCTACTAGTGTAGCTACCCTGTGTCAGACTCTCCGCTGGCTACTAGCAAGAGACCATGAGTAAACGCATACTCATAGCCCAGCCCATCAATTAGCGGTACCGCGCATGCGCAGTTTGGCGAGAGTTTTGCACTTCAGTGCTTTTCAGTTTGTATGTGTGTCTGTCTGTCTGTCTGTTACCACTTTTTCTGCGTCTACACGCAACGAGACAACAAAACAGCGATACTAACGGGTTCATCACTTCATTTTAAAAATGGCGATTTTCGTATAACTACTGCGTTCAAAAGTTATGGTGTGAAAAGCAAGTGAACAAGCCAATATTCAAATTAGCACAGGCTTACCTCAACAGGGTGCGCTTGCTCTGTGCATCTTGAAGGCACAAGAAGTCACAACGAAGGCATGTATCGACTCCCGCATGTTATCTACTACTGTAGCTAGTCCGTGTCAGACTCTCAGTGAGCTACTTGCACGAGTAAACGCATACTAAAAGCCCAGCCCATCAATTCGTGGTTCCGCGCATGCGTAGTTTGCCGAGGTTTTGCACTTCAGTGCTTTTCATTTGTTAATAAAGTGATTGTGTTTATTTTGCCATATTTGTTACTTTTGTACAGGTCAAGAATGAACCAGATGCAACCATCCTTTGTATGACCTCACTTGGAGCTATTTTGCTTCAGCAAAATTTACTAGACGAAGTCAAGGTTGGTAGAAAACCAATCTTAAAGTTGATGTGCATGGGTCAGGTTTGAAGAAGCATTGTCTTCATACTCACTAGCCATGTTTTTTAGCTTTTATTGTCTAGCCCTTGTTGTCAATAATTGTCAAGTACCGCATAATTATACTCAGTTTGCAGTCTCAAGTTAACCATGTTGTGGAACAATATGCTAGTGATGTCACACGTGGTGACAACCTTTCAGAAGCTGTATGGCTTTTATGTAGGACCAGCATTTTATTTCTATCTCGCACCATACAAACGAAATATTCATTGAAATGTTCCACCAATCCCACCTAGGGCAGCTGTTCTTTTTTCTTGAAAAAGAGTTGTCCTAGGTGCAGTTGACTTGTTTTGCTTTGCCTTTGCCTTGATACCTCGTTTTTGTCACGAGGAATATAGAGTACGAGTGTTTCTAGTAGGGTGTACTGGCCAGCATAAGACTACTTAGCCATGTGCTAGCTGTGCAACTTTCACTTGCACATTGGAAGACCCCTTATAGAGACACTACGTAGTATGTGCAATGTCGCTTATTATCTAAAGTTGTACTCTTATGGTAAAAAAGTGCACTAGGGGCACAGACTCAGTTCAAATCCTTGACTGTTCTTTGCCGCATACCATCTTTGATACTGTAATGTTGTGTTGTCCTTATTATGACTTTTTTAGTACCGTTCTACGAGTAAGTTTTCCAGCTGTTCGTGAAAATGAATTAAGGGACAGTGTCTGTCGATTCTAAATTTATCCACACAAACAGTTTCAGTGGTTTCAGATGCATATTAATCGGCCGTGGTGTAGTTTGTGTAGCATTTGCGTGCCATCACCCAACACTTTGCCTTACCGATATTTAGCAGCTCCTTCCTAAATTTCCCCCCTGACATACAAGATTAAATTGAGTTACAGTGACACAAATCTCGCAAATTCTTAATGCAATGTTCTTCATCCATACAAGATTCCCATAATGTACATACTAGACTCAAAGCATATCCTTCTATTGCTGATCTGTCAGTAAATCCTCCACTGCTAGTTAGGTTGCATGAAATTGTATTAAATATCCCTAACATGTCATATGTTATATGATCATGTTTCAAATTGTCTTTCATGGAAGAATAGTTAACATTTCGTGGCCAGGGACTGAATAAATTTTGAATGGTATTGGTATGACATCCCCAGGAATATTTCAGAATTTAATATTGTATAGCTGTCATTAAAAAACATATCCTGTTCATGGCAATTATGTAATATGAATTTTCAATGATACATGTAAATACGCATATTGCTGTGAAATTCATGGCTTTTTTTGCCTAAAATTAGGCCGTGAACTTAATCATAATAACATGATTTCACAGTTTCATTTGTATGAATCATGTTTTCCATGTACCAAATGCTGTTTTTCATAGAATTTCTCTAGGAATATTTCAGAACATTGTTATCATAATTTCATGGCTCTGCCATGAAAAAGGATTTTTCCATACAACTCAGCCATGTTATATGCATTAAAACCACATGAACTTCAACTGATGTTAAATTCCGAAACAATCGTGACATTTACGTTAACTTGGCGTGTGCTGTTTTTTAAAGACAGAGTTAGTCTCTTGGACTTACTAAACTCTACATTATTGACGATGACATTGTGGATGCTTATCTTTTCTGTGTACGTGACCTTCCATAGAATAATATCACCCCTCTAATCATAAACATAATTATAAAGAGCTCAGGATTATTGTTACGTAAGTTTTTTAATATCTATGTCCATATCTATTTCTAGATATTTCAATGGTGTGAATTTATGTTGATTTCTAGTATGGTACATAGATAGTGAGGGTGATGAAACTCGTGATCATAACAACAAAAACTAAAAGTATGTTTATCCAGTCAATTTGTACAATCATCATAATTATGCTTCTTTATAATAGCGATTTGCTATCACGGCATGCTTTGCTCATGAAATATTTTTCATGAGTGAGTTCATGCAATGAGAGTCAGTTATTATGAATTTACAATTCATAGCAACTTTAATAAGTACCTAAAAACATACTAGTTTCATGTGTTTCCTCTATGCGAATCATACACAAGCATAACAGCATGTCCCAGTGCTTACGCGCTTACATTAACCATGTTACACTCATGATATTAATTTTCATGGGTGCATTCATGCCCCATCTGAAAGTTCATGCCAATTTCCTTTGTAACATATCGTATGTTGCGATTCAAGCGCATTTCGCAACCCGACAAACCTAGTATTTCATTCGATTGCCCCCAAATCTCTTTAAGCCAGTGCTTTCATCCAAATTCCATAAGACATGTTTTTATAATACCTATTTTCACCATGTATTTCATGCATTGAATACCAATTTCATGGTTAGTAGTGCTCTTGGCTCACACTAGTTGGTACTTTCCATCGCATACATTTGTAGCTGGTACATAGCTGCGTCATCATTCAAGTCACCAATATAACCAGCCTTCTACTTTTTCTTGATCTTTCATCAGAGCAGATTGATGATCATAAGGATGGATCTGTATATCGTTGGAGCATGTCAAATACAAGTAGTAGAATTCTGTGGCATAGCAATATTTCACTACCTTGGGAAGGTGAAGGACCTATCGCAAACTGTACATACCACTTTTACTATCTGAAGTTTAACCATCAAGGTCAGCAAGAACCTAATTCTGAAGCTACTAAGACTGAATGGACGTACTGTGATCACCTGTTTGCACTCTGGCATACAGAAAGCTGTACTTACAATTTTGGTTACTGAGAAGTACGTACGTACTGTCAGCTAGTTCCTGCTCAATACACGCTATATGTAATTATTGGCGACCCACCTAGTCATCTGAATGCGGAATTTGTGTAACGTCAGGCACTGTGCATACCGTAGTGCCATGCGCGAGAATTAGAGTCCAGACTCTTCTCGAATAGATTGCGTGATTTAATTAACCCTCGGCGCGCATGCGCAGCGAGGGTTGCAGTACTTGGTTTGTCCGTCTGTCCGTCTGTCTGTCCGTCTGTTACCACGTTTTTTGCCACCACGCGCAACAAACAGGTAAAATAGCGACTCCAACGGGTTCAGCGCTAAACTGGCTTGATTTAAAAATGTCGATTTTCGTAAAAGTGCCGCGTTCAGAAGTTATGGCGTGAAAACCAAGTGAACAAGCCAATATGCTAATTAGCACTAGCTGACCTCGACCTGATCCGCTTTATCTGTGTACCTCGGAGGCACAAGAAGTCACAACGAAGGGTGTGTATCGACTCCCGCATGCTATCTACTACTGTAGCTAGCCCATGTCAGACTCTCCGCGAGCTACTAGCGGGAGATCACGGGTAAACGCAGACTAATAGGCCCGGCCAGCCCATCAATTAGAGGTAAAGCGCATGCGCAGTTCGCCGAGGGTTTGCACTTTAATTTACTTAGCTCTAGATATATGTGCAACTCGTGAAAAATTTAAATGGCTAACCATCAGTTTTTATAGTGTTACTGCGCATCCTGTAATGAAAGAGTTAGGCTCTGTTTTATATACTGAGGTAACCTATCTCCTTGTAAAGCAATTCCAATGCCACTGACAGGCAATGCTGGTTTTCCTCGCCACTTTTGCACTCTGGACTCTCGTGCTGAAGGTGTGTCTTTGACCTGGAATGGGAGCGCGAGAAGAGAAGTAAATAAGAAATGGAGGAATGTGCTGTGAAATAGGAGCTAAGATATAATTTAGCATGCTGCATAAACAGCACCCTTACACCTCTAAGCCAATCACACAATGCTATATTGTTGCCTAAGTGAAGTGTGAGACATTTATCATTACGCCTTTCTGCAGAACTTAAAGCTTGAAAAGACAGGTCAAAACAATGTTGTGCTATTACCGACAATGTCACTTTAGTTTGCAACCACCATCTCAATCACTATGTACAGTAGTACTTATGAGCTTATAAAGTTTGACACTAGGCAAATTAGGCTACATTAAGGAAATGGTGTGATTGGCTCAGGGGTGTAGGCGTGATCACAATTTATTCATAAATCGTCCAATCCCTGTATTGTCACCTTTACTATCCTTGTAGTTCCCCTTTTTAAATTTCGGAGGATTTATTATTTTCCTTTTTTTATAGGTTCTTGTCGAGGAGACCAGTCAGCTATTGGAGTCATTAAATGGAGTGTCTGTTGTCCATGCCAAGTTTTATGAACTCTCCAGCAGTTACAACAAGGTTTGTTCTTAACCTTCGGCGAATCTGTGCATATCTTTTTTCTCTTGGCATCACATGGTATTTTCTACATGGAGGATTATGGTGCTAAGCTTAAGTGTGTCTGTCTCTGTCTGTCTGTCAGTCTGTTTTCTGCCACCACGTGCAACTAGCTGACCAAAGAGCGACACCAATATGTAGGTTTAGCTCTTCACTGACTTTTTTTAATTGGTGATTTTTGTAAAAGCACTGTGTTCAAAAGGTACAGCTCGAAAAACAAGTGAACAAGCCAATTTGCAAATTACCACTGGCTGACCTCAATCACGTTCTACAACAGAGGTCGAGTGTCAAGTCTCGTATGGCCTAAAATACTATTTACTTCTAGCCCTTGTCAAACTCTCAGAGAACCAGTAAAAGACCACGTGTATATCAGTTGTGGTACTGACTCGTAGTTAATCCATGCGTGTGCACTATGTACTTGACATGTGCAAGCGACGCTGTGGGCTTAGGGGTTACACTTGAGTCCTTTTAATTACTCAGTGCCCATGTGCAGCGAGGGTTACAGTACTTGGTCTGTGTGTTTGTCTGTCTCTCTGTTGCCGCTATTCTGGAACTAGACAAAATGAAGGCATGGATTTATAAATAGCGATTTCCCTAAAATCACTGCGTTCGAGGCGGTGTAAAACAAAAATGAAAAAACCAATAATTATGCAAATTAGCAATGGTTTACCTCGACTAGCTCTTACCCATTCAGCACATCATGGAGGCTCAAAGTTAGTCTTAAGACGAGTGTCAAGTCCAGCGTTGCTCGAAATGCTATTTCCTAATAATACTGCTAACATAGTTAGTGAGTGCTGCGAGTGTCTACGTAACTTGTGGCGAGGGTTTGCACCTTATTGCTTTTCATTACTATAGTTATTCATGACTGCTTTACCACAGTTAAATAATAATAATACTCAGGTGGCTGCCATAGCACTAGGGCCATAGACCACGCACCAGAGCAATGGGCGGAACCGTTAACAAACGAACATACACCATATGAACATGAGGTGTCTGTCTCACCTCCCAGACACCTCAACTCACCCCTTCCACCAGCGACACCCTGCAGCTCCCCAGACACAATCTGAGACTGGGTTTGTTGTACGCGGGGACTATCGCCGTATAATCTAACCTTTCTTAGCTCCCAAACATCCAAAATAAAATCTTTAACAAGGCCAAGCAAAGAACCAAATTTATCCTCCCACAGTTCACTACCCAATATAAAGGATGCTTTCCTGAAACTATCAAGCGACTGGAAATGCTCAAACCCATCACCCCCAAGCTTCCCCTGCAGGGCAACTAAGAAATTGCTCCTAAGACTACTATATGCTGGACACTCCCACAACACATGACTCACACTTTCACACTCATCATCACACAACAGGCACTCCTTCACCCCCTCCCTCCCCCTATGCCTACCCAGTCCCTCATTTAGCCCATGCGTGCCTGACCTCAACTTAAACATTAATCTAGACCCAGCATCACTTTTCCCATGCAAGTACTTTTTGAACTCTACCACCTTGTTAAATGTCTTATACTTTACTTTGCTATTTAGCCCCTCTTCAAACTTTCTAATCTCCCTCTCATTAATACTGTCCCCTATTATAGACAAAAAGCCCTTCAAGGAGCAATCCCCATTTTGAATATCATGCAACCACTCTGCCTTGTCAAGACCTAATGACGAAAAGAGATCATCAATGACCTTACTCCAACCCTTCCTCTGCCTGCCTCTCCGTGGCTTAAAATTCCATTCCTGATTAAAAAGCTTCTTCGGATACCTATTGCCTGGCAATGCCGCTAACTTATACCACCACTTCAACTTATTCTTATCCCTACGTCCTTGTAATGTATCAAGCCCCATATCCCCCCTAACGGCTTCATTACATGTCTTAGACGAACACCCAAGAATGCGCTTAGCTCCTCCCAGCATAACGGACTCTAACGCAGCTGCCTGAGTCTTATTGGCTTCCCACACCTCACCCCCGTACTCTAAAAGTTGGCCTAACCACCGCCAGCAACAACAACCTGCGAGCACTCAAATTAATATCCCTATTACTAATTACACTATGCAACTGATTAACCTTCCTTCTACCATTGTCTAACACATTCTTGATATGCACATCCCATGCACCAGTACTAGTAAAATCAACACCCAAGTATGTGTATTTAGATACTCTAGGCAAAACATACTCCCCCCATTACAGTTAAAAAATATTTGCTTTTGAGTATACCTTTTCAGCACACAATGTCGCATGTTTCTCAGATTTTTACACCTTTTTAATCCTTGATGCGCATTTGCAGTGCCTGTCTGTCTCTTTGTCTGTTTATATGTCGACGGTTATTCTGGGACTACATACTACGATGTGGTGAATGAGCGATGCCAACGGCTTCAGAGCTACGAAGACCAGAAAATAAACCTACAATGACTGTTCGAGAGATATGGCATAAAACAAGCGAAAAAGCCAATATGCATGATTATCTCGACCAGATTCACTTGCTCTGTGTAGGCACAAGAAGTCACAACGAAGGGCATGTGTCGACTCCTGCATGCTATCTACTAGTGTGGTTTACCCGTGTCAGACTCTATGCGGAGGCCACGAATAAACACATACTCTTAGCACGGCTGATCAATTGGCGATGCTGGTATGCACAGTAGGCCGAGGGTTGCATTTTAGTGCTTTTGCATGTTCATGTTTTTTCTCTATGGAGAGATAACCACTATGCTACTTCTCTAGGGGCAGACAGTCCATCGCTATTATTCACAGTTGGCTCCCTCTGCCTCATACTGTGTGTGCAGATGCATTAGAGTAGAGCCTCTGCCTAGAAATGGCATCACCCGTACGTGACAAAGGTCACAAATACCTAATTATTTTTCTTGTGCTACTGCATGTACCATAGTAGGCTGAAAAATTCCACAGCACACATTGGCAATGGACTGTTCTCCACTTGATACTCATTTATACTGTCATACTTTACAGGTGCATAAAACAATAGCAAACCCAGGCATGTCTTCATGTGTGTGAGAACAATATTGCAGAAGTGCTGATTAAGTCAAAGAAAAGCAGCTGTGTAGCTTTGTCGCCGGTATTGATATCTGCTGGCCATGTGTTTATCAATGCCCTTACACAGGTTTCTGCTCTTTGTTAACCCTCGGCACACATGCGCAGCGAGGGTTATAAATACTTGGTTTGTCGTTCCATCTGTCTGTCCGTCTGTCTGTCTGTTTACCACGTTTTATGCCACCACGCGAAACAAACCGGCTAAAAGGCGACACCAACGAGTTCAGTGCTACACTGGCTTCATTTTTAAAATGGCGATTGTCGTAAAAGTGCTGAGTTCAAAAGTTATGGCGTGAAAACCAAGTCAACAAGCCAATATGCTAATTAACACAGGCTTACCTTGACCAGGTACGCTTGTTCTGTGTATCTTGAAGGCACAATAAGTCTCAACGATGGGCGTGTATCGACTCCCACATGCTATCTGCTATTGTAGCTAGCCCGTGTTTCGTCTTCTTTCATTTGCGGTTTGTTTGTCATTAAAGGGCTCGTGTTGGCCTGATTTTGTGGGGAGGAGCTTGCGTGGAGCCGTGTTGTAGAGTGAAACAGAAACCACTGTAATATTTTTCGCGGATGGTTGCTGTGATTTTGCCTGTGACTTTGCCCCAGTTATACACAGTCTATTTTCCTTGTATTTACTGCCTGTTGAAATTAGGTGCTCAATATTACCACAGGCCACATCCAACTTTGAAGCTTATTACAGGGATGCTCTGAGATACCTTGGTTGTGTGGAAATCACTTCAATTGCAGGTAAAGACTGATTACATAACATATGTAAAACACTTACAAGTGCAAACCCTCGATGCAAGCTAGACGCTCGCACCGTCACTATATACACACTATGCTTGTACAAGCTAATTGGGACACGCTACGTAATCACAAAGAGGGTCGGTTCTCGCTCTAACTCAGGCTAGCAGTATTAGTAAATAGCGTTTCGAGCGACACTTGACTGGATACTCGTCCTCTTGTGCCTCCATGGTGTGTTTAACGGGCAAGCGGTAATCCATTGCATATTGGCCTTTTCACTCATGTTTTATGAACTCTCGAATGCAGTGCTTTTATATATATAAAAATCACCTGTGCTTTCGTTTCTCCCAAGCCGTTGGTATTACTTATTGGCCACCTCGTTGGCATGTAGTGCCAGAATAGTGGTAACAGACAGATAGACAGACAAATGCACCCACAGACCAAGCAAGTACTGTAATTAAACCTCACTGCACATGCATTCTGAGGGTTAGTTAGCAAACAATAGAGCCCAAAATGGCTCAGTCAGTGCCTATATCTCGGACTGCACATATTTCACAGAAGGGACATGGCACAACACTGTGCTGTGTTGTGCCATGTCCCTTCTGTGAAAACTGTGCAGTGTTTCGAGCGATTCCCATTGGCCAATACATTGTTTTTGAGAGTGGATGTGAAACATCTCAATGTATGTAATTAACCCTTGGCGCGCTTGCGCAGCGCTTCGAGCAACCCCCATTGCCCAATATATTGTTCTTGAAAATGGATGTGAAACATCTCAATGTATGTAATTAACCCTCAGCGCGCATGTGCAGCGACTGTTACTGTAGTTGTTGTGTGTGTCTTGTCTATCCACACCCAAACTCCCTTCACGAGCCATGAATCGCTCCACAAACAATACCACGTATTCAGTATCGGGTATGGGTTGAAAAATATGTGGTGTTTTCTCTTAAACTGCAGTGTTCGGGAGTTACGGTGCGAAAACCAAATTAGCACGGGCTTACCTCGAGATGTGCGCTCTCTAGCACTGAGATGCACTTGCTCTGCGTAACTTGGCGGCACCAGAGGTTGCAATGCGGGACGTGTATCGTCTCTTGCATGTTATCTACCGCGGTTTGCAGGGATCTCGCAAAAAACGATGAACACCGGAATAGGGAGTTTGGTAGTTCAAAATATCATTACCCTGATTTTACAGGATGAGTCAGAGAAGGCAGTGAGATGGAGGTGAAAGAAAAACAGGTGATTCCATAGAGATTTAAAACAACTGTGAAGACCATGACCATAAGAAAATAGTGAAACAGAAAAGTTTGTGCAGGCATGAATAAAATTATCTATCAAGACTAGTGTGGGCCGACACAAAGTGTCCACAGGGAGACTCGGAACCAATGTAGAAGTACAGTTAGGAGCAGGGCATGTACCGCCTGAGTGGGTGTGGAGGGAGAGAAACCTTAGTGTTGCTTGAATTCAGGTTGTGGCGAAGACACCCCTCTCAAGAGCCATATCCCATAGCTTCAACCAGCTCTTATCATTACTATATAGATGCAACAGCCTGGATATACTGCTGAGAGGGATGTGTAGAGGCATGTGCAAGTTAGTAGAAACAGGTCGAGTTGGAGAATTTCTTTCTTCGGGGAGTGGTACGAAATTTCGTCAGAAGCTGGTAGTACAGAAGTCGCGTAGTTGGACTTGTAGATGGACTGGAGTAGATGATCAGTGACTCAACATCAGAGGCGGCCAGGTAGCGGAAGACACGAGCACTGAGAGAGAGATCAGAATTGAGTAGAAAGCAGAGCTTGGTGATAAGTATTCTGGCTCTCATAGACGGCCACTGCAGAGCCATGAGGGCAGTGTTGTTACGGATGAAGGTTGGCAGCTGAAGGATGGGCTTGGCCAGATCAGCTTGGAAGGACTCCAGCTTATGCATTAGAGTGGGATTCAAAATCCATGTTTCGGCACCAAACAGTAGGCATGGTAACACGCAGTATCTCTTGGTTCTCAGGATCTCTTGCTCTGCTCCAGGAGAATTGGGTCCTAACAGGCAGAAAAGTGTGGGTGAAAGGACCGAGCCCTGACGCACCCCACGACTGACAGGAAAAGAGGAGGAAACCTGTCTGCCAACTCTTACTGCAGAACTGACGTCAGTGTACCAATCTTTGATGGTAATTGGCGAGAGAATTGGCGAGCGGGAGCGAGCCAACCTAGTCGTTCGTTCCAGCGGAATTTTCTATATATTTACAGTACACGCCAAAAAAAAGTCGTAGTACGGTGATGCCATAGCAAATTTTCTACGGCGAATCTACGGTCGACCGTAGAGCACCGTAGCTGCGGTACGCTGGGAGGGTGTGGCCCACCGTAGTAAAGTAAACAGTGGCAGCTAAAGGCCTAGCAAGCAAGAACACTAGCAGTCATGTCTAGCATTGCTACTACTGCTTGCTATCGCTTCTCACTCTCCTTGCGCCCGCTGAGCGCGCTGACGCAACATGCGCGCGTGCGACCGCGCCCACAACCGCGTATCATCGTGGCAAGAGCAGACCATCGATCGCCTCGTTGTCAGCACTGTCGCTGTGTGAACGCCGTGTGGATCTCCTGGCCGTACAGCTAGCTAAAGCTGCATGGGGCAACGCTGCTTGGTAGAGGACTGTATCTGGGTCTTAGTAAACTACGGCATACTGCGCCGTAGCAGGTCTACGGCTTCCACCGTAGTACGGCGTAGCAAGACCGTAGTTCTTACTACAGTGTTACCGTACTACGGTACGGTAGTTGGAACCTTTTTTGGCGTATACTGTATATACGTCCGTCCGTACGTACGTCGTGTAAGTGCGCATGCGTGGCTTCGTTAGCGTTTCTTTTTATCCGAAATGATTTAAAAATATTTACACATTTCACACACGCTGCCTTGCGATATGCGCCGATCTAGCCAGCGAGAGATATCTCCTCCATTCGACGGCATTCGCTGCAAACTTCGGTGACTGACCGAGGCTGTGTATCTTCCCAATCTTCATGGTTCGAAGGTGCAACTTGGAAATAAGCTAGGATTGCTCGTGCAGATACTGCTGCATGCCAGCTGCCTGGTTGACCACGACAGACGAGCTGAAAGTTTAAGGTAAGTACCGTTCTGCTCACCTGCTCACCGTTCTGGCAATATATATACAGTACGCATGTACGTAACAGGTTGCTTCACGAAAGGAAAGCTGTGCGTTGACGGCACGTTATGCAGCCCGAACATTGCGGGCAAATCCGAAGTTGGGTCGCTCCCGCTCGCCAACAATGTTCAACATTTCCGCTAGTTAATGGGTAATTCCGGTTAAAATGGAAGTAGGCGGGCAATCACACGCACACAAAACAGACGCTCAGCGCAATAGCGCTCACACTATCGCGTATCGCAGTGTTTGCAGCGTGTTCTGCCCGCCAAAGCCACTCAAAGTCACAGCCTCTTACTCTCCCTCTTCAACACCTCCCGCCTCTTCCCCCACTGCAGCCTCAATGTCCAACCCACACACCTGTGAACTCACCACTACTAGCTTCCCTCCTTACAGGTCACCCCAATAGTGACTTCACCACCTACCTACTCCAAGGCCTCACCCGGGGTTTCAAGGTCGGATGCACAGGCCCACACTATCCACTCCCTTCCTCCAATCTGCGCTCAGCCCTGGCTAGGCCACAAGTTATCGACAAATACTTGGAGGCTGAATGTCAAGCAGGGCACACTCTTGGCCCCTTCCCCTCTCCCCCTCTACCCAGCTTTGTTGTCAACCCCCTCGGTGCTGTTCCCAAGAAAAGGTCAGGGAAATGGTGCCTCATTATGCACCTTTCCTGTGTCAACGACGGCATTGATAACAATGACTTCCCGCTGCGATATTCCACCGTTTACGACGCCATAGTCTGCGTGATACACCTTGGTCGAGGGCCTTCAGACTCTGCCCAGTCCATCCCTCTGACCACCACCTCTTCGGTATGAAGTGGAGGGGCTCATTCTACTTCGACCGTGTCCTTCCTTTTGGTCTCATGTCAGCCCCTTTCAATTGCTTAGCCGAAGATCTCCAGTGGATAGCTATCCAGCAGGGGATCACCCACATCCACCACTACCTGACTTCTTCGTTGCCTGAACACCCAACTCAGAGCAGTGCTCACAACACCTGCACACCCTCGTCTCCCTTTGCGCTGCCCTGGGGGTCCCACTAGCCGACGACAAATGGGAAAGACCAACCACTTGCCTCGAGTATCTAGGCATACCCCTCGACTCTGCCTCGCTTGAAGCCCGCCTCCCTCCTGATAAACTCCAGGACATACACCACTCTCTGGACACCTGGGCAACCCATTCCAGCTGCTCCAAGCGGGAACTGCTATCCCTTATTGGCACCCTAAGCTTGCAGCCAAGGTGGTCCCAGCGGGAAGGTCCTTCCTCAGAAGGATAATTGACCCCAGCTCCTCTGTTGCCTCCCAAGACAATATCATCCCCCTCTCCGGGGACATCTTGCTCGACCTCCAGTGGTGGCAGGAGTTCGCCACACCATGGAATGGTTGATCCTTCTTCCTCCTGCCAGACTGGACCCCCTCCCCCCACCTCCAGCTCTTTACAGACAGCTCAGGGTTCGGTGCCTACTGCCAGGGTGAATGGTTCAACGGCCGCTTGTCTGCGGCTCGGTTGGAACGGAGTATCCAGTGGAAAGAGCTCTACCTAATCGTGCTTACAGCAGCAGTTTGGGGCGAACAGTGGCGGATCTCCTGAAAGAAACATTCGCCATGCATGCAGATAAATTGTACTCTGCATGGCATGTGGCGATGATGTAGAGGTATGCCATGAGGTCCGTTGACCGCTGTGGCTGGTTGGAGGACAGATGGTGGGAGTAGACAGCACAGCACCTTGTCCACTATAGGATAAAGGAGGAGACCTGTCTCTTCTTGATTTCCTGGGGAGGGTAAGCCTATTGTCCTCCCCTAGCTCAATTTGGACAGAGATCTCCTCCGTACCCTCTGACTCTAGGGCATGCAGCAGCTTATTAAAATCCACAAACTCACCGGAGGTCGCTGTGGTAGCAAACCTGGCCGGTATGGTGGGGATGGAGCCGCTGTACGGAGCCATCTGAGGGAGAGGAGAGTAGGTGGGGAGGGGTACTGCTGCTGGGGTCTGGATGGGAGGGGCCGCAGAGGTCTGTCTGGGTGGAGCCACAGGGGGAGCTGCTGCCAGTCCAGGTATATGCTGGGGGGAGATAAAGGGGGGCTGGTAAATGCATGTGAAAACTATGAGGTAGAAAGGCAAAGGCACAACAAACAATTCAACTACACCTAGGACAGCTCTTTTTTTTCCAAGGAAAAATAAAGAGCTGCCCTAGGTGGGATTCGAACCCACGACACTCTGCAGTCTAGGCGAGCGCTCTACCAACTGAGCTACCAGAGCAACTCAGCTGGTAGGGGTTCGAATCCACGACATAACACAACACAAGGCAACACAAGGCAACACAAGGCAAACCTCCAACCACTGTGCTATGGCACAGTAAACTCTCACTTAGCATGACAGTGTGGTTGCAGTGGTGGCACTGGAGCAGGAAGACAGCGGGGCTGCCATGGATCCCAGCAGCGGAGGGAGAGTTGGGGCAGAGGCAATGAGAGAGACCTGGCTGGAGTGCAGCTAGGACCCAGTGGCAGTGGGCTGCGGTAGAGCTACCTCTGTAGTTGACAGAAAAGGGGGAGGGGCTGGGGAGAGGCAGTGTAGGACGCGGCTGCCGACGGAAGGGCGAAGTGCTCTAGCACTCGAGCTATGGCTTGCTGCACGACCTGCTGGACCATCATGTGTTGAGCCATCAGAGACAATTTCAGACAACCGGTTGGGAGACCGTTGTCCTTGCATAGATGGATGAGCTGTGTTTTGAGCAGCGAGTCCAGGCCTGCATTACGGAGATTTATTGTGACTTGCGTGGGCGGATCAAAGGAGCCACGCATACTTTTATTTCCCGTATTGTAGTATGCGTTCAATATGACTAATATTGAACGTTCAATAAAAAAATTAATTGAACTAGCATCAGCATCTTACCCATAGTGTAGACAAAAACTGTTCTGTAGAGGCTTTAGAGGCGAGGGATGACTGTTCTGTAGAGGCTGTAGAGGCGAGGGATGGCTGAGGCGACCATACACTTCATTCAGCTCCAAGTGGCAAGCGAGACCGCGGCCGCGGCACACCGACCGGTCAAACGGCCCAGCGACCTATTAAACGAGTTTCTCTGAGGGAGAAAGAGCCACCATCACGACCTTGTTCGATTGTGGCTAGGTGTGAAAGAGGTGGAAAAGCAGCAGGATTGTAAGCACAGTAGCGAAATTGTTAATAAAGAGAAGATAAATCGGCATAATCTCTTCAAAATGCTTGGTATATATAATTATTAATGGCAAGGTTTATAACATCTCTATTTGAAATTAGGCTTCCACTGCATACATGTCACAAGATTTTGAACATAAATGGAAAAGAAAGGCCCACTGAAACGGAAGGCTTGCTAATTTAAAATTGTCAATATTCGCTATAATTATACATTACCTGATGCCTTGAGTCCTTTGATGAAATCTTCCCTCGTCAACATTCCGTCGTGGTTGCTGTCAAATCTGCGGAACAAGTCGTTGACCCTCAGTTTCTGCTGGTCCACCCACCCATTGAACTTCTTCCTCCACACATCAAAGCTGAACGACCTGAACAACAACAACAACAACAACAACACCCATACATAAAGCGTGTCAGATTTTATACAGTTCTATAATATAATGTTAGCAAGCTAGAAAATTGGACAGTGAAGAAAGCCCACCTACATATGTAGTGTCTACATTCTTCTGACACATAATGTTTCAGGACCCTAAATCATTCGTAAAACGACCAATAGTGCACTTTAGTTCTAGTGACAGCTACGGAACCAGTGATAAATGGATATTCTGGTAAATAACTGAGTCATAATGCTACAGAGAGCTAGTTAAGTCATCTTGCTATGTAGACCAATGGTGGATGTATGCGGAGTGGTAACCTGGCAAGAACAATGTCGTTGAGTCTGGTGCGAACCTCCAGTAACTGACTATGTCTCTCTGACGACTTCAAGCAAAGTCTCTGCCACCTGGACACAACATCCAACTCCATTCCACTTACACAATGTCATGGCATGAGTTTGCATGGTTATAAAGGATAGCTAGGGATTCACAGGTAGGTTAGTACGTTTTACTGAAAAGTTTGGAGTACACTAATTAACTTGTTCCACAGACCTTTGAAGGCGTCCATGCTGGTTTTGTGGGTCGCCATCACCCCTTGAAAAGTCTGGAATATTATTAGAGGGCAAATATGATATAGGAAAAGACTTGATGGTAAAAATAAAAGTCAACTATACCCAGATGTATAATATAATAGCTAATACCAAAGAAATGCAACGTAGGAAACTAGAAAGCGTGTTAGGTAGAGCCAAGACTTCATGCTAGGTGATATTATGTAAGAGATAATGTGCGTTTAGAGGTCCATACGTGATTTATGAGAACGAGGGGTGTGGTCGAGAGACGCCGAGTGCTGTATGAATGTCGAGACCATACCACAACCCGAGTTCCCATAAGTCATGTACAGAACGATAGGACGCACATTATGTGTTTATTGTGACTTTGTAGCAGTGGTCGACCTCCAGCGAGAGAAATACAACTGCGTAGCCTACTTACCCATGCACACGTGCGCACTCGCTGGCTTCTCGAGCGAGTTCTCTGTTCTTCAGGTTACCGCAATCAAACAAGGTCGTGATGGTGGCTGTTTCTCCCTCAGAGAAGCTCGTTTCATAGGTCGCTGAGCCGTTTGACCGGTCAGTGTGCCGCAGCCGTGGTCTCCCTTGCCACAGGGAGCTGAATGAAGGGGTGTGGTCGCCTCAGCCATCCCTCGCCTGTATAGCCTCTACAGAACAGTCATCCCTCGCCTCTACAGCCTCTACAGAACAGTTTTTCTCTATACTATGTGTACGATGCTGATGATAGTTTAGTAATTTTTGTATGAAACGTTCAATATTGGCCATATTGAACGCGTACTACAATACGGGAAGTTAAAGTATGCGCGGCACCTTTGATCCGCCCACGCAAGTAACAATAATTACCACTAAAGCGTGTATTAGTGGGGTTGGGGTTAGAGTTATTGGCCATGGACCCGCTACTTTCCGGTGCGAGTCAGCTTCCACTCAACATTAGCTGCGTCCAGTCTAGTGTGTCTGCTGCATCATCACCTACTAGTACTGCCCACTTCATGGGAAGCTCCCCTCAGGTATTGTTCACTTACCTAGAGGTTGAACGTTTATTTCCTCTTAGCGTCACATGGATCACACAGTATGTTTACAAAGTGAAGACATTAAACCCAACAAATAAGCGTGATTTGTTGTAAGGCAACTACATCATTTTTCAATGGGAAGTTCGCATGAGTTCAACATGTAAAAGTGGTTTTAGTACCAATCTGGGTTTTTTTGAGGGGCAAAGCCACACAAAACAATGGATAGCAACTCAGGATGATGTGGCTGCAAGGTTTTCACCAGGAAATGAGATTTGTTTGTGGTGCATGGGGTTAAGAAGAGCAGGAAGATAACTCATCACATCATCATGGTATAAAGCGAAAGAGTGAGGGCATTTGAATGAGAGGGATGACGAGATATATAGCATATTGCAGCAGTTGAAAGAAAAACACAGTGATGCTTACTCAGCACCACAGTATAGACTTTTGGCCCGTATGATTATTTGTGGCACCGATGATGATCTAGATACTCCGCCACAAGTCCCCATGATAATTGGTGCTCCTATGCCCAAGCGTCCAAAGCAGGAGAGCCTTACTAGTGCTCTGGTGGATGCTGCCACTGCATTTGCCAGTGCCATTTCACCCACGTCAAGTTCTTTAAATGTTGGTCCTCCAAGTGAACGTTTCTAAGCCATCGGTTGGTCCAAAGTCCTTTTCTATACCCTTCAACACAGTTTTCACCTTTGAAAACAGGCTTTCTATTGGGTTGTAGTCTGGCGAGTAGGGCGGAAGAAAATGAAGAAGAGCACCTGTTTCGTAGATCATTTCGACCATCCTTGAAACGTGGTGAATGGCGCAGTTGTCCATTACAAGTACGCTGTGCGTGTTGTGGCCATCAAATGGCATGAGGTGTGGCAGAAGATGTCTTTCTACAAATCGTGGAATGCATCACCATCGACACCGGCCATCTGTAAGCTAACTGTCTAAAACCCCTGAACTTGACATAAATGCCATCAGAGATACATACTTTTCCTGAGAAAGTTTTACGACTCTCCAAACTGTGGAAACATCGACGTTGAGATTGCTGGCGACCTGCCCATATTTGTAGCCAAACACTTCTCCCTACCATACAATACACCATCTAAGGTGTTCACGGTACGCACTTCGGCGTCTAGGCTTACAAGTTGTTTTCGCCATTTTGTGTCCACTGCATTGCGTATGCATGGATCCACGTATGCGTGAAAACGTTATTGCAATATCTTGGCAAACCGCGGTAGTAGTGTAGCTAGCCCGTTACCGACTCTCAGTGACCTGGTAGGGGACCACGAGTAGGTAGCCCATTTTTAGCAGTACAACACATGCGTGTACTTCCGCGTGCATTTCGTGCCTGGCACAGTCTGTTCACTCATGCGCAAGGTATTCTAATCCCAGTACCAAGCCTATTGTTGAGCTAAAACATGGCAGATGCACAGCGAAAGATGTGCCTCACTTAGTAGCATGCTTACCTCGTCTGCAGCCTTTCACAGAAGTCTGTGTATATAGGTGGTCTTCGTCAACTTTGCTTGACGTGGAACTGTTCTCTAGCCAGCACACGCGTCTCCGACGAGGGTTTGCACTTTAGTGCTTTTCATTTTTTTATATGAATTCCACTGCATTTCCCCTCTGTTTTAACGTAAGAAAAACTGTCATGGCTGAAGCCATTTGTATTTCATCACTGCAGTAGCTGAACAATCAGAAAGAGCATTTCATCTCAGTTTGGCAGCATTGCTTGCAGAAAGTGTTTATAATTTTGGAGAGATTGTGAGTTCGTAACAGATTGTTGCTTGGTGTTTTTAAAGGATGTGATTCTCCATAGTGTTTGTGTGATTTACAAAGGTATAATTTTTTGTGTGTGATGATGTGATTCTCTGTAGTCCTAATGACCTCCATTTCACTAATCGATTTGGGGAATGTCGTTATTGTGTGTGCTGGAACCTTGCATTAATAAGCAAACTACCAACCTTTTTATTACGCTAGATAAAGGTATGTATGATGTATGATCTGAGAAAAGACATTAAATTACAATAAACGCCCATTTTTCCACACCTTTAGGAAGTGTATACCTCACCACATTCATTTTTTTGCATGTGTACACATGACGCTATATTGGCTCAGTATTCAGGTTCATTAATTCTTTAAACATTTAAAAGCACTAAAGTGCAAACCCTCAGCGAACTGCATATGCACAGTACTGCTAGTTGATGGGCTGGGCTATTAGTATGTGTCTACTCGTGGTCTCCCGCTAGTAGCTCACGGAGAGTCTGACACGGGCTAACTACAGTATTAGATAGCATGCGGGAGTCGATATACGCCCTTCGTTGTGACTTCTTGTGCCTTCAGGATACACAGAGCAAGGGGCCCCGGTAAGCCTGTGCTAATTAGCATATTGGCTTGTTTACTTGGTTTTCACACCATAACTCCAACACGGCACTTTTACGAAAGTCACCATTTAAAAAATATAGCCAGTGTAGTGCTTAACCCATTTGTATCACTTCTTGGGCACTTCATTACGTGTGGTAGCAGAAAACGTGGTAACAGACGTACAGACAGACCAAGTACTGTAACCCTCGCTGCGCATGCACGCCGATGGTTAATAACAATTTTCTCTGTCAATATACCCACTATCATGTCATCTACCCCATTTTCGTACGCATTCTCTCTATCTCTGGCCATAATACTACATGCTTTCACACACATTCGTTGCAGAAAGTGTTCCCTTTTTAGCACCTTTATGTATCTCCTACATCCGCCTTCCGTAGTGTGTCACATTACCTGTCTCAAACTGCTTCCATTAATGTTGCTGCACTACCTGCAATAAATACTATGTATCTGTACTCTATCTAAAGCTGTCCCATCCTGTGATGGACTCTCTTCGAGGAACTGAAAGAACTTGGATGGCTAAACTTCTTAAGGCTTTCAATGCAGGTAATTAACCCTCAGCGCACATGCGCAGCGATGTGTGTCTGCCTGTCTGTTTGTCTGCAGCTGTTCTAGCACTACAGCTAACTTATCAGCGACACCACTGGCATCAAACCTACTAGTGTGTGAAAAACAACAAGGCCAAATTTCCTGAAAGGACTGCATTGGAGAGATATGGCGTGAAAACGTTCGATAAAGCCAATATGCATAGTCAGCACCGGCTTACTTCTACCGTGTTTAGCCCGTTCAGTACACCATTGACAGATGAACTTACAGTCCTTGTCCGTCACTACTTTTGACAGAACTGGACCAATCAGACTCCAAGGTCGATTGTCACCCTCCCTTGATTTTAGACCATCCCTGCTGAAAGACATCTGTTCCTACAGTATAGGGATCTTGTCGCCAGCTCTAAAATACTGGACACTTAGCTGTCAGAAGTGACGCAAACACGTCAATTTCCACAGCACCACATAGGCAGGTCTGCTGTGAGTCTGCCCAATCCACATTACTCTGCATCAGCCATTTGATTTTGTAATTGCTGGGCTCTTATGTGTACATTAAAAATCAGGCACCACATTAAAACAGGCATCCTTTCGGACTGTTCATCGCAGGTTGTGTATGGATGCAACTACTGTGCCACTACCTGAGGAGTACCCACGTGTTCTTCAGAAATGTCGTCTTGACCACTAGTGTTGTAGCTCCAGCTCCAGGCAGTTAAGTTTCCTTCCGATCCTCTGCTTCTTACTAGTTACTCTTAAAAACCTGTCATAGAGGCTATTATCATGTCCAATTTCCTTCATAAGGAGGGCTGCCCTGTTCAAATTTAGGGTACTTCCACTACATCTGTTTGTCCCTTACTCTGTTACTCTGTTGTCAATGGAACTTGTGCTCCTGGTACTGGGTGTGGATTCCGCACGGCTGCTAAGGAAATCTGATGAGCGATTGCGATTACTTTTTATGTTGGATGCACCAACCAAGAGGGCTCTTTGAAGACTTTCTCTGATGCCCCGTGATTCTCAATCTTTAATCTTGTGAACTTGGAGCCATTTGGACTATCTACTGTCAAGTCCAGGAATTCCATCGCTTGGGCTGGTTCTCACACTTTTTACACCATTGCTTCTCCATGTCTCTTTGCCTGTTCCTTGGACCCCACCAGGATATCATTTATTTACGCTATTGGTTGTACCCCAATCTTCAGGAGCAGAGCTAATGCTTGCTTTAAAGAGCTGATTGCAGGCTGAATAAGAATCACTGAAACGGATAGTGTTTATGCTGGTTTCTGAACCTCAAGTTCTTTTGTAGTTACTAGCACATTCGGCAAGGAGATTTTATCCCCGATTTCCCTTCTTTCAGAATTAGGCACTCTCCGAGTTCACTTTTCCTTGAGGAGTGTTTATCCTCCTAACACAACAATGGACCTTTAAATAGGACTGATCCTAGCATGCATCTCCGCCGTATAGTCCATGACTTTTCCCTCCGATTCCAACATTCAGTCTGCCCAAGACCTTCCAACTCTTTTGTCAGTTGGGAGGAGAGGGTGATCTATGAGTCGTCGTCACCCAGTGTCTTAAGTTTTTGACCCTTCTTTGTGTCTGGATGACCGCGATCGCAATTGAATGCTCTGTTCCTTTGTATCGAGCATCAGATATGGAGACCAAACTTTAACCAATGGAATATTAATCTACGACAACATGAAACATAGGAATGTCATTATAATGGGTTTGTATTGACAATCTGTAGCTCAGACCGTATTTCCAGTCTTCAATTACTCCCGACAGAATTCGGTTTTGCTTTCTCCAGTGACTTCAAACTACAGGACATAGAAACCACTTCATTGTTGAGAGTAAAATGCTCTGAATTTGATCAATTTTACATCCAAACCACAGTTGTCTTAAAATTAATAGTTTGAATTTTTAAGCATTTAATTTCTTGTATGGGTTGGCTAAGGAAATGAAAAATGGCTGAATGTTACAACTGTTTTATTTCCTCAAGTAAATATTGTCAGATTGTTTTCACATGTATGAATGATATTTTATTAGGGGATTTGTGCCAGTTTGAAGACCTTCGCCCTTTTTGGGAACAACAGGTAATCTATCATTCACTATTCTGTATTTTACAGAATTGTGCAAACTTCTAGCCTGACCTCTTCAAGAACCAAACTATGCTTCTGCGAAAGATTCGCCTCCTCTCATTGATGGAGGTATTGAACGATATTACGTCCCACTCTTGATTGAAAAACAATTTGTGATTATACAGCTAATATTTAGAAGGCATGCTCATGACCGGACTATTTCCTTTTCTGATATTGCCAAAGGAGCGAGTATCGACAAAATTGAGGTACATATTACTAACATTTTGATAATAAATTTGCTTATTTACAGTTAGTGTTGTTAAGGTTTTCAGAAGTGGAGGTAGGCTAGCGAGGATGAAAAGACTTAACTTAACAACTTGAGTTTTGCTTGAGTTGAACTTTGGAACACAAGTGATACTTCTTCTTCTTCTGATTCTTATCGTCTTCCGATTCTCAGTCTTTTTGGATGGGTTTTCTAAAGCAAACTAATATTGACCACGTTAACACCCCGAGCACATCACACAGGAAAATGACAATGAATGTTGTAACAGTTGAAAAGTGTCAATCTGTGGTGCAACTACGTCTCACAGTCTGAATAATAAGGGCTCTGGGTGTGCTTACAATCTGTTTGTAAATCATGCTTCACATATTACATCCGTATCTTGTCTCCCTCTTTTTCGTTGGCCACCTCAACCAGATTTCAATGCCCCTAAGTTAGCTATTCCATGGATACTCAAAACGCCATCTACTACATAATGTAGCTAATCCTCTCAGCAAGAAATCATGAGTGTAGTCCAGTTCAGCAGGAACGTATGAAGGCAATGAAGGAAGCATGTAACTGCGGAATAGTGAAATCCAAACACGGAAAATAGTACCTAACCTCACACAGAAGATAGCCTGAGCCAGCACATAACAGCTGTTGCAAGTCTCCTCCATGTGTCAATACAGTTCCAGATGGCAAGAACACACGCCACCGATTGCTAGCGCTTGAATACCGATATGCTGCAGTGGCCATGCAGCCAGGTCTCTCCCCTTGGCATTTCATACTCACTTCTGTCATTCTGAAATCTAGTCTAGCATTCTTGGTGCACTAAGATTTTGCAATTAGGCCCTGTATTTACTGCTTCTTAATAACATGCAGTTAATGCAGCTCACTTCATCTATGGCATCATGCTAAATAACAGTTCCTTGCAACTCCAAATAGTGTAGGCTAAGCCTTAAGTAAGACGCAAAAAGTTGTGGAATCGGTGCACAACCCATGTGGGTTATATTTTTACTTGCTTGTTCAAATCTGTCCGCTGATAGAAGATAGCTCTAGCTGTAGTTGCTGTGTAACATAAACCCTGCTCCCATTACCAGAATTCGTTATCGTCATTTTCTGCAGGTAGAGCAACTGGTCATGAAAGCTCTCTCACTGGGATTGATAAAAGGTTTGTATAAAATTGTGCAGAAGAAACAAATCAGTTGCGTTTGTGGCAGGTTCTATTGATCAAGTGCTAGAAGAAGCAACCTTAACCTGGGTTCAACCAAGAGTATTGAGCCTCGACCAGGTTCCTACACTCTTTTTTGTTACTGCCCGTTACTATGTTGTTTCTAGACTCATTTTAACCCTTGAGCACATGTGCACAGTGAGGGTTACAGTACTTGGTCTGTGTGTGTATTTGTATAATTATTCTTGCACTACATATAGGTTAGGTGCGGAGCCGAGGTGACTACGCGTGGTAGAGTGCCGAGGGCTCCCGAGCTGTCGGCGTCCCGAGCGCAGCGAGGGCGCTACTAGGGAGCCCGAGGCACTCTACCACGCGTAGTTACCGTGGCGACGCGTCTAACCAGTTTAGATCCATTCAAACTGTTTGCGAAGATATGGCAGCGCCAGGCGAGCTGTTACTATCTTGTCTAGACCAGGAAGACTCCGAGAAGGAACTCGACATACTCATGCTCGCCGCGAGCCAATCCTCGAACGCTCTGGAAAGATACGTGCGCGTAGAGTGGGCGGAGCCCTTTTCCGCGAAGCGCGGCGGACGACGAGGGAATGCTGTAGCTTTAGCCTACCGTTTCTGGCTCGCCGCTGGTAGCTGAAACCTCGCTCGAGTCTCTTACCTATCACGTCTTCACGCTCGCTCCCCAATAGATCCCGTCGTCCGGGGCAGCGGGATCTACGGAAAATTGCGCGATTTCAAATCACCCGGATCTAAAGGCTGGTTACCTATAAACGATACAAGTGACTACAGACTGTGAGGGCATGAAAACCAAAGAGGCAATTTTCACTGCGTTCAAGCAAAGTTCATATGCCTAATTAGCAGTAGCTTAGGTTTAGTCAATTAATTAACTCTTTTGAGAAATGAATTCACTCGTGAGTAGTCTTGTGTGGTTCTAAACTCTCCCACTGATGCAGTTAGAGGGAGTAAGTGGCTAACTGGTTAGACTGTGTGGCATGACCCAGCCATCAATTATCACTAAGTACGGTAGTACTTAGTATATAGGGATTGACATGGTACCTAGCATCATAGATGTACGGGGCTATGATAGGGAGTTTTTTTCATATCATCTTCTTCTTCTTCTTCTTCGACCAGCGTAACTAAAAAACCGAAAGAGATAAAGCCATGAAGTTTTGTAGGAATGTACATATCGATAACCACATGGGACTCATCATACTTTTTTGTTTGTAAACAATGTTGTTTACTGTAAACAACAACAACACTGCCCCAGGCAATACATTATAATGGGCATACTACATGTGTCAGTGTAACTCACAATTGGTAAGAGTTATGCGAGCGAAAGTTTGTATACACAATGTATTCAATAGCCAACATCAAAATCCCAACAATACATGTTTGTAAATAACAACAAATAGCCTCAGGCACTTTTCTTTAAATTAACTTCTTCACTTCTCAAACTTTCCAATGGTAGCACGCATAGAGATGAAACTTGGTACGTATGCCTATTATATCATTTCCATGACGATTACATGTTTCCATGACGACCGCATATTGTTCGAAAAGGCCTCAGGCAATTTTCTTTAAATTACTTCTTCACTCCTCAAACTTGCTAATTCTAGCACGCATGGAGGTGAAACTTGGTGCGCATGTGTATTACATTGTTTCCATGACAACTACAACAACAAATAGCCTCAGGCACTTTTCTTTAAAATTACTTCTTCACTCCTCAAACTTGCTAATTGTAGCACGCATGGAGGTGAAACTTGGTGCGCATGTGTATTACATCGTTTCCATGACAACTACAACACCAAATAGCCTCAGGCACTTTTCTTTAAAATTACTTCTTCACTCCTCAAACTCGCTAACAGTATCACGCATGGAGATGAAACTTGGTGTGCATGTGTATTACATCGTTTCCTTGACGACCACAACATTACTTCTTCACTCCTCAAACTTGCTAACTATAGCATGCATGGAGGTGAAACTTGGTGTGCATGTGTATTACATCGTTTTCATGACGACCACAACAACAAATGTCCTCAGGCTATTTTCTTTATAATTACTTCTTCACTCGTCAAACTTGCTAACGGCAGCAAACATGGATGGTATGCATTTCATTTCCATGACGACAATTTTTTCTCTATTATTAATTTTTTATAGGGGCTTGCCCCCTTCCACAGAGATAATACGTAGTAGTATATAAAAATGAGTGGAGACAAGTAAATAAAAAATCCTGCGGATTAAAAAAAGAGTGCATATAGGGATCGTATAAAAAGAAAGGGAGACAAGATAGGGATTGTGTTTGTGGAAGCACAGAGATGCTAGCGAGGAGTTAGGACTCCCATAGGTCATTACAACAGCCCTATATCGTCGTACGGTGGGAATACCTAGCATCATAGATGTATGGGGCTATGATAGGGAAAGTTTTCAATCTTCTTCGTAGGGTGGGAGTGGGAGTATGAGAGAGTCTGTAGAATATTGCTATAGGTAATGAAGTACTTACTAATTACCTTTGATAGATTTGTCATGCTACATTTCCATGGAGTGCGCATTTAGGTGGAAGTGTAATCAGCTGACCATAACATTGGATATACATGTTTATACATGGAAAGATGGAAAAATTGTGGAACGCAAGAAAACAAAATTCAAGTATGCAAGGTTGGCTGATATATTCACGAGGAAGTAGTAAAGCACCGATACGACGATATAGGGCTGTTGTAATGACCTGTGGGAGTCCTAACTCCGCGCTAGCATCTCTGTGCTTCCACAAACACAATCCCTATCTTGTCTCCCTTTCTTTTTATACGATCCCTATATGCTCTCTTTTTTTTATCCGCAGGATTTTTTTCTACTTGTATACATATGTACATCCTATAATTTTTCACCCATGGTTTGCATCTTAGTGCTTGTCATTGTTTAGGCAGACTAAGTATACATGTGTCCTGTTAAAAGTCTTGTCTGTGAAAACTTGGAGTGGAACACAAGTTGTGTACAATGCATGAAACTGCAGATTACATGCTCTGGTTTTTTGCCCAAGGACAGACAATAGTAGGCCTTGGTGTAGGGGGCCAACCGTTTTCTTTGTACAAACAACTACACCTTAGGAGGGTTGGGTCCAGCAACACTCCTTTATGTCTGAAGTGGTTGTGGTGGGTGTACAGGGTCCCCTAGATATTTCACGTGGAAAAACTACTGAAGATCTTGGAGGGAATAATTTTGTGGAGGAACACCAGAATTATTGGAAAGACATGCACTATCGCATTGCTTGGAGACATAGAGCATACTAGGTACATGAGAGAGGGAATTAGAACACTGCTCAAGCACTCAAACTGGTGGCTAGCTATGAGCACGTGGCTGTCCGGCACAATGTGCATACACTGAGCCCTAACCTATACTGTGCCATAGCGTAATCCTAGCAGAACGTATCTTTCACATATGAGGCCACTGGGCCAACAGAACACTAATAGACCAAACCGTGAAAAACCTTGTGTTCGCATAATAACCATGACTAAAAGTACCCTGTAATGTCTGAACAGGTGGTTGTGGTGGTAAAACCTTGTTAATTGATATAAGACTAATTTTTTGAGTCAAGAAATTGTGTTTTTGGTTACTCAATGCAAGAAAAACTGCTTATGAACATGGGTTACGAGCTAAGAAAAATGGAAAATGCTCAAAACTTGGTCTTACATGAAGAACCAAGGGGTCCCTGTGCCAATTCCCCATTCAGATGTTAAACCCTAATTACCCATTCATAGTGCTTGTAGTCATTTTTCTGGGAGGGGGGTAGGCCATAGGTGGCATTAGAATTGCACACACCTTTCCTCGAAGCTGTGATTAGTCCCCTACTGTATTTCGATTTTTTCCCTCTCATATAGTAACCGAGACAATTCAAAACATGTATATAAAACATTGACAACAACACAGAGTAGGCCCTACACTATAAGACAAATTTTTGAGTCACGAAATTTGTTGTTGGTCACTCAATGCCTAGTATGCCATAAGAAAAACGGATGAACATGGGTTACGAGCTAAGAACGATGGAAATTGCTGACCAGCAGATGTCAAACTTTGTCTTATATGGAGAACCAACCTCCTTTTTAGGTGGCTAATATAATTTGTACACTCTTTCCAGCCTTTGCTGACTGCCTCCAGAGTTTGGCTTTAGCATCCCATCCCCTCTGTGTGCGAACATAGAACTGATAAGCGCCGTCACTCTTCTATGCAGTTGCTGTGGTTGCTGCAACTGCTATAGCAGCTGCTATGATTGCTAGGACCGTTGTAGCAACTGATGGTGAAGCTGCAAGGACTGGGGCCGGGAGAGTAGAACCTGTGCTGGCTGGAGCCTAGATTGTCCCGCAAGGCAATTGACTATCTTGTGTGCCTTATTAGTCACATCTGTTATGTAGTACACAACATGCATTTGCAAGAGTTGAAGCAAATGCCACATTACGATCGTTTCTTTTCAGCAGCTTGTTCCATGCCTTTCAATTGCAGTAAAGTCACACGCATGTGGCTCTCTGTTTCTTTTACGCCTTTCTAGTAATCGCCAAATCCTAGATTTTTCCACGGGAGTTAGGTGCTCCCATACATGCACAGGTATGCCAAAAATCCTTTGTCATATCACTAAGTACGGTAGTACTTAGTTATATAGGGATTGGCATGGTACCCAGCATCATAGATGTATGGGGCTATGATAGGGGGTTTGTTCATCTTCTTCTTCTTCGTCTTCTTCTTCAGATTGAACTCGCGTATCTCAAAAACGAAATAACATATAGTAACGAAATTTTGTACCATCACCCGAAGAGACTGGTCATACTTATTTCTTTGTAAACAACAACAAATAGCCCAGGCACTTTTCTTTAAATTTACTTCTTCACTCCTCAAACTCTCCAATGGTAGCACACATAGAGATGAAACTTGGTAAGTATGCCTATTATATCATTTCCATGTTTCCATGACGACCGCATTTTGTTTGAAAAAAGCCTCAGGCAATTTTCTTTAAAACCACTTCTTCACTCCTCTAACTTGCTAATGGCAGCACGCATGGAGATGAAACATGGTATGCATATCATTTACATAACGACAACAGGCATTTTTTTTCTCATAGGGGCTTTCCCCCTTCCACAGAGATAATACGTAGTAGTATATAAAAATGAGTGGAAACAAATAAATTTAAAATCCTGCGAATTTAAAAAAACAGGCATATAGGGATGGAAGGGAGACAATATAGGGATGGGATACATTAAGCATGGTTAATAAACAGATTTGAGTACGCTGACGCCCCCAACCCCATCACACAATCCCTATATTGTTGCCTGGTGTGCTATATACTCTTATAGGGGCTAAAGGTTACTAAAAAGCAAGCATTATTTCACCGTGTCCCTGTTGTTTTTAGTAACATTTATACTGCCACATTCCCTTTTAAACTCCACTTGGACTCTATAAGGGTGTTGGTTACTCAGTAGTGTATTGTAAGTTCTGAGTATTGTAATGGTGAATGTTTAATACTTCATCATTTTTATATACTACTACGTATTATATCTGTAGAAGGGGGCAAGTCCCTATAAAAATGTTAATAGAGAAAAATGCCTGTTGTCGTCACGGAAATGATATGCATACCATGTTTCATCTCCATGTGTGCTGCCGTTAGCAAGTTTGAGGAGTGAAGAAGTAATTGTAAAGAAAAGTGCCTGAGGCTATTTGTTGTTGTGGTCGTCATGGAAACGATGTTACACACATGCACACCTAGTTTCACCTCCATGCATGCTACAGTTAGCAAGTTTGAGGAGTGAAGAAGTTATTATAAAGATAATCGTCTAAGGTTTCTTGAAATTGTATGCGGTCGTCATGGAAACATTTAGTTGTCATGGAAATGATATAATAGGCATACATACCAAGTTTCATCTCCATGCATGGTACTGTTAGCAAGTTTGAGGAGTGAAGAACTAATATTAAAGAATATTGCTGAGGCTTTTTCACCCAATATGCAGTCGTCATGGAAACATGTAATTGTCACGGAAATGATATATAAGGCATACTTACCAAGTTTCATCTCTATGTGTGCTACCATTAGAAAGTTTGAGAAGTGAAGAAGTAAATTTAAAGAAAAGTGCCTGAGGCTATTTGTTGTTGTTTACAAACGTGTGTTGTTGTGATTTTAATGTTGGTGATTGAATACATTATGTGTACAAAGTTTCGTTCACATAGCTCTTACCATTTGTGAGTTATACTGACACATGTGATCCCATTATAATGTATTGCCTGGTGCTATTTGTTGTTATTAAACATTCACCATTACAATACACTACTGAGTAACCAACACCTTTCTCGAGTCCAAGTGGAGTTTAATTGAAGGGAATATGGCAGTATAAATGTTACTAAAAACAACAGGGAATGTTTGCTTTTAGTAACATTTAGCCGTAGCACACCAGGCAACAATATAGGGATTGTGTGATGGGGTTGGGGGTGTCAGCGTACTCAAATCTGTTCATTAACCATGCTTCATGTATCCCATCCCTATCTGGTCTCCCTATATGCCTCTTTTTTTTAATTCGCAGGATTTTTAATTTACTTGTAGTTAATGAAGCACTAAAACGCATCTTCCAATCTCGTTAACACTCACATGTCTCTTCATTTGTAAGTGCCCACTGCCCGTGATTATCCGCAGTGCGGCACACAACTGAATCCTAATTTACTGATAATTTCTCTCTCTTCTTAGGCAAACCTGCTACAATCACGAGTAGCTGAGTGGTCCAAAGATGTGAAGGGTATTGTCAACTTAATGCAATCTGAAATCCCAGAAGTAGCTATCCATCTTTAACATGTAGTGTTTAACCTCAATATGCTGCAGTAACTTTACTTCTGTTTTATCAAATGCTTTTGTACATAATTTATGCTACCATCAATGATACAGCGATAATGGTCTGATGTCAACATGCATGAGCTATGCCAAGAATTCCGGCGATTTCGGGTGAGGCGCATTTCAAAACTCGCTGCGAAAGCTGCTGTGCGTGGAAGAGTAAACTGTTGTTATGATACAAATTGTAATGATGTACTTATTACTAAGTGCAGTATGCACTTAGTGTATATGGATGGGCATGGTATAAGTATGCACAGTATAATTATAGTACTTATAGGGGTGGGCGTGGTACCTGGGATCATTGATGTTTTGGGCTGTGATAGAGAGTTCATCATCTTCTTCAACACCATTAACTCAAAAAGTTACTGGTATCCGTCGTGGAGTTGAAGTGTGGCACTTCATCATAATAATCAGGGTAGTACAGCTGCCTTCTTGGCATCAATAAAAACTATGCAAGACTGATGAGAAAGGACAGCTAGCAATTATAGTCGCTATGTAAAGTTGTTGTTACCTAGGCTCTCCCTCATGACAATATTGAGATAAAATGACCGTATTATGAACATAATTTGGGTAAACCAAAAAGAAACGCCTTTGGAACTTTCACACGAAAATAGTGCCATGTTTGGAGATGCTAGCTTCTTTTCCGTGGCTGCATTTGTAGATGACTGGGTTCTGAAGCAAGCTACCCTTCAAAATACCAGTGTCAAAAGTCTTAGTCATCCTCACATCCCTTTCTTTTTTTCACGTGGTAAGAACACTAAGTCGGTTCTGTCCATACCTTTGGTTGTGCCAGGTGGAGAGCCTTGAAACAAGCGGCTTTACTATGTTGTCGACCCACCAATGCTTTGTGCCATTATTAATTTTTTGGTCTATAACGCGAAGCTACTATCAGCTAGTTTTCACAAAGATAAGTACTCCTGGGAAAGTGCTCGACGCATAATTTTCTTTGTATAATAATATGCAGCACCTTTGAAAATAGAAAATAGCAAAGCACAGATCAGAGGGTTCGATCAAATGGGTATTCCCTGGGGCCTACTACAATCAATTTTCAAACCGGGACAGGGGACAATACAGCACCACAAGACAGTGCATATGGGACCAGATTCCATTATGATCCCCGATTTTTGCAATCAGGTCGTCTTTTTGTGGTTTCTGTCATCTCTCTCCGATCGCTTCTGTGCTGTTTTACCAAATGTGGTGGACAGTCTTTCCGTTTAGTGTTTACATGTCGTATGAGAAATATGCTTCCCCCTTTGTTGAATCTCTGTGGATTATACGGGTTTATTGATGCTCATTCCCATACTAGGATCTTAACATGGACTTTGATCACCCAGGTCCCCTGCAAACTTGCTGTCTAATTTAATGCAGATTTGGTGTCAGCCACAGAAGCTCTATATTCACATAATTGAGTTGTGCTGCATGCTCATAGATCAACCACAATACATGCACCTTTGAGATATATCTTCTGTGTCTTATCTTTCTGACCTCTCTCCCTTTGTTCTTCATGATGCTGATCTCCTGTTTGTCCTCATTCCTCCCGGCCTCTATGTCCCCAAGGATCAGCGGGTCCTAGCTTTGAGCGAAGTTGAGTGAATTGTAATGTTTATGTTTAGTATTCCATTTGAACGTTCCTGTTCTGATCAAGGTTGCATAATAATATGCTCTGAAGTGAGCCAAACATGTAGGTCAATTGCAGAACCATTAACGTGTTGAGTGAATCATTCTATATACAAAGGAGCCCTTTTGTGTGCTCATGATGAGGTGGACCCAAGTTTCTCACTGACTCATTGAAGTGTAAGATCTTTTGTGTATTAGGTGTCAGATATCTTTCCGTTCATGATAATAATAATATAAAGAGAAAAAGAGAAGGAATCGGTAGTAAAACCGGTGTAAAAGCTTATTGGCTTTGCGATGTGAAACAGAAATAGAACTTAAAATGAATATAGCATGGAGTTTATAATGAATATAGCATGATTCAGCAACATATAGATCTCGCAATTTTCTGTAGGTAATAAATTTAACATAACAGGTAGTGAGTAATAAAACACAACCAAAAAGCATAATATTCTGAAGCTTTCCAGTATTTGCACTCGGTCTAGCTACAAGGTTTGTGCATAATTGTTGAAGGGGGACGAATGCTTATTAACTTGCTGTCTGCTGTATAACTATTTTTGAGCAGGACTAAACTCGCTGGTGGTGGGATCTATCAAACCAAGGGTTGACTAGTAGGCATACAATATATAGCAAAACACAGTCCATTCCTTTTAAAAAGTGGCAGTGTTAGAAGGCAAGAACCGGGTGGATGAAGTCCGTGCTTTTTGTCGCCTGTTCTAAGGCTTTCTTTAGAGAACTTCTCAACACTCCTCTGAGGGCCTGTTGTGTTGTCACATATGTATAGATAGATGACATGACATCTTCCAAAAAAAAGGGTTCTCCCTGCTTGCTATGGGCAAGCATAAAAGCCATTGTAACCTACCCTATTCAAGGCAGTTGCTTTAGCAGGTAGGTCACATGTACCAGTTGATATAATGGCCCGGCACACAAACAGTGTATGGAGGTCATGTGGATGAACCTCCCCACACCATGACTATATAATATACATCACTTAACATTGGTTTATAAGAAATGTCGTTCTGAAAGGTTTTGTGGAGCCAAACCATGCATCTGTGGAAGCTCATTTGTTTTCAAGTACAGGCCACATGGAATGATGGATGAAGATGAAAATTACCTCTCTCTTGGCCGATCCTTAATGCTCCTGTATTTAATGACGCGTATAACAACATCTGCAAATCAAGCCTACTAACATAAAATAGAGGAACCCGTCAGTGTTCCACTGGAACGATAGGCTATGAGCAGTGCTGAGAAATTATGTTCAGGGGCGATATAAATAATGTTGGCTTAGGAACAAAGTATGATTTGTGCTGCATCTGTTAAGATGTGTTTTAAAATGAATGACATTATTAGAAGCAAGCTAGTGACAAGATAGATATTGGCATTATGATAAAGAGAAGCATCATCACTTGGCTGGTCAGTTAGGCTCACTTTCTGGCTCAAAACATGTCGCAAAATCATCAGAAGAGGACAAAGTGCATTGAGAAGAAGCGGGTAGAGTGGGAGGAGTAGGAGAGGGAGTGGATGAAGAACAGGGAGAAGGGCAAAAGACGGAGGAAGGGTTTGGGGTTGGAGTGGATGTACCCTGAACATGGCTAAAGCTCTCTACTTCCATCCAATCTGAATCATTCTGTATAAAAATGGATTTCTGTTACAATTGAGCATCTCAATCTTTACGCCTTACCTCAACATCCACCCTTCTCCAATCTGCGTAAAGTATGATATATATAAGCTGAAGTAAGTCTTTTGCTGCATCTGTTAAAGGGACAGTCATTCTGCTCAGTCATCTCCACGTCACCTACCTCAATCTTCTCATCGTTTTCCTTCTTATCACCCTCATCGTCACCCTCCTCTTTCACACACCACATCGTTGGCAAGATTCTACGCATCGCTACCTTGTCATGTCCTCATCATAGGTCACAATCACAATCACCATGTCATCAGATCCACTACAACAGTAGTAGTCCCTCTCCTCAACCTCCGTCGCCTTATCCTAGCCACACACCCCGGCATCCCAATCCAGAGGTCTTTTTTAGTTTTCACTGTCACCTAAGGTTTTGATGTTCTCTCGAACTGATTGTCTCCTTATTTGCTTAGTTTTTTTATACAATATTGTTGCCTATTTTCACATTTTTCTTTAGTCACCTGCCTGCCCTTGTTTCTGTATTGTCACTCACTTCCTCACACCACCCTCAAGCGACTTTTGGTGAAAGTGAAAGACCCCACTCCACATATGCAGAGAAGAAAATATTGTCTACCTGATTCCTTGTAGAAATTGTCCCCAAGTCTACATTGGTCAGACTAGCAGGTTGCCCAAGACCCGGATTGATGAACACAAGCCAGCGGTCAAGCACACATGGACTGAGGAGTCTGCAGTATATGAACACGTCCCGGTCTCGTGGACTTCCAAGCAGCCACAGTCCTCGAAGAGGAAACCAATCTCCACCAACTGGCACTAGAGTCATGGCACATCAAGAAGCACTCCACTTTCAACCGAGAAGCAGGCACTCTTTCTTCTTTTGTAGTTTTCACTGTCACCTAAGGTTTGGATGTTCCCTGAAACTTTTTTCTCATTGTCTTCTGAGTTGCTGTTTTTTTTAAACATTTGTTGATTTTTTATACTATATTGTTGCATTTTTATACCTTTTTGTCATCTACTTGCCCTTGTTTCCTTATTGTAACTTATCTACATACTTTCTGGTGGTGGGTGGAATTTCCTTCTTCCTTTCTCTCGCCCTGCAACCTGTCACTATGTACATCACCACTGATGAGGACTGCTGAATGCAGTTGAAATGTCTGGTGTATGTGATTATAGTGAATCGTTTATTTATGTATCATCTCAAACTCTATTCTCTATTTTATATTTTATGTATCTATTCACTATCAATAATGTTGAAACTGAACTACACTCATTAGTGGCAAACCTGGCTGTCAATGAAGCCGCATTTAGCTTATGAATATTCAGATAAAGTGCAAGCTTGGTACTAAATCCCCAAAATACAAACTTGCTTTTCAAGTTTGTCACAAGCTTGATATAAACCAAGCAAGCTATTGTTTATTTAGAGTAGGCATCACCCGCGGCGCCACCTGCTGGGCTAGCTATAATAAGGCATGGTCGGCTGCGCGCGACATGGCGATTTGGACGCTGCCGCGGCGTGCGCAAAATATACGATGCCGGCTCGTCGTACTGCCATTTGACTGCGCATGCGTGTGTCCACATGGATCTTGATGGCATCATGAGTTTTGCGGCGCCAGAGAGTAGGTATGTTTATGTGTTTGGGACTAGCGATGCAACCTTGATAGGTTTAAGCCACCCCTTGTGATTTTTGAGTCTGTGGGTCCGTATTTATCGTGGCTGTGCCCACGTTTGGCAAGGAGGAACACTACTCTGTAAAGAGTACAGCTGCCCATTTGTGCCTGAAGCGTAAGCTGGCGTGCATTCCAAGAATAGCACAGCAGAAGCTAACCGGAGTAAATTAGTGGTGTAAAAATGACAGAGAAAGGAGCAACTGAACCCGTCTTCGTGTGTTTAAATAGCTAAGCACAATTTAAAGATCAGCCGTCTCTAGGCATGAAGCTTACATAATTTATAAAAACTCCCAGGAAGACGCACTATTCCTTTGATTTGAGCACCGTTGTACCTCAGATCAAAGGGAGGTATTGTCAGTGGAGATTATTGGCCAGCCAAATAATTGGCGGGTGCATGGCTAGTGTATCAAATTGTGGACCAAATGGAGTGTTAAAGGATATTGGTCAAGGCTTCTGTTGTAACCTTTGTGGACTGGCTACATGTAGTTTTTAATTTTGTTGTTTTGTATATGTACTGCTTATATTAAAATTCTAATGTACTGCTTGTATTAAAAGTCTAATCCGTGTCTAGCATCATTTCCCGAGTAATTTGCGTGCAAATACTGCACTAAGTGACTACTTTTTACAACACCTACATGTGTGTGCACAGTTAGTAAATGAAACGCTGCAAGGATTTAGTCACGAAGTTTTCACAAATATGTTTTAACACCCCTTAGGTTTGTGTGCCATAAGCAAATCTTTGGATGCCATTTGGATTCTTTACATAAGCAGAATTTTTCTATTCAGTATCCCCTAGACTAGTATTATAACCCCCATATATATTCTTATGGGCGTCTGGACGCATTTATGTGTCCGTGGCTGGTTATGTGTTAAACTTCCAGGTGTGACTTTACTAGAAAATAGGGTACCCTGAATTATATATTAGGTGAAGCGCCTGGTCATAGACTGCTTGGCGAATTCTTTGTCCCATTCTCCACTGATTCGGTTCCATGTGCACCGGCCTCGAGTGTTTGTACGCATACAAATAGAAGTGCAGCAAACAATACAGACAAGGCCTTGACAGACTCTCTACGCTAAGGTTCCTGCAGTAAATTGTCGAATGCTGCTTTGCATTACAAGAATGTGCGGTTCCATTATGTTATGATTACAAGAATTTATGGTTCCATTATGTTATGATGACTTTGTACTGATTGCTCTCTCACCAAGAAGTACACATGATAGTTAACCCTCAATGTGCATGCGCAGAGAGGGTTATGGTACTTGGTTTGTGTGAGTGTTTCTGTCTGTTATTACGTTTTTTGCCACCATGCACAAGATATCAACCAGAGGTGATAGTAAACGGTTCATTGCTACACACACTTTTTAATCGGTGATTTTCATTAAACCGTTCAAAAGTTGTGGCATGAAAACCAAGTAAATGTACCGTGTCTGCTACTACATGCTGAGTGAGAGTGTTCTATTTTGTTGTATATAGATTTGAACCCCTACCAGCTGAGATTCCCTCGTAGCTGAGTTGGTTGAGTGCTCGCCTGTGTCTTGGGTTTGAATCCCACCTAGGGAAGTTCTTGTTTTTTCCTTGGAAAATAGCTGTCCTTGGTATAGTTGACTTGTTTTCTTTGCCGCCTTTCTACCTCGTTTATGTCACATGGCAATTTACCTTGACCTTTTGTTCTTATTCGTGAGTTAAGCAAGCCTTTCTAGTCGTCTGAGTGCGGAAATATTTTGTATGTACATATCTACGGGCATTGCCACCTACCATAATGTAAGTACAAGTGAAACACAAGAAAAATTGAACTGTTATTATCTACATATGTGGTTTACCTATTAACTACAGGGGAGAACAAGTTGAAAAATTGCAAAAATCAACACGTGATCTGTTTAATCACTGCTTCCAAGTGAACGAAGGTATGTTTTGTTTAGTGCGTAATTTGTTAAAATCCTATTCAGTGTTTCCCGCAGCATTATAACTACTGGGCGCTCCGCCCGGATTGAAAAATCCCGAAAATGTGGGTGTACAATTATTGCGCATGTGTAAAATGCAACTAGGGAGTTACAGTAATGCGCTGCTTATAGAGTAGCACTTGAAAGGCTTTAGGCATGCAGGATATTTCCAAACAGGAAGTGCTTTGAAACGTGAGTAGCAAGTAGCTGAAAGCTGAGGTAATTAATAATCCATAAGCACCCTGTTTGAATAAGGAAACACTGCATGCTATTGCGTTGGTCTGCTTTTCTAGTGCATTACTGTGTCTCTTTGTACATTTGCTCAGAAAATATTTTCTGACATCTAACTGCTCCTGTGAGGCTGGAAAATTCATGTGGTTAAGTTACAGTTATGCATTCCACCCACACAACATCTGGTGTGTGGACGCAGCAGGGTTAAATTGTGTTATGTGGGGAGACAGGTCTAAACCTGTTAACCCTCGGCATGCACAGCGAAGGTTATGTTATCTACTACTGTAGCTAGCCCGTGTCACACTCTCTGCGAGTTACCCGCGGGTGACCACGAGTAAACGCATACTAATAGCCCAGCCCATCAAATTAGCGGTATCGAGCATGCGCAGTTCGCCGAGTGTTAGCACTTTAGTGCTTTTTAATCTTGCTATTGTACTATGTTTTGAGAAGAAAATGGGAGGAAGGGATGAGGAGATTCCTCCCCTTTCCTTATCTATAAAATAAACCTGATGATTGCTCGAGTTTATTTGAGGTCCAGTGAAACTTAGACAGAATCAACCAGCGAAACAACCAACTCGATGTAGTATTGAAACCAGAAGGAACCAGAGAGTTGGCAAGCGTATATAACATAGACACTGGCGTGCGATACACACATGAAAAGCACATGGAGTGTGATATGCATTTTTCTTGTAAACTCTTGAACAAAATGTGTATGCTAATGTATGCACAGATTGTAAGCTATTTAACCCTCGGCGCGCATGCGCAGCGAGGGTTACAGTACTTGGGTCTGTCTGTCTGTCTGTCAGTCTGTCTGTTACTCTTCATCTCACTTCTCGAGTGTTCTTTCGTCTCACAAAGGATACCACCTACCGAACGGGCGATAGGTCAGATTTGTGGGGTTTTCTCTGAAACTGCTCCGTTGCAAAGCTAGAGCGCGAAAAAGCCAATATGCAAATACGAAACGGACGGGATGGCTTACCGCGGTCTGATCTATCCGCGTGCTCTGCGTACTTCGGAGGCACCAGAAGATGCAACGCAGGGCGTGTATCGCCTCTCGCATGCTATCTAGTAGTGTAGTTAGCCCGCATCAGACTCTGCGCGAGCTGGCAAGAGACCACGAGTAACAGCTAAAACTAAACCCAGCCCATCAATTAGTGGTACGGCGCATGCGTTTACTTACGCGTGCGCGTCACAGAGCGCCGAGGGTTTTCACTTCAGTGTTTTTCATTTATTAAGTAATTGTCGAGTTCGAATGGAACCACCTGTGTAGAGCATAGCTTAACTAAAATGCGCATGAATGTGCACTCTTTCAGTCAAAACCACGATTACAAACTTTGCTGTTCAATATTTCAACAGCGCTCACTGTTGCACTGTTCTTCTAGAAAGCCATTCTACTGTTTCTTTGTTGACATTCATGTTCGCACTTCCACAACCTGCTATGCATGGGGAACGCTATCAAAGAATTAACTGGGGCCGACCTTAGCGGTGAAATTGACAGTTCTTTGGCGAAAATTTCGATGCCATAGACCTTGGCCAAGTTGTGTGTAACGTGTGTACACCATGATATTGTGACGCTATTGCCCCCAAAAAATAGATGTTGCATACAGGCAGAGAATTGTCAAATAGTTAACCCTCGGCGCGCATGTGCAGTGAGGGTTACTGTAGTTGTCGTGTGTGTCTGTGTGTCTGTCTGTCTGGTCTGTCTGTTAGCACCCAAACTCCCTTCATGAGCCATGAATCGCTCCACAAACAATACCATGTATTCAGCGTCGGGTATAGGTTAAAAATTATGTGGCTATGAAACTGTGCTTGCTCTGCGTAACTTGGAGGCACCATGGGTTGCAATGCGGGGCGTGTATCGACTGTCGCATGTTATCTAGTGGTGTAGCTAGCCCGTTACCGACTCTTAGCGACCTGGTAGGAGACCATGAGTAGGTAAAATGGCCCATCCCATCAATTAGCAGTATAACACATGCGTGTACTTCTGTGCATGCACGTTTCGTGCCTGGCACAATCTGTTCGCGCATGCGCAGGATATTTTAATCCCGTACCTAGCCTATTGTTGAGCAAAAACATGGCAGATGCACAGTGAAAGATGTGCCTCGCTTGGTAGCACACTTACCTCGTCTACAGCCTTTCACAGAAGACTGTGTATATAGGCGGTCTTCGTCAACTTTGCTTTGACATGGAACCCTTCTCTAGCGAGCACGCACGACTCCGCCGAGGGTTTGCACTTTAGTGCTTTTCGTTTTAAAGGGCGAATGCATGAATTTTAAATGGTATTTCCTTTTCTGTTTCTCCTTTTGAAAGCTGTCCAGCGGTAGAACGATTTTGGAAACGTTTTATGTATGGCTTTAGTAGGGAACGACTACCACTGATTTTTTTAAATTTCCCCATACTTGCAGTTTTCTTACAATGCTTAAAACTCCATGATATATATTACTTTTCAGAGCCGCAGTGGAAAACTCTATTTGGGTTTATTAAGCAAACATGTTCTTTGCGCCCTGAGACCTTTGTTCAAAGTCATTCCTCCCATCATGTTCCTAACCATCAAGATGGTAAGTAACACAATTATCCTAGGTGTATTGGCAATGTTCGCAGTTACACAGAAGTCATGCAGCTGCTGTAGTTCAATTGGGGAGTTCCTACCACGAAACAGCATGCCAAAAACGAATGGGAATTTGTGTAATCTTGGCCACCACGCTGTACATGAGGTTACGCTGGCATTTGTAAATAGCAGAAAGGCGCAGAGTATGAATACAGGAGTAATGTTTGCCACAAAGGTGTGCACGGGGCTATCGTGAAGCAGTATGACTTGCCTTACATCATCAATTCTCGCAGCGTCCCAACTCGGTCAGATGTCGTAGATCATCTCCTTCGACGACAGGCTAGGGTGATGTGTGCAACCATACTTTATTGCGTGCTGCATATTTAGAATTATATACGTAAAACCTTATGTATGTGTTTTGGGACTTAGCTATTTTTCGCAATTCAAGTGTGCATGTGTAAAAAGGATTCCATAACATTGTCTCTCTTTAGTACAGTAGACATACACTAATACATCGAAAGTTAAAGGAAGGTCCTTTCTGCTATAGCATGCGCAATTTTGTCACTTGTTGAGCCACCTGACGATCGAAAGCCAGTTTCCAAAACACAAGATTTGGACAGCTTCACTCTCCTTCCATGTGCCACTGGCTGTTGTAAGATAAGCATATTCTTGCAGGCACGGAAACGTGGCGAGTTGATGAACTGTTGAGGCATGTGAGCTACATTTACATGGAATGGGACGTGTTGGAAACGTTTGGCTCCCAACAAGTTGTCAAACTAACACTGTAGAATGTGCACAACGCAATTGTGCACGGATGTGTGTTGACTTCAATTTTTGCGCGTTTTCCCTGCTCCATATAGAAATGTATGGGACCCGAACTCATGATGAGGCATTAAACAAATTATTCAAGATGCTGAGGGTTTGAGCAAACCATGTTATTCACTTGGTTTTTAAAACATAACCGTTTTTAATTGCCTTGAATTGTGTAAGGGTTGACCTTAGCATGGATAAAATGCTTGTGAAATTGTTAATTCTGGTACGTTTCTCGAGTTTTCAGGCCTTGTTTTACAATCTTCAGCATGCATGCATTCCTATTTTCTCCTCCATACTTTAAATAAGGGGAAAACCAGTTTGCGAATTCCGGTGAAATTGCGCACTTGCGCACTGGTATCTCTTGAGTGTGGCCAAATTCGGAACATTGCACATTCGTTGACATTTGTAATGCAGATGCACTATGTTTACCGTGCATACTTGTGAAGTCAAGCAGTTGTTCTCTTGCATTCAGAATGTATGGAGGAGGAATATGAATGTGCTCAAAAGCGCATGGTATAGAGGATATAAATTGGGGATGGACGGAGTAACAGTAGGCATGTGAAAGCACGCGAAACACCTGCTATCTTCCCGCAAACTTAAGCTATATAATTATATTAGTACAAGATAAATGTTCTGCCAGTTCTTTTGGTGTATACTGGAGTTACACGTGTAAAACAAGGCCTGAAAAGTAACAAAAATCTCGAGTGTTTTTACCGTGCAATAACTTAAATATCGATGCCTGTGCAATATTCGGGGAATTCTTTAATGCTGTGTTTTTTAACTCGCTATTTTATCTATCACTCATGTCCAACATTGCCATTTAATGTCATAGCTGTACACGTAACTACATAGTTACTCTGGATAGCGATGATATACACTGTATGTCACACGTCTCTTCACTGTTGAGTATGCATGTTCATAACCTTGTCAGAGTATCCCCATACACAAGACTAACTCTGGCAGTACACGTACACCATGTGTACTGCCACTGCACCATTACCCCTTGTTTGAGCTCTTTCTCGATGGAGACGGATAAAGCCAGCGCTGTTCGCGACCAGAAAAGTCCACTCAACATTTTTCTTAACCGACTCTAATTTTACGTACAATGAGAAATATTGAAATGATACGAAATGCATGACATAACATACTGCCGGCCAAGACCATATGTTCTTTAAGTGAACGTGATAGTGATACAATTACGCAATGTTCATTAATAATGTTCACTCTTGCGAGGGCAGAAGAAGCACCATCTTCGTGATAGGTCGTTTGTAGATCCCTGTGATTGTCTTTACAGTAGCGACATGTACCAATTTGTCCTTGCCGGCATGAACGTGGACGACTCGAGCGAGGGGCCATTTGGTAGGGATAAGCTTGTCCTCCTGTACAACGAGAACATCTCCATTCTGAATGTTCCTGGTCGGGTGTTGCCACTTGGTCAGATGTCGAAGATGTGTGACATACTTGGCTGCCAGAAGTGCCGAACGACGGACTTACACAGATGCCAGCGACGAAGTAGTGGGAGAGCACGATATGAAAGAGACGTATCAGGCAGCAATTCCATTGACTTCCTGATCAGGAAGCGTCCTGGTGTAAGAGCTTCGACACCATGAGAGTCACAGGACATTGGAGTTAAGGGGCGACTATTGAGACAGGCTTCCACTTGCGTGAGGATGGTAGTGAATTCTTTGAAGGTAAACTTGGTGTTGGCAATGACGCGTTTCAGATGAAACTTCATGCTCTTGACAGCTGCTTCCCAGAGGCTACCGAAATGAGGAGCACGTTCTGGGATCAACTTCCATTCGATATTCTGTGCAGAACAAAACTCTGAAATAGCTCCTTGTTTGTATCCTTTGTTTCTCCAAGAATTGAAGGAGTTCCTTGATTTCACAAGAAGCACCAACAAAGTTAGTACCATGATCGCTCCAAATGGTAGACGGTCGACCGCGATGGGCGATAAATCAATCAAGTGTGGCGATGAAGGTCTCCGTGATAGTTCAGAGACAAGCTCCAGATGGACAGCCTTGACTGACAGAGCCACGAAGACACAAACGTATGCCTTGACAGTGGTAGGCTTACGGATAAAACTGTACTTTATGCAGACAGGACCAGCATAGTCCACACCGACGTTCTTGAAGACTGGACTGGGCGTGAGGCGCTCAGGAGGCAATTGGCCAAGCATCTGAGGTCGAGGTCTCGTGGATGTTCGGCGACACGTAATGCAGCCGCCAGTGACGGAATACACAGCTTTGCGTGATCCAATAATGTTATAGCGACGACTGAGAGATGCTGCGATGAGTGTAGGTCCAGCGTGGAGGAAACGTAGATGTTCGGAGTAGATTATCAACTTCGTAACTTGATGTTTGCCATGTAGAACAGCTAGGTGATGAACGGAATAGCAGAACTGAGCATTTTGTATTCTGTATAACTCCAGCTTGATCTATGATTGGATTGAGAAGGAGTAGACAGCTGGATTTGGTCAAAGTGTGACCTGTCCTGAGTGACTGGATCTCTTGTGTGAAATTCTCTTCCTAAGCGAGACGCAGCCAGTAATTCTTGGCTAAGGACAGCTATTGGACTGAGAGAGGCGACAATACTCGGGCAGCGTCGCGAGAACGGCAGTTGTTCACGAAGCGGAGGATCCAGGCAGTAACATACCTGAAACGAGTGAAGCTGGAGAAACGATCCAGTGGAATGAAAGGGGGCTTCTGATGTAGTTTGGAGTGGATGGACACTTCTCTTTCCTTGTCTGATGGACCCACATCTGGAATAGTTGACAGCTTTGGCCAGTCAGTGGAGGGAACTTCAGCCACTCTGGACCGTTCCACCAGAGATCATGATTCAACAATTCAGAGGGGAAAAGGCCCCTGGAGGCACAGTCTGCGGGATTGTCTGTTCCATTGATGTGTCTCCATCGATCAGGTGCAATTAGTTCAGCGATGTGTGAAATTCGATTCCCAACAAATGTCTTGAAGCGTCTCGGACTGCCGACAAGCCAGCTCAGGACGACGGTGCTGTCAGTCCAGGCATAGATGCAGATCAATGGTAGATTGAATGCAAGCTGAACGTGTTGCAGCAATTGTGCAAGCAAATAGGCACCACACAGTTCCAAACAGGGAATGGTGAGTCGCTTGATTGGAGCAACTTTGGTCTTTGACTGCACAATCGAGAGATAACGCCTCCGGTTGAGTCAGTCATACGGAGGTAGACGACGCCTGCGTACGCATGTTTGGACGCATCACAAGATCCATGTAGCTCGACAGCAACAACATTGACTGCATCTGGGAAGTAGCACGAAGACTCTCGGTATTGAGTGGAACACAACTACTGATCAGTTTCGTCTCTCGATCTCAGAGCTATATACCCCCTCTCGACTGCGTCACCAAGCATGTCCTCGTGTCTGATATCGCGAAGACGTTCGACGTACTAGGATGGTTCTCTCCCACCATCAAAAACTGCTCAAATCTTCGTAGCTTGACTCCTTGCGAACAGCTTGCATGGGGACTTCTTGTTGCGGTTTCTCCAGATCAGCAGTGGGTACAGGCTCAGCGTGATTCATCTGAAAGTACTCCTCCATTACGTCACTGAATGCCTTGAACTGACCCTTGGAGTGTAAGGAACGTTCGAGAGAAAGGAACCTTCTTACGGCTTGAGAGCGAGATTCTCCAAATGGCTTGGGATAAGGAGGCTTCTTTTGGAGAGGAACAACAAATCTGCCAGCTTCATTGCAGTAGTGAGTCTCCTTGAAGTGCTGCACGACTGATAGTTCCTCAGAGAAGAGGCATACCTCGCTGTTTGGATTCTCTTCAATCTGTCAAAATCGACGTAGCAGATTGTCTGGTGAAGGAGGCGTGGTCTCAACAAACACATCAACTCCCAGTAGAACATCGATTCTTCCAGGATGTCCGAAATCTGGGTCACCAAGTGGGATGTATTCTAGGTGATTCCAGGATGATTCAAACGAGACCGGATGAAGAGGAAGGTCACATGTTACTCGTGGAACAATGATGGCTGAGACTTCCTTCTTGTGAGACCATATAGAAGACACTTTGACGCTTGCAATTGACCAAAGTGGGGAACAGTGAGAGAGGCCAGCGATCCCAGAGACCTTTGTACTTTGACGAGAACGACGGAGACAGAGAGTCTGCGCCAAACGCTCAGAGACGAATGATGCTGAGGGCACAGAATCGAGGAGGGCTCGAGCCTCCACTGTAGAGCCGTCAGGTGCATCAACACTTACGCGACACCTCATTAGCAGAGTGTTGGATGACAGACTTGCAGCAGTATGAGAGGACACTGACTTAGGGGTAGGATTTGTCGACACGGGAGTGGAGGACACAGGAGTTGTTTGAGAACCTTGTTCAGTCTCGACATGGAGTAGGGTGTGGTGCGGCTTCTGACACTTCTTGCAGTGATGTAACGACTTGCATTGTTTCACAAAGTGCCCAGGCTTCAAGCAGTTCATGCAGAACTTGTTTTCCTTCATAATGGATATCATCTTATAATGTGCGAGGGCTTTGAAACGGGCACAAACGTAAAGGGGATGTTTTTCATTCTTGCATAGGACGCAGTTGGCAACGGTGTCATTAGCGTTTGCAGCAAAGGACACGACTGGTTTGGCAGGGTTAGAGGAATGCTTCATACCTCTTTGACCGGAAGTAGGCGTTTCAGATGCTTGCTCACGGAGGTTGATGAACTCCAGTAGCCTCTTGTAGTGCGGTACGTTGGTAGAGTCTTGGCTGTGCTTCTGCCATTCAAACATAGTGTTGACGTCCAGTTTCATCGTGAGAACTGATGTGATGAAAGGACCTGATGGTTCATAATGGATTGCCTTTATCCTGCTGTACAACATCGTGCAGGCGACGTAGCTCTTTGCCGCTGCTTTCCTTCAGAGGAGGTGACTCTAGGATCGTGCAAACATGGGTCTGATGAATTAGGTGAGGACGGTCATAGCGAGACTTCAGGCACTCAATAGCTTCAGCGTAGTATTCCCCAGACCGTGGAAGACCTTCAATGGCGCTCTTGGCGGACCCATTCTTGAGCGATTGTTGCAGGTAAACGAGTTTTTCAGGATCAGAGAGGCTAGGACAATCGTGTACACGGACGCGCAGAATTGCTCCCAGAAGGATCTCCAGTGGAGAATATTGCCGTCGAAAGTTGGCACATAAAGTTTAGGTAGTTTCACTCCCTTTCTGTCAGAGGATGTGGTGGGAGAGTCAGACTTGTGTGATGACACGAGCAGTAGCTTCTTGACTTGAAGTGATGTATCAAAGATTTCTCCCTCCAGGCTAGCTTGTAACGTGGAGAGCTCATCCGTTTCCTCCAGGTTGATAGACAGGAGACTGGTACGCACGTGGCCGAGTTCCTTCTTGCAGTCACCGAGTTCTTCCTCGTACTGACGTAGGAGGGAGACGTCAACAGGTTTTTCCCCAGAGGACGCGATGGCTGTTCTAACAGAGGACAGGGCCTTCTTCAAGTGTGAGAGTCGTCGAGATGCGATCTTACGAGTGGGCGAGTCGGACGCAGGCGTGCAGGCATTGATGAGCTGCTTGATGCGCGCAGAGAGATCAGTGACAAAGTCGTCGTGGTCGTCCAGTATATATTGCTCCGTCGAAAGGGCCTCTTCATCATCATTGAGGTCAATGAGGGCGTGGTGATGTGTCCTGAACTCCTAATCCAGTGCTTACGTGTGATTCCCTGTGCGAGCTCAAACGTGACGGGTTTGTCCGTGTTGTTCTCCAGATCTTTGAATCGATTCGTTAGACGAGTGATGGAGGTGTGGATTATGCCTCTCCGTTTTTGAAGGGTGGCTGCATTGCTCATAGTCGACAGGTGGCTCGAGCTGACAAAGGCGAGAGGTACCATGTGGCCGTTGTTGTAGCGTTATGATGAAAATGAGTAGGCTCTCAACAAAGAACCATCCAGGATTTGCTGGTTCGACTTCTATCCGGCTCGAAGGACCATAAATGTTTGAGCTCTTTGTCGATGGAGACGGATAAAGCGAGCGCTACTCGCGACCAGAACAGTCCACCATTTCTCAACTTTTTCCCAACCGACTCTAATTTTACTTACAATGAATTATTGAAGTGATACGAAATGCATGGCATAACACCCCTCTGTCAGAGTATCCCCGTACACCAGACTAACTCTAGCAGTACGCTTACACCACGTGTACTGCCGCTGCACTATTACCCCTCTGTCAGAGTATCCCCGTTCACCAGACTAACTCTGGCAGTACGCGTACACTACGTGTGCTGCCACATCTACAGCAAGAAAAATGGCTGGGATAACCTATGTTGTTGACAGAATGCATTTCAAAGGCCATGTTGATCCATGGGGCAAACAAAATTGTGACCCTAACAAGTTACCAGCCATGGAAAAGGTGTACGTACCATACATGCATACCGCTGTTTAAACTCAGTTCCTTTCCTATTCTCACAGGTCAATAGTGAAATTTGCGAACAGACATTCGTCTGGCTCTCACGCTACTCCAAAATATCATGTCATGAACAGGGAGCTCTTTTGTGTTTTTCATTTTATATCTATGCGAACTACACAACAGGCGTTTCATGAGCTAAACACATATTTCCCTTAATGCTCATTTTAGAATAGCAAATTGTCATACACACTTCTGCATTTTCTTATCCAGCCCAAAAAATATCACAATGTTTTACGTACTATACAGTGACAGTATGCGTAGTGTACTACCAGAGTTAGTCTGGTGTAGGGGGATACTCCAACAGAGGGGTAATGGTGCATTGGCACAGGACAGACGAGTAATGGGGTAGTGAGACACTGTAGAATCAGCCTGTTAGGCATGCAGCGTCACAGTAATGTTCAGAGTAACTATGGACTTCTGAGAAAGTCCTTTACAGCACTGGACATCACTCGGCAGGACAGACACACTGACGGACAGACCCAATACTTGCTGTGCATGTGTGCTGGGCTCTACCACGCATTATTACACACAAGCCTGATTTCAATGCACCTTTTTATTCTTTCCTTAGGTTTGATTTTGTGGCTTCTAAGCGGGCTTTTGCAAGTGTTATTGAAATCTGAATGTAGGGAAGTCTGCTGTGGTGCCAAAGAATGCATTTTAATTATCTTGCAGGTAAATGTTTTGGAGTTGTAGTTATTATTGTTACTCTTTTTCGCAAGCAAAGTTAGCTTAGCTTACTCAACTGCGTAAATCCGATGACACTGTCGTGCATCCTGTAATGTTTTACAACAACAGATTTGGATCTTCAGAGTAATGTGTATACAGTACGTTTATGTTCACTTGCCAATATGGTATTAGTGTTAAAGCCAAATACTGGTGTCCTTCCTTCTTCCTGAATTTTTACCCATTATTGTGACCCACTCTATATAATCATCACGTCACTTACTATGAAACCTTGATGGCTGAGTTTGTTAACCCTCGGCGCGCATGCGCAGCGAGGGTTACAATAGTTGGATCTGTCTGTTACTCTCAATCTCACTTCTCGGGTGTTTGTTCGTCTCACAAAGGATACGACCTACTTAACGGGCAATGAAGGTCAGAAATTTCGAACGGTTTTCTTTGAAACTGCTCCGTTGCAAGGCTAGAGGATGGCTTATCACAGTCGGATCGATCCGCGTGCTCTGCGTACTTCGGAGGCACCAAAAGTTGCAACGCAGGGCGTGTATCACCTCTCGCATACTATCTAGTAGTGTAGTTAGCCCGCATCAGACTCTGCTCGAGCTGGGAAGAGACCACGAGTGACAGCTATAACTAAACCCAGCCCATCAATTAGTGGTACGGCGCATGCGTTTACTTACGCGTGCGTGTCACAGTGCGCCGAGGGTTTACACTTCAGTGCTTTCATTATATTATGCCCAGTAGGTTAGTGGGGAAATTCATATACATTTTGCCCTGTGGGTAATCTGTTATTTTTTCATTTTTGCAGCTTGTTCAATGTCGTAACCATTCCTTGCTCTGTTACATCTTGAGAGAAATCAGTGAAATTTCTTCAGGTCAGATTATCATCAAGGTTGTATTTCCCCATGTATCAATGTGAACGTTGTTCAGTTTCGAAAAGCGTTAATATCTCAAAACCCAGGTAACACATACACAGATGAAACTGCACAGAACCTGGAATCCATGGCAGGACATGCATACCGTAATGTTCTAGGTGATTCTAAATACACAGGAAAATTAACTGCTCTTGCCAAAAAGGTGTTGCATTCGTTTTGTAAGCTCTTGCACCAGAGAGCAGGGTACAGACACAAACCATGATTTAATTGTCCGAGGTACTTTTCTGCTGTTGTAATTTCTCATCTTAGTTTATCAGTGTACCAACTTTTATTGCTAGAGGACTTAGCATAAGCAATCAACATTTACAAGTTTTATTGGCTCAGGACATTTGTTATTTCTGCATTTTTATACTAACAAAGGGTTGCATAATGTGTACAATTACGATTAACTCGTTGGCATACTTTATTGGTCTATAACATAATTTATTGTATTTTGCGTGGGCGAATCAAAGGCGCCGCCAGTACTATATTCATCATACAGAACGGTTTTTGAATGAACTGTACTACGTATATCGCGCGGAACTGTACTATATCACACGAACTGTACTATATCTGCGGACTAGCGTACGCTTTGCGGGAATGACGCCTTGGCGGCCTTTCGTAGGCGGAGGTCGACTCAGACTGTGACACAAACAGCTGCTGGAAGGGCGCTCCGCGAGCTTCTAGTCCTTCTGAACTTACAAAAAAAAGATTTTCCTGGCCGACGCCTTTTGAACTATATCCGCGGACTAGCGTACGCTTTGCGGGAATGACGCCCTCGGCGGCCTTTCGTAGACGGAGTTCGACTCAGACGGTGACACAAACCGCTGCTGGAAGGGCGCTCCGCGAGCTTCTCGTCCTCTCTTCCGTTCTGAACGCCGGTTTTCCTGGTCGCCGCCTTTTGAATCGCCCACGCATACAATGAATAACTTAATGTGCGGAAGCACGTGCTGTACGCGGAATGTGGTCTCAATAGATCATACAGCAACTCGGCTGCGCCTCGTGCTGTATGACTATCTCGACCACGCCCCTCATACCATTATTACGCGCACAGCACTGACTTCCGTACATTAACTATTACGTATTGTCCGGAAAATTTTTGTTGCACTTGCATGGCAAGCATCCTTAATCGGGTTAAGTTTTACCGGATGGAACCGGATACGTTAAGTACGCGTATTACGCGTTTGGATTCCAATCTTTTTTCTTACCTGGTTTTTGAGATAACGTTTGTCGAAACTTACAATGAAAGGCACTGAATTGCAAACCCTTGGCATAGAACCAGTGCTATATTTAACCCTCGGCGCACATGAACAGTGAGGGTTACAGCACTGGGATATATTTGTTGTTACCCGCACTGCCGCACTACATCATAATGCAGGGTTTCCCCTAGCCAAAAAATACGTGTAGCTAAAATGGCTACTCTGCCTGAAAATTATAGCAAATCGCTTTTTATTGTAGCCAAAAAAAGCATTCCTGAAAACATACATTAACAAATGGAAAATGGAAAGCATGTTTAGTACTTGTTTACAATTTTGTAATGATACGATCTTTCTGTGAACACCACAGTACAAATGCATGATTGAAATCGAAATTGTTCAGATGCTGAATATCTGGAGTGTCTATGGCTATCTTCGTTAGTGTGCTAACATCTTTTGTTAACAAACGAGATCGGAGTCGTGTTTTAATGAGGTTGTGCCTGCAAAATCCACACTCACAGTCAACAGTTGACACAGGTAGAGTAAGTGCTATTGTTAGTAGCTTCGTAATATTAGGATATTGCAGGGATAAAGTCTGGTTATCTGTAAGTCTTTGAAGTAGTACCTGAATTTGGCTGAACCATAGTGTCTAGCTCTGCATTGCCGTAAGTTGGCAAATCCGCCTCACCAGGCAACTTTTGAGGGTCGAGGACAGAAAAGGATGTTAGAAGTGTGGTATCTGCATCTGGAAAACGTGAATTTAGGTTAGCGACAAGCGCATCTAAAAAATCTATCTTGCTCTTCTCAAAGTGTTCTCGCTGCGCAGCACTATCTGAAATGCGCTGCTCCTTGAAATAGAAATATTCGGTGGGAGTGTCCGGTATATCACTGAGAAATACAGCCAGTCAGGGGCCGGGTGCATGTTTGAAACTTTCAATAGTACCAATTGCAGCTTGTACGGCATCTGCGATCGCAGAAAAGTCAACACATTGGCGCTGGAATGTCTTACTCAGACGTGTGAGAGTAGGTAGTACATCAGACAAGAGATGTGTTGAAGCTAAAAACTGAAATGTGGTAACAAAAGTAAGAATCCTCTTTGCAGTTGGATCAGTGGCGCTATCACTTATGAGTGGCTTCAAGGTTAGTCAATAGCCTGGACCGCCCCATCAAATGATAACCATCTAGTATGGAAGACTTGCTGAAATTTTCTATCCGCACATTCTAGAATTTCCTGAACTCTTTTGTGTGTTGGAATGCTTAGGTGTTATTTGTATCTGGTATTCACATACTGTTGATACTTCTTGAAATATTGAACGGTATCAGCAGCCTTCCCACTGGCCAATGCCAGGCGGTGGGCAATGCAGTGTGTAGTTAACATAAAGGGGTTTCTCTCTTTCATACGTGTTGTAACACCACTACGCACACCCGTCATTACGCTAGCCCCATCCGTAGCCATCCCGAACAGCTTTTCCATTGGTAGGTTCCTGGTCCTCATTACATCAAGGAGTGTACCTAGTATGTGATCTGCTGTTCCACCAGGTAGTTGGACTAGCTCTAAGAAACGAGTGATAATCTCCCCCTTGTTTACGAGATGAATATAGATGATCAGCGTTTGTGTGGTTGCTATATCAGTAGACTCATCGACCATAAGAGAGAAATAGCAGCAGTTGTCTACCATAGTTGCAAGCTCCTCGTCAACAACCATTGCCACTACAGTTAATTACAGGTCATGATAAAGAGTAAAATTTGGTATTTTCCAACTTACTTGAAATTGACGCACACTCTCACTATGTTCATAGGTGAAATGCCTGCTGCCCCTGGCACTATCAAATGTTAGAGAGCCAATAGGAGCGTTTCCAGAATCCTAAGAAATGTGAGCAATATTAGAAAATGCCTTACTGAATAGATCATGTACCTGCAAAACTTGGAATAGTTTCAAATCACTGAAGAAATCGTTAGCCAGATTCTTCTTCGCCATGAAGTACACGGTACGAAGACCAGCGAGAACGTCTTGTTCCTGTTGGCTATAAACAGTAGCGACAGCACGCTGCATATCCTTTCGACAAGAAGCAGCGCGTGCTTCTGCAATGATTCCTTCTTAAATTTGTCACATCCAGTAGCAAACACATTCTTCTTTTTCGCGTCCATACATAACTGACAGAACATGCGTCCTTCTTTGCATAATACCAAGGGTAGTCGTTTTTCCATCCCGGGACGAAGCGTCTTCGCTCAGAAGAGGCGACCTTCGGTTTCTTCGCCGCGGGTGGCGTCGAACTTTCTGTGTCCATGGCGTATATACACGTGCCCAAAGTTCGAAGTTCACACACAGTTTGCGCATATGCAATTCAATAACGGTGCGAACTCTGCGTTGCATGGGCAAGTCGCCAAGTTGGCGATCCGTCGCCCAGCGTTATCGCCAAAACGTAGGTTTTACTCGCAAATGGCGACCGGCAGGGAAATCACTGATAATGTTATACGTTGTTCTCAATGCGCGCAAATACACACTCGAAATTCAAACAGCTTGCTTCGCTCGCCAAATATGTGTTGCGTGCTTGTAGTAGCTAGTTTCATCGATAGTCCTTAGTCATGATCATTAACAGTAAGCGCGCAACCCCACGCTTTCTACAGTGTGCCGCATGAGAGGCATGGCACACTTCTCATACTAAATACTCTAATTTTTCCCACTGAACTGTCTCTGAACATTGACTTAATTACAATGTTTTGTAACCCGAGTATTGTACAGTGTATGACCTGCCCGGCATTTTGTATAACTCCTATCATCGCTCTATCATTTACATGTTTAGTTAACGGTGCAGACAAGACTCTTCTGCTACATGAAAATACCTATGCTAGTAAATGTTGTTTTTATGCACTGTGCCAAGAGTTTTAGCATCACTTTTGTACGTCAGAGTATTTCAATGTTGTAGTCATGCTATGAATTACAGAGTGCATTGCAATTGGCCCTTTTCTTTTAGTGTTAGTGAGACTTCTGAAGTACCACAGAGAAAGATCTTTGGAACTGAAAGTGTATATTTTATGCTTCAGAGATATCACTGTTACTACTCAGGATGATGAAATTAAGGTATGTATATACTGGCATAGTGTTACCATGCATCTTTTGGGTCCATGAGTCTGTCATATTTGCTCATTTTATTTTGATTTACCCTTTGTATGCATGTTCACAATGTCTGTATGCAGGACGCAGCGTGCGTACAAAGCCTCATTGAATGACCTACCTCTCACAACTCTTTAGTCTCTAAGTCTGATTTGCAACACATTACGCAATGTAGGCTACTCCACATTCCTTGGTTTTTGCCAACCAAGCACGTTTTGCAAGTGGACTCCCAGAATTGAGTTTGTTGCTTCAGTTGCACATTGCTAACCACCGGTGCGTATGCACAGCGAGAAGTACTTGGTTTGTAAGTGTGTGTGTGTGTTTGTTTGTCTGTTACCATGTTTTGTGCCACCAAAGAGCTACACCAACGGGTTCAGCGCATCACTGGCTTGATTTAAATTTGGCGATTTTCATAAAAAGACAGCTTTCAAAAGTTACAGTGCAAAAAAACAAGTGAATGAAAAGTACTGAAGTGCAAACCCTCAGCGCAGAACCAGTGCTATTACTGGAGCGATAAGTTTAGCATGTGGTGTAGCTGCAAGGAATATGCCAAAAATGATGATTTGCTTGCTGTAAACAATTGGAGTGAAAAACGGCTACCAGCAAGAATTGAACTCGGCAGTAGATAGTGCGCTCGTTTATCAAGGCACCACCACTGAGCCAACTAGGCTGTATGCACCACTTTGCGACCATTTCTCTACTGATGCCCATGTGTGCGCGTATCCATGCAAAAATAGCCGTGGGATTGCATACGAGCTATGGCTTACAGGATCGCATCAACCCTGACTCTAGCTTGCGGCATGACCAGAGAACGATGCAGTGTATGGTTTTTACCTGTCGGGCATGCCAGCTTGCGATATCTCTGCTCACCGCGCATGTTTCGCCTTCAGCGCGATGTTCGTGTCGCAGCGCTGGATTGTGCGCTTCGAAATGATTTTACATGCTGGCTGTCTGTGTGTCACGTCGATATCATGCGAATCTAGCCGCTACACGGAGTGGAGCTTGGCTGCACGGCGCCATTACGTGCGAGCTGTGTGCGGAGTGTTTCCCGCCATGAAGTACCGTTCAAGTACCTTCGGCCTTACTGTTCGAATACCTTTGCCGTACCCTTTTTGTATCTTCTGTACCGCAGTAGTACATATGTACCTATACCACGGTTTTCGAATTTCTTGCAACTCTCCTTTGCGTAATGCGCTGTGCCCATGTGCAAAGTTTGAATGCAGAGTTATAGTGTCCTGCGAGACTTGGAGGCAAACTGCCTACGATGAAGACCTACGCTGGAGAATGATGTGGCAGAGAGAGGCCTTGGCATATGCCATAGCCAGTAGTAACCTGAACGTTAATAAAGCAACAGTACTTCGAACGACTTAGCTCTTTCGTAACACTGGAATAGTTAATATCTATCCTAGTGACGTGAATACAGTCCTTACATCCACTGCTCAACTTTTCATTCTCAATCTTGTCGTGGAAAGCCTGCTACAAAGGAAGCATTGCTTGGGGAGAGAGGGTGTCGGCCATTACATGCATGACTATAAATGATGTTAAAACACAAGGAAACAGGTAATGGCAATATTTTTATGGTTTCATTCACACCCATCTTATTCCAAACCTATGCCCTTTCGATGGACACAGATCTAGATCAGTTGTTGTACTCGATAACTGCTCAAAACACCACCGTCCAGAGGTTGTTGCCTTTCTGAGGGATATCAGAGTTATAGTGCACTTTCTCCCTCCGTACTCCCCAGACTTAAATCCTATTGAGGAGGCTTTCCCAAAGGTCAAAACTACTGAAAAGTTTCGAAGCACAAATTATGGACATTGATTCGCTACAATCACTGAACAATACTTTGGAGGCTGGATCTCTCACTATGGCGTGTACAATTTTGTAACTTGGATAATAATGGTTTTCATGAGTTTTGATATAACAATGAGTTTTCAGTCAGGTGCAAGAATTGTTAGTAACAGCAGATCTGTCTTTTGAGTGAAGACAGTATATCCCTCTTTTGCTCTATATACTCAGCCTCGGTGAGTATCCCATCATCAAAGAGCTGCTGGATATAACGTAACTGCTGATAATTCTTTATTCGCAAATCCACAGCCTTTCCTGGAGACACACCAACATATGTACCAGCAGATGTGCAACCATTTCCTTCCTTCCTCTGCTCTGAACTCTCCCCAAGCGCCTTAGTTGCAGCTCCACTGATAACAGTTGAAAGCGAAGGAGAACGGGATTTACGAGAGGTTGACATGAACGCCGGTATGGCCGGAGAGTTGTGAAGGTCATCGTGTGATTGGTGGTGACCATACGTGCCCACAAACGTAATCTAGGTGTGTTTTTCCACTCTTCTCCCTAAGCTCCTGGAATACCCTTCTTCTGGTGTTTTGAAGAACCTGTAGACGGGTCTTCTCTTTTCTCTTCAGAATTGCCATCACACCAGAGCATTCTCTCCAGATACGATCTTTTGATGCATGGTGCCTAGATCCATTGTCAGAGCAAAGCCAGACTTTTGAATGCTGCTGTCCCTCATAGTCAGATGTGAGGCACCGGTTCCCCCAACTGCTCAGCCAACCTGGCTCTGAGAACAAGGACGGACCCAAATCTGGTTTTGAGGTGGGGTAGATGTCGCCTGAGTGTTTCACTTTTCTTCCTCGGATTTATTATTTTGACCTTGTACAAATACCGCATTTGCAAGAGAAGATTCCAATTAGAGCACATCATAAGTCACTCTACTTTGTAATTGTATGTTTCGAACCCTAACCCCCTAGCTAGCTACTATGAGTCCTTTGATCTACTCTAACCTCCGAAGACGACAACATCGATTGAATCATGTTGCTTGGGCCAAGAACTTGTAGGACAACCGAACGTCTGCCGGTAGAAACAAGCCCCAGGTACAGTCACTACCGTCTTTTTCAGCTGAGTTGGTCGCATCGAGACTAGGAGACACACTCTACCTCTACTGATGAGATATACAGGCACCTCTGGCTACTGAGGTACAAAGAGCAAGCGGATCGATCGAGGTAAGCTGGTGCGATTATGCTTATTGGCTTTTTGCTTGTTTTCACGGCATATCTCTCAGTTGCAGGAAAATCGCTGTGTTATTTTTGAGGTTCGCGTAGTTCTGAAGACGTTGGTATCACTCATGGGCCACCTTGAACCCTGTAGCGCGAGAAGGGTTTTAATAGACCTTTTGCACGCAAGCGAAAGTATTTTGATTGCTCTCGTGACGTCACATCCGGTTGCTCTCCGGTAGCCACCAAATGTATTGCAGTGAACGGAGAAATCGGTGCGCGCGCACTTCTCTAGCGCATAGCGTCCGTTTAGTACCGTATATTCTATTTAAACACACGCAAATGGACGAAGCAGTTTTCGCTCGTTCGAATGGTACGCGAAGTGCGAGAAACCGCCGTACTAGCGGAGAACCAACACAGAAATGCCTGGTCACACCTGTGTTGTTTGTGGGAGCACTCCAACATAAGATCCAGAAGCCTCCTTTCATCGCCTACCGAGCGACCCAGTGAGAAGGGGAAGCTGGCTAGCCGCGTTTGGGCTGGGGGAGAGCCAACTCAAGGCCCAGTCACGATTGTGCTGCAGGCATTTCCGAGATGGAAACGCCAAGAACGAGCCAATAGTTAGCTTAGGAAAGAGATTTGCATCTCCAGTAAAGAGGCAGAACTCAAGGGCGAAAAGAGCAAAGACTAGAGAGAGTATGAGGGAATATAGCGATTTGAGAATTAAACTTGAGAATGAATTTTCGAGCAGCTCTGTAACTCCTTGTACCACTTGTCCAGGCTCGACTCCTTCTGCACCACCTAGGATGCCTAGTGAAAGTGGAGAATGTGAGGTCCTAGTAAACAGGGCTCTTCTTTCAAGAATCGAAGTACTTGAAGCTGAAATAAAGAGCTTAAGGGCAGGTTGAACCAGCCAAGGTATTTTAGGATTGAGGATATACAAGGCAATGACCATTTTATCTCCTCTTACACAGGCTTTGGTTCGTATGTGATTTTGATAGTTTCTGGGCCCTGTTGTAAAAGAACTAAACTACTGGGGAGGGAAAGAGAGATCTCGTCAACGCCATCATACCAGAAAATTAGATCCAAAGAATCCGTTTTTTTCTCATGCTGGTTAGACTGAGACTGAACCTCAAAGTAGAGGATTTGGCTTTTTGCTTTGGCATATCTGCTAGTTCTGTGTCTCGCTATATGACAACTTGGGTCTGTTTCTTGTATCACCATTTAAAAGAACTGGAGTGGTCACCACCGTCTGTTGAGCAAGTTATGGGTACAATGCCACATTCTTTTCGAAAGCAGCTTCCAACAACTTATGCCATCATTGATGGTAGTGAGATTTTATCCAAACACCTTCCGACCTTCATATACAATCCTCAACATGGAGCAGTTACAAGCACCATAATACTGCAAAATTTCTTGTTGCTTGCACACCGAATGGTGCCATTAGTTATATCTCAGATGTTTGTTTTGGCTTGATATCGGATGTGGAGCTAACGAAGAACTCTGGTTTTCTTACAACACTGGAAGACAAACCTGGTGTCTCCATTATGGCTGACCGAGGATTCACCATGAAGCAGATGTTGAAAGAGCTCAATATAGATCTAAATCTCCCACCTTTCATGGAAGGAAGACAGCAACTTCCTGCCGATCAAGTAATGGAGGGACGAAAGATTGCATCTCTTCGTATCCATGTAGAAAGAGCTATTGGAAGGATAAATACATTTAAAATCTTGCAGGAAACCATTCTAAATAATCTAGCTCGTCTGACTAATCAAATCGTACATGTATGTGCATACTTGTCCAACTTTCATCCAGCTCTTGTCCCTCCACCAGAACAAACTGTAGAAAATGACGTTTAAACGTATTTTGACACAGACGTAGACTCTGACGATTTCAGTAGTGATGCAAGTGAAGATGTGTAATGAGTAATGTGTTCAAACATCATTCACATAATTGTAATAAAAAATCACTTTAGGTTATGAACAGGACATGAAGTGGGCTAACAATTTATGGTCCTAAGCAGTTGTCATAAAATTTAGTTATTACCCTCGGCGCGCATGCGCAGCGAGGGTACAGTACTTGGGTCTGTGTGTCTGTCTGTCTGTGTGTCTGTTACTCTACATCTCACGTCTCGGATGTCTGTTCGTCTCACAAACGATGCGACGTACTCAACGGGCAATGAAGGTCAGAAATTATGAGTGGTTTTCTCTGAAATATGCTCCGTTGCAGAGCTACAGCGCTTCCAGCATTGTACGGCTAATGTGTAGTCGGCCATTTTTTATCGCTGCGGAAAATGTGCATGCGGTTATATGCTAATTAGCACAAGCTTACCTCGACCGGGCTGCTTGCTCTGTGTATCTTGAAGGCATAAGAAGTCACAACGAAGGGACTCCCGCATGCTATTTACTACTGTAGCTAGTCCGTGTCAGACTCTCTGCGAGCTACTAGCGTGGATACCACAAGTAAACGCATACTAAAAGCCCAGCCCATCAATTAGTGGTACCGCGCGTGCGCAGTTCGCCGAGGGTTTGCACTTCAGTGCTTTTCAGTTTTGGAAGCAGCTGTTGTTCCCAGTAGAGATAATCGAAATCAATACGTTGCACAGATATATTTTTTGTTGTATACACAACAAAGTCGCACCATATTCTTCCCCCAATAGCCATCTGACCCTGACCTTAGCGTAGTAAGGGTGGTTAGGCTTAAGAGCTAACTTTCCATCTTCCAGCAGAGAGCAACAAAACCCAGAAACTGAACCTGCCTCTTCAGGTGAAACACTACAGTGCTTGTATGGACATTTGATCTCCAGAGAAACCCAAATGGGGAGCTAGTACATGAAGGGTCATATACTACTCCATCTGGAGAAGCACCCAGGTATGGGTGGGTCTGACTTACAAAGAAGCCACATGCTGCCACAGTTAAACCTGAGTGTCCATGAGACTGCTGGTAGCTGATGTACTGCTGCATTGCTATTGTTTCATTCTCAACCCCCCACTCTATTGCCGCAGATTTGAACTGCTTAGGTGCAAAATGTTTAGCACCAAACTGTTTGGTGGTACATCAGGTTTTCTATGAAGCACAGCACCAAACAGTGAAGCTGTAACTCTGTAACGTCTAACTTCATGCCACAAAGTCGAGTCTCGCTGCTCCTTTGTGTCACGTTCGACTTTACGTATAGCTTCTTCTGACATATTGAGACTGGTCTTGAAAGCCTCTACTGTCTTCCTTAATGCTGCAACACCTGGATGGTTTGGGTCTGATTCTGGTCGAATTACAGGTGGAGTGTTGCTATCCCAGTGGCGATGATGCTCATCAAAAAGGAGAGAAATGCACAAGTTTGCCGTGGATTTTCTCCAAGAGACCAGGCAAACAATCGTGTGCAGTGCCTCGAAACTCAACTGGACGAGGATCGAAATCTTCCATGGCCTGCATTGTCCTCTTTCTCTCTCTACCATACACATGCTTCATAAATGGTGCCTCAGCCATTGTCATGGTGCTTTCCTTTCTTTTTCTGGGAGGTTTCCATTGACATAATCGGACGAAAAGTGACTGGTAGAGCATCATCGTCATTCAACTGAAGTTGAGGTAGATTGGTTGGTTGAATCTGAAACTGTGGTGATGTCAAGGAGACTAGTGCATATAGTAATGCAGACACATGAGTGCAGTGGGCAGATGTCCTACAAAATATTAATATCACAACATGGTATAGACACTGCATCATAATATGTGCTTGCTTACCCTGCTGCACATTCACATGTTGCACACTTAATTGTTGCAAACCGTCCAACTTTTCCCAGCAATATCCACACACGATAGAGGCCAGGCTTCATGGATGGTTTCATACTTGACCGGATGTGACAGTACTGGGGATTAAGGTAATTTATCTCAACAACATCTATTCGACCTGATGCCCAGTGTGTATATCCACGTGACAGGGCTCTGAAAGTCCCGTCAGAACTATCGCAACCGGCATGGGTAGAAAGGTAATTGTAGATAACACCACTTGTGACTGATGGAATATCCTTGGCCATCTCTGAGGAATTTGCCTCTGTTATGTGCTCCCATCCCGTGATTGGAGCAACTGGAATATCCAATGGAGAAACATGAATACCAGAATCTTGAAGACGCTTGGTTTTCTTGTAAAGGTAAGAGCCATCTACATATATGACTTGTGTTTTTTCTTTAAGCGCTTGGCGGATGCTATAAAGAATGGGAAAAGTTCTGTTAGCATTCTGGGGCTAAGCCTATTCGCATCTTACCGTGACCCTAGTTGTTGCTTTCTCCAGTTTGTAGGGACTTTTAGACCCCTACAGAGCAACCACCACCTTAGTGCCGGTACAGCATGGGACTCCAACGGCTTATCTAAGGTAGCTCCAGGTATATCTCCGGCAGTAAGCACCACAGAAAGAGGACAAGAAGAACTACAAGTTTGCTCTTGTTCTTCAGTAGATACAGCTGACATTCTGTGTCTAAACTTAGAATACACATGAGTATCACACCCGAAAGTGGAGGAGGCACTGCCAAAAACATAATTAACCCTCGGCGCCCAAGTGCAGAGTACTTGGTATAGTCTCTGTCCGTCTGTCCGTCTGTCCATCTGTTACCACGTTTTCTGCCACCACGTGCAACAAACAGGTAAAATAGCGACACCAACTAGTTGAGTGCTCCACTGGCTTCATTTTTTATATGGCGATTTTCATAAAAGTGCCGTGTTCAGATGTTATGGCGTGAAAACCAAGTTAACGAGCCTATTTGCTAATTGTCACAGACTTACCTCGACCGGGTGCACTTGTTCTGTGGATGTTGAAGGCCCAAGAAGTTGCAACAAACAACGTGTATTGACTCCCGCATGCTATCTACTACTGTAGCTAACCCATGTCAGACTCTCCGTGAGCTACTAGCGGGAGACCACGAGTATACGCATACTATTATACCCCAACCCATCCTTTAGCGGTACTGCGCATGCACAGTTTGCCGAATACTGGACTGCATAGTGCGTATATAATACTGTAAACTGCCTGTTGTGCAATGCCTTTCTATCACATGATGATGACATAATGTGTTGTGCAATGATGCTTTTTTATGACATGTATGTGTTTCACTTTTACATTTGCAGTATGAGGTTTTCAGCATTGTTTCTATTTATGTTTTAATACTTTCTTAGGGTGCTAATGAGTATCCTCACCCTCCTTTGGAAGTACAATCTTTGAACCATGTCACTGTTCTTCTAGAAGGAATATTGTGAGTTACAGTTGTGTATGATTCTGCACTTGTATGCAGTGTAAGTAATCAGTACTTGCCCTGTATATATTTCTGTTTCTGTGTGTGTTCTTGTAAGCAACGAGCCTGTTAAAAGCGACATAGTGAAATATACTGTCACAACATACTGTGTGAAACATGCATTGTTAAGTAACAAGTAAAGGTGAATATAAGGAGGGCTTGCATAAAAGTTAGTATAAATAAATCCTATCAGGTTTTATGTCACAGGTGTATTTACTTTCATTGTATATACCTTCTGAAAGAAGGAGACAAAAGAGGAAGAATAATTGGTGTAGTGGTACATTAGATGACTAAGGAGTGTTTATTCCCTCTTGCAACTTAGGTTAGAGCTATAGAAAAAACCACAAGTAAACCGCATGGTCTAACCCAATCAATTAGCAGTACTGGGTATGGTTTACTCACATGCATGTGTTTCTAGTGTGCCGTGGGTTTACACTTAAGTTCTTTCTGTAACCTTTTGTATTGAGCTTGTGCATTTTTACTTGCCATATAAGCCTTTCTAAAGCTATGATACGGCACATTGTAGTTGAGCCCCATCATACTAAAGTTTTAATATACTCAAAAAATTTTGCCATTCTCCTCTGTTTCTAGGGAATTGATTGATAATTTTCCAGACGACGCTGTGCAGTTTTCTGGTCCAAAACCACTTCTGTGGTTACAGGTGTTGAGCCGCAGTCTGGAATATGGCTTACAGGGTATAAGGCAGGCAAGTTCAGTATGACCAGTGGTTACAATAGTGTGTGTGTGTGTGTGTGTGTGCGCATAATATGATATGTAAACTTTTTGCAGATCAGCATGAAGTTGCTGCTTCGATCGATCGAGAAGGAGATTTACATCAAACGGGATACTTTTGATCGTATCAATTGGTTCATGCTCTCACTCCTAGGCTATGCCTCTGATGCGAGGTATGAACTGGGTTTTGTGTGCAGTTTGTAGATCGTAGGAGGATGCCAAGCAGCCTCTGGCTGTAAAAAAACTGTGTGGCTGTAACTTGTTTATGCTGGCGATTAAACTTTATGTAATATAGAGTTGATCAAAACAGTTGCTTGTGCAACTTGCCAGACAGCCTGTGGAGGCGGTCTTGTCCCTACATTTTGCTCAGCAAAATTAAGACATGGACCAGAAGCCCTTTGCTTAATACCATCCCTATATTAAACATAAGATGAGACCTGTGGCGATTGCCTAACAGTCTCTTTGTGTATGTGTGCTTTTTTGGTTATGCATGTTAAGTATGCTTGACTTAACCCCTCCTGGCTGAGTTGCTCTGGTCGCTCAGCTGGTCCAGTGCTCAACCTAGAGTACTCAGTGGTTCAAATCCCGCCCAGGGCAGCCCTTTCTTGCTTGTAAAGGAGTTGTCCTTGGTGTTGTTGTTTTGTTTGGTTTACCTTTGTCTTCAGACCTCATTGTTGACGTAATGTGCTGTACAGTCATTTCAGTTTGAGCATGTGAATCTATTAGTTTTCTCGCTCTATGATTGTACTAAACCATTAACTTCATATGGTTACAGGAACATTACAGCCGAGTTAGAGATCTGTTTAACGACATTCCTGAAGTCTACCTATTTATCTGAAAGGAGTGTTGTGGTTTTCCGTTTCTGGAAAGCTACTGTTAACTCTTTAACTTACTTCATTATGAAAGGTGCATTTTGTCGCTGCACTCCATTATTGCAGGTAAAGGTTATAGACTATAAAAAAGCTTTTAAATATCTTGGCTCTCTATAGGGTGTGTTTGTTTCATTTATCCTCAGCATGCATGCACAGTGAGGGTTACAGTATATGTATGTGGGTTTTAACCCTAAAGCAGCTGAAGTGGCATATTGGTATTTTCGTTTTTCTCACACCATATATCTTGAACACAGTCATTTTCGGAGAATCACCTTTTTATGCCGTCGTACGTAGGTCTGAAGCCACTGGTATTGCATGTAGGCTTCTAGTGCCAGAATAGTGACTGACCAACAGACAGGCAGATTCACAGACTAAGTACTGTAACCCTTGTGTGTATGCATGCCGAGGGTTGATTTGAAACATGACGCTCTGTATTGCACACCTGAAGTATGTACCCTGCGTATCGTAGCAGGAGCGGGTGACATCTAGTTTGCTGCACACATAATACACTTCACACAGTCCAGTTGTCTGTTTGCCAAAAATCAGTTCAGTCACTTATTATAACTCTGTTCTTGTTTGCTATTAGGACTGTGTCGGTGAAGTTTTAGTAAAGGCATGCGGCTTAAATTTTACAAAAGGACACCTACTTGGAAAATGTCTTCTCTATCCTGTTGGGTTCTGTAACCATCTGCAGGTATGTAATGTGTGTAGACAGTCTTGGACATACGTAACTATACCTAATGTACGTACGTAGTTCGCATAATGTTTAGTAAAGGCAATAAAATATTGGTATGGGGTTTTAAAATAATGTGAAAAGGTAGGACTACTTCTGGCACTTACTATATACCTAAGATGGTTAGTGTTCATAGCTGAGGAGATGCATCTCGCTCCTGAAGATCAAGGACGTGCAATACCCAAAATGGCAGTGCACAAGCCGCCTAACTTTCCTAGTCAGACTGTCCTAGAAGTCAGACTTTTGTAGGAACAAGCTCTGGTCATGCACATTTTTAGAAGTAAAGGGCATTGTCGCCATGGCTCAAAGCGTCTAAGGGTTTGGAAGTAGTTACTATGGAATAGGTAACTACCGAATGTAGTTACCTCTAAATTCGCAATGTGATTGGTCAATTATGAGATAAAGTAGACTTTAGTGTAGCTCAGCTCTAGTGATCAAAAATTCAACCTCAGCGGCAATTCATTTTACTCTCTACTCATTAGAATAACAAGTGCCCTGACTTAAAACCCTAGCCCGTATATCAGGGGCCTTCACGAGTACAAGTGCCATGATGCCAGTTCGCATGCGGCTTTTTGCTCAGCCGAGTTATCTATGCACTCTCTGCTCGTTAGCTACACATTCGTTCCTCCTTAGCTGAGTTTCGTTAGCTATAGCTAACCACATCCCATGTCCAGCTAGCGCAGTCTATTGCGGGTGACTCCACGTGCTTAGCTCTGTAAGCGGTACAGGATATCACCTCAATTTTCGATACAGTACACAACTTGGCAGCCATACATTAACCTAAACATAAAGTGCAAAAGTTCTATCTATTTATCACTTTAGCTTTCTTTTTTCACTTGCAGCCTCTTGTTGAGCCCTTGTGTTGTTTGATAAGAGAAGAAATCAATAATTCAAAGGTTTGTATCAATACCAATGAAGAAGTCTATAATTCTAAGGTTAGTGTCACGATACCAATGCATGTTGTAGGGAAACTAGTTACTGTGGCGAAAGTAGCCCACCTCCATGTTTAAGGTTAGAAGTCAGCCCTTGACGGGTTTGTATTACAATGCCATTGTATAAAAAGTAAATAGGTTAAGGGGTAAATAGTCCATTGTGGGCTCAATCCAAACAGGATGCTTTGAGATACACACAAGCGCTAAGTCCTAAAGAAACACGATGCAACCCCCTACTCGATACCAACAAATTCAACCCCATCATCGGATGAGGGTTGATGACAGATGAGGTGATCAAGCTCTGAGCAGGTTACACTCATTTGGTATGACTCAGACTGTAGCAGTTAACTATTGAAGCAGGGTTATATGCAATCCACCCATTTTGTGCACTATGAAGGCATCAGAAGTTACACCGGAGGGTGAGGATTGAATACCTATGTATCTCCCTACCTATAGTTAAGCATTCCAGTGTCAGACTCTCAGCGAAACCATACATAAATTTATACATTCTCCAGCCCATCAATCGCTCATGCATATGGTATAAGTGTTGCATGGCTGACGCTTCAAGTGTACTTAGGGTTTTCACTTTAGTACCTTTTTACATTTTGCAGGTTTCCATTGCTTCTACGAAGGATGTTGGGTAAGAGGCTAATGTAGATATATATACTACAAGTTTAATCAAAGGCATTTCAGCTTGGACACTTGAGACATGCACACACAGTGTGTACCATGCATTTTCCTTCTCCACAAAAGAGTATAGGGGTATGTTTCTTGCTGCTTTATAACCAACGGCAAGCTTGGCTTTAGCATGTTAGTCAACCCACAGCGAGGTTATTAATATGCAGGAGAAAGTTTAAATACCTTGAATATGGAGGTCATAGTATAACTTCGTACGAATCATAGCTAAAATGCTACCTTGACTGTGGAGGTATATACTAGTAAAACTTAGTGTAGCCTTGACCTCGAGCTTGTTCCACATTATAATTTGGGGATAATTGTAAATATTTCTTGCTGCTCTTTTCCTCTTTTTCCAAGTGGCCAAAATTAAAAGCATCTTCCGGCATGTTTTAATTCTCAGTTACCGTGGTGGTGAAAAAAGAAGGACCAGATTTCAAAAGATACCTAAAAGAGAGAAAGTGTAAGTGAATGGTGAATGTTACTATGTGGCCAATCTCTTTTCAGAATCTAAAGCTGATTAGCCAGTTAGTACATTTACTGATATTGCATTGTGTCTGAGTTGGTTGAAACAACCTTGACACCTGCAGTGTTAATATGGTTGGTATAAGCTCACAACAGAGCTCACCACCATCCATAGTCAGAGTCCACTAAAAGACCACTCATTTTCCTAAATGCATTAAATTCGCTGTGTGCATAATTATAGACAAGTCATCTTGATTAACACTGCTTTGTCAAAACGTGAGAATACTGTTTTAGTTACTCAGTTCAGTTCAGCAAGACGATATTGATCATTCATGCAGGCGTGTTAGAGATCAACGATTCTACTCTTCGCACTCTTCTCTTGCATAAGAGTGTGTTCTGTCATGAAAGTATTATGAAGATCTTTCAAAGTGAATGTGTGCAACTAGACATGGTATGTTGGATTGTAATCTGTCATGTAATTTTAGTCAACTAATCTCTTTTGTTTCCACAGTTGTTAATGAACCTTGAAGGTATTCGGTATATTATAGAAGTCCTTGCTAGATTGTTTGCAACTGGTCACACTATTGTCAGTGAAAAGTTGCTACAGGCTGGGCGGCTCTGTACGTTGTGGGAATCTGCCATCTATCACGCATGTAAAAGTAATGAACATGGATATCTCTATAATGTAAGCTTGAACTGTTTATAGCTTGTTTCTTAGAGCCCATTTTTATTCACAGGTACTGTCATTAATCCTTAAGTCCATTGGCTCCCTGTTGATCATATCAGGTATGAGCTTTAGAAAAACATACATTCATATATTGGTGTTTTGTCATATCACAGGCTTCTGCAAATTTTCATCGGTAGTTCTTAACCAGTGCTGGTCGCTGTTGGAATTGCCTTGGAAAACAGTTAGTTTTATAGTGTTTATGATGCTTTAATATACATACAACAGCACCAATAATGGTGCATATAACATATTTAGCCATGCTGTGTTACCATCGGTGCGCATGAAGAAGTACTTGTCTGTATTTTTTCCTTCTGTTACGGCTATTCTGGCTTTACGTGCGACAGAGCTGGTGGACGATACCCATGACTTCAGTGCTATGAAGGCAAAAAAAGTGTTTTCTGTTTCCCAACATCCCTTTCCTCCCTCAATGCCTACCCAACTCCTCAATGTGTGCCTGACCTGAAACTTAACTAGACACAGCCCCATACAAATCCTTTTTGAGCTCTACCACATTGTTGAATGTCTCATTGAGTGACTAGAGTCCTTCTTCACTTTACCCATTTCGAATATTCTCCAACTACTCGAACCATGAGTTTCACCTCAACAATAGGAGGAGGAAGCCTACTATAAAAATAGAACCACACAAATATAGGTTTGTAAGTGGCTCATTTTTCTAGAGAGAACACTTTTATCTGAGGAGAGAGCTGATTTAATATGTTAGCCTAGATACTATTGGTTAAGGCATACAAGACGAGAAAAATTAATATTCACGTCAACTGTTTGTCCCGAGGGTTTTGAACTACCACACAGTGATAATTATTGGCGAGTGAAGCGAGCCCACCTAGTCGTCTGAATGCGGAATTTTTTGTATGTATATATATGTTGTGACGCGCACTACTGTAGGCACTGTCACACTGTAATGTTTATGTTGTTCTAAATATGCGTGAAAACATGTGCAAAATATTGAACTGCTCACTTTGCTTACCAAAAATGTGTTGCATAGTTATATCAGTAATAAGTGTGATTATTACTTTAGGTAAGTGATAAATCTGCTGCTGGCAGAAATATTTCAGGTATGGGGAGGCAAGATAAAGATATAATAAAATCTCTTGGAGTTCTGAATGAGACAGGTGCTTATTAATATATTATGCATGTAAAGTTTACTTTTGTGCCTTTCTACCTCGTGTCGGCATGAATATTAAAGGTGTTCGTGAATTGTAACTGTGTTTCAGTGCTATGGGAAGCCAATATTGAGTCACTTAAATCGACTAGTGTTTGCCCGTTTTTGGGTGGCACAAAGGACAAGTATTCATTCCAGCATTACTCCAAAAGCTTCTCACAGATGCTGCAGAGCGAGAAACTGACCGCCAGCGGTCCAACCCGTCAATTAGTTTTAAGTTATACACATACACAGTGCATTATTGTGCATGCACTACAAAGCACTACCAAGGTTTTGCACTTTAATTCTCTTCTTTGAATGAAGGCACTAGACCATCGGCACACATAAGTCTAAAAGTACCATTACACGACCAATTACACCATGTAGTCCTGCTTTCACTCACTAGATCCCTTCTTACCCTTAGTGAAACTTCTCAGTGCACAAGAATCTTGTCAATGAAAATCTGGTTGTTCACTTGTGTTACACAAAAGACCATTTTAACCACTCTCCAGTCGCCATGTTGCTTGTATCATAAGTAATAGCAATCAAACCCAGGGCAACCATTTTTTCCAACGAAAAAAGCCCTGGATGAGACTCTAACACTAGTCAGCAGGGTTCTCTACCACCTTAGGTACAGTACATACCAGCAATCATGGTACTATGTACCACAGAAATAGAAGAGTTATTGCTTTGCTTTAGCTGTAACCATGCCTGTAGGATATCAGGCAGAGATAGTTCATGCCCTATCCATCTTTGCTGACACTCTGCTTACATGTTCAGGTAGGTTTGCAGTACTAGTGTCTCTTACCACACTTTTGCTGCCACGTGCAATAACGGAGACCAAAAGCAATATTAAGTGTCAGTGTGCAAGCTTTTGTTGTTGAATTTGCTGATCTGAACACAGCAGTTTTATTTAAAAATATTTTTACCTGCAGAACTTGAGTCTGTCAAGGCATGTAGTCTAGTAGCATGTGTGGCAATGCCTCCAAGCTCTCAAGCTAATGCTCGAAGGATTTGCTTCTTCAAGAACGCATTGGTAATTTTTATACCCATGTACGTATGTACCTTTAAACTATACATGCTCTTGCAGGCAAAGAGGAGTGACAAAAGTGTTATGCAAGAGGTGCTGACGTATCTCCCTTGCATATTAGCCACTGTACCAAGGTGTCATGTTGGTGCTTTGGTTGGCATTGTAAAGTACGTATGTGTGTGAATTAAATAATGAGTTTGATATTGCAATGGTGCCTACTCTTGTAACAATGCATTCAAAATCCTACTAGTATAGCGAGCCATTGTGAGCAAATGTGAGAGCATAAGCCAATTGTTTGTCGCATTCCATACAACCATTCCTTTTGTTGTATGCATGAATCATACATGAGGTAGCAAGTGCAAAGCAAATAAATTAACGACACCCAGGACCACACCAAGAGGTGTCCTCGTGGGACTCGAACCCACAACACTCTACAGTCTAGACAGTGTGCTCTACAACCTGAGCTACAAGGGTGCAGAAGTCTACTATACAACCCACAATATGCAAAATCCAATTATTATTAGGAGCAGGCTGGTGTAATTAAAGCACCAAACATGCCTGAGGTCCATGCTAGTGGTAAATGAGGTACGTACCATGACAGTAACGCAGGAATTCATTAAACTTACCCATGTTTCTTTTTCAATGTGTGTCATTCACAACAGAGACAGAGTGAAAAACCAGGAACTTCAGATGTTATTTGTGAAGCAGCTTGTTCCCACTATACTTGCAATTTCTTCAAAGCCTCCACAACGGTATATACAATAAGCAGGCACACGTTTGACTTTGGTATAATAGTATATGTACATATGACTCATGGAGAATAACGAATTGTGTGCTGTATTGTGTGTAGGATGTAGCCATGATTTGTTGCTGCTATTGACAATGCTCATGTGAAAACATCACATGAACAGTTTATTTTAGCATTCTTTGTTGTTAACTAGTGTAAGTTCTGACTAATTGTGCTTTACTGCATCGTATTCAAGCCTCAATAGGGTTAACTACAGGTGTGAATACGAAGGAAGTGAAGACTTTGTAGAGTACGTACGTACAAGGGCTTTTCTCTGTAAATACCATAAGCCACTGTCCGCAAGTCCAGTTCATGGCACTAACAAAGTGCAGGTTATTCACAGATTGCAGTGCTTGAGTCTGCTATCAATGCCAGCTGCCTTTCTTGACCAGATTTTCATATGTACACTGCTAATATTCATTCTTACGATTTTTTTGGTTTAGTGTGTACAATACCAAGCAGTGGAACGTTCCTCTGCCGTATACATCTGTGGTTGCTCTTCCATCGTGCAGAGGTGCGTATGAATTGTTTGTGATTAGGATATTATAATGGATCTTTATTTTCTCAGATTGTACTGTTCGTGTAGACAATGTAATCGTTTCTGATGCATTGAACGTTTCTATAGATTTTGACCAAGAACAAGTTGTAAAAGGTGACCACCATGTTTGTTTATGTGCACTTCAATGCACTTCACTTTCTCATGCCTTAAATTTTTGTTATCGTGTATGTCCAGTTGGGTATAGTTTGGGTGTCTGTCTGTGCTTGTAGTTTACCACTCACCAAGAGCGTATGGTACTGCAGAACTTGAGTCTGTCAAGGCATGTAGTCTAGTAGCATGTGTGGCAATGCCTCCAAGCTCTCAAGCTAATGCTCGAAGGATTTGCTTTTTGGTATAGTTTGGGTGTCTGTCTGTGCTTGTAGTTTACCACTCACCAAGAGCGTATGGTACATTTTAGCGAAAGCGTGCTTATGTTACATTTAGCTATACTGCCATTTTATACTGCTACTTCCTTAACTATAGTACTTTATTTCAATGTCAGTGTTCTCATTTAGCACTATGCGCACCACGCCCCACTTTAATGGCGCACGCCTATTCATTGCGCAGCGCCACGCGCCACTTAAGTGGCGCGAACGTGTTAACGCGAAACAGCGGGCTTCCCTCGTGAATATTCTTTCTTTTTTATACCTGCTCGTGAGTACTTCATTGGACAATCAGAAGAGCTGCCTGTCCTTTCTTCTCCCCGCTTTTCTGTGCTTGCTGCCGCTCACACGTGTGAAACGCACGAACGAATTAATGGCAATGTGCGCGTGAAAAATTCCGCGTATGCGAGTAAGTGTCCGTATTTCTCCACGGAGCGCAAAGTGTTAATGTCTCTCTCATGTCATGCCTTCACAGCCACTTTTGTTTTTGCTGCAGAGCTCAAAGAAGCTGTTACCCCATAGCAGAATAGCACACATACGCTGATAGTTTGCGCATTCCTACTGCATGTTATATTCTTCTTTCGAGCATGATTCAGTTGCATATTTTTGCATTAAGGCATTTGTATTTATTTAGCCATCTACTGTTTTCATTGTCTTTAGTCATGCTCCAGAGTTTCTCTGCTATGGCAGTGTTTCTTGGTAAGTTTTGGTTGCGTGAGCTGTGAATTCCTAATACAGGTTCCCAAGTGTTCTGGTATTAACTGAACTAAAGCATACGTATTGAAGACATGAGTAACTTGCTCTACTTACATATATGAATGGAGCATATAAAAGAGGGGGAAAGGATAGAGAGATGGGATGTACAGCATAATTATGTGCATGTGCTATCACTCCCATTTACTGGTGGGCGACGCGTACTATGAAGGCCAGTGACCTCTGTGGCACACTCTGTTAGTAATATGTAACCTTTTACTCCAAAACCAGGCATTTATCGATGCAAATTGTACGCGGGCCAGTAAAATCAATACACTTTGGCACTATTCTAGTACATAACTATGAATAGCTCTCCACGGGGGATTTTTTTAAATTCACCATGTGCCGTATACTAACAATACAGCCCCCTAAATTAATAGGTTTTTGTGCAAGTTTCAGTTTTGGAAAAAGAAGTGAGAAGTGCCTGGTGCTATTATTTACAAACATGCAATCAATTTAAAGTGTAATGGGGAGCATACAGTATTTGTGCCAATTTTCATTTCTGTAATAGGCCTGAGGCTCTTTGTTATTGTTTACAAACATGTAATTATAGTGAGATGTGGAATATGAATCTTGGCAGGTTTAAGGTACATACCTCTTTGTTTTTCACATAATAACCATAGTGCCTTTGTGCCATAGTGCTTTTGAGATTCACCCTCTCACTTTTGGAGGTGAAGTTAACTGTAGTAAACTTCACCCTTTAAAATTGCAAGAAAAAGCAAATAGTGGGAGAAAACCACATATAATTCTGAAGCGGTGAAGTTGAGTTTGTCGAAAATCACCTCTACCCCTGGTTCAATTACACACACACACACACGTTACCTGACGTTACAAGAACGTAGCTTCAATAAGTCCATGTGCATGGTCTTGTGACTCTCGGCTCAGGCCCTTTCTACTTGGGCATAGCCATGTTTGAGGCGTTTTTGCAGTGTAAATAGAAGGGTTTTCAGTGAATAAAAGCGAGCCCACATACTTATAAAGAATCAGATGATCCTATGGCATTACGGGTATAATTATGCATTCTAAAAAATGAGGTTTTGACCAGTAGGGCCGCTCGTTAGGCAACTTGTCTTTAACTATGTCCTCTTTTTGTATTTGCAGATGATGCTTCAACAATATGCTACAAATGTCTACCACTGTTACTCCATCAAAATCCTATTGTTCTCAATGCAGTGAGGTATGTAAGTTATTAGAAGAACCTTGTCAATATTTATAAGTCGAGTAACTGAAGCATCATGAGTATTGACATGTACACAGATATATACTGTGAATTTGTGGTGTAATAACGTTATACATAGACATCTGAACCACTACAGATTCAAAATCCCTAAGTAAGTAAGCTACTTCAAAGTTTTCTTGATGTCTTGTGTACTGAAGATTGTAGTGACGAACATTGTCAAGGCATGGAGATCCTGGCTTATGATAATAATAATACTGCCTCAGAATCCTATGATCTTCCTGCTGTAATAAGGTGCCCGAATTCAATATTGTGCTCCACTTAAAAGAATTGATGTATGTGTCTTACATTGGCCAGCCATGCTCTATGTTGGTGCCAAGAAATTAATTACTATGTCTCAGAGATTTTCAAGGCAAATGCACTGTTGAAATATGCAAGTGTAACTATCATTCTCACTCAGCAATGTATATATGTTGGGGACCGATTAAAAACCCGGCCCCGGCCCGTTTTAAAGCCGTCGGACTGCTTTAAAACGAGCCGAATGGCTTTAGAACGGGCCAGACGGCTTTAATATGGGCCGGACGGCTTTAACTCTGGCCTGACTATTTTCAAGCCGCCCTGACAGTAAAGCCCGACAGTTTTTAAGCACACCCGCACAAAATACGCTCAGTTTAGTTACCCCGGTCTGCTCCTAAATAGTAAGTGAGAGTTTATTGTGCTATAGCACAGCTGTTGAGGTTTGCCTTTGCCTTGTATTGTGTTGTAGATTTGAGACCCTGCCTGCTGAGCTGCCCTTGTGGCTCAGTGGGTAAGAGTGCTCTGCTTAGACTGCAGAGTGTCGTGGGTTCGAATCCCAACCAGGGCAGCTCTTTATTTGAGTTGTTCTGGGTGTAGTTGAATTGTTGATGCATGATTGCTCCAGCAAGTGGTGTCGACTGCACCGTTCCAGCTGCAGAGAGACAGGTGGAGTCACCGTGATTGATCTTGGGTGCGCCCATTGCACACATGCGCTGATTAATTCACAAGGACCGCTTCTAGATGGCTTTACTGCATAAAATCCGTCCAGACGTCCTAAGTCACACGACATAATAACATGCAGTCCAGCATTGCTGATGTTTTTGCCAGTGTAGCACTCAGTTGTGGTAAGAAATTATGCAGCATTGCCCCATGGCCTGAACAGTACACATTGATGCAGGCAGCGCAACGTATCTTGCTAACCTAAAGTTTAGGGAGTTTTGAGTATTAAAAACTTGGACTGCATGACTACATCTTTTTGATACTTTATTTTCGTAATTGATGCTGTGTTTATGGCTTGTTGTGCACAGGCTCGCTAAACTGACCCAGAAGATTTTTTTTGTTTTTTCATGTCTGCTGCAATTACTTCTACTAGCTATACATACATTCAGGTATACGTAATACGTAAGAAGAAATGACAATGCCATAACATGTGGATAGAACGTTTGCCTTATATGCTGGAATATTTATTTCTCCATAGGAAAAACATTAAACTTCTTATACCCTGTGAACAGGACCGTGTTGTAACGAATCTTTTTGAAGCATTTAGGACTGGCACCAAAGAGAGGAATCAAAGGTTGGTGTACTTGAGTATATGTTCTACACATGCCCTCTGGGTTTTCTTTCGGTGTTTTGGTGCATGATGTTATTACTTTGTGTGTGTTGATAATTTGTTTGTTGGCACATGGGCTCATACACTCAAAATATATATATCTTGCTACCTGAGAATTTTTGGGATCCCAAAAAGCAGGTCTGCATTGACTGCACATACCATTTACAGCACGGAAGGTGGTGCTGTATATGTTTTTGACGTATGAGGTGAAGGCCAAGGTATACAGAGCAAGTGGATCTGGTCGATGTAAGCCACTGCTTATTTGCTTATTGCCTCTTTCACTTCCGAAGTAGCACTGAAGCTTTTTGTTATTGTTTCCTTGTTGTTCGTTGTGCGTTGTGCAGAGAACATGATAACAGACAGACTGACAGACCAACAGGCAGACAGACAGACAGACATACATACTCACAAACCAAGTACTGTAACCCTCACTGCGCATGCATGCTGAGGGTTGTCCCTTGTCCGCAAAGAGCAACCCAACTTCTTCACCCTGCTGACAACAGGAGTACCTTAGGAGTCCCATTTCCTTTTCACGTGTAACCTTCAGACCTTGACCTACTTCACACTCAAACGTTAACTCGTGTGTTAAAATTACATAACAACTGCTTATCCTTTTATCCTTTGTACTAACATGTACAGTTGTTGTAAATTGCTTCAACCCATTCTCAAAATAATACGTATGCTATCTGTCGGAGATCTTAGGATGTCTGGACAAATTCAACAATGGTTTGACATTTTGGCTGAAGAAGCTGAAAACATCACATGCTCTGTCAATGCGCACTCTCCTGCATCCTGTATGTATTTACACTGATCCACCTCCGGCTACCCATTTTTGCATGCTTTGCACACACCTCCATAGTTACACCTTAGATTCTGCATAAGCCACTACTAAGTGCTAGTCTTTTGACTATCTGTGTACTCATGAATGAAATGCTTACCACTAGAGCAGCTTTTTTCTTTGTCGTATGTGTAGTTGCATTTTTGTTCCTTAACCTCCTTGATAACACATGCATTATGTGTACAATCATCATGTGTCTAAAACATGTCAGCCTGTGTTCTCATGTTTAAGTACCTCTTATTTTACATACCTTTTATATCTGCATTGTTTGCTACATTAACATCTTACTAACCCTGTCATATGTGATGGCGTACTGGTTCCATTGTCTTATTGTAAGTGCGAGGTTGACAGATACACAACGAATAATGATAGTTGGTGAGCGGGAGCAAGCCAACCTAGTCGTTCGTTCGAGCGGAATTTTCTATATTATGTGAAGCCTGTGTCTTTTATCCATTATTTTATTGATTGGTGGTCTGTACAATGTGGCTTGCCTTCATTTCCTCATCCCAAGATGTTAGCACAAATTGCAATTTATGATAGCCAAGTGCACATTACTTGCCGAAAATCTGGTTATCTTTATCGATATTGTGATATCGCAATAATATTACGCCTCTTGCTTGAGGACTTGCAAACATGTAAGGGAATGGAGCCGTCTCTGTAATTGCAGATCAGCAAAATGTGAGGTCAACCACCCCACACGCACTCCTACATCCCATTCTGAATTCCAGTCATACTTTCAGATCCTGTCAAACTCCATAAAGTCCCAACATGGAGTCACCACCAACAGAGCGAGCCTCTGTCCTTTTTCCTTGAGCAATGTGTAGCACCTTTCTGAGGAAGCAGCAAAACAATAATTATAAACAATGGGGGGAAGGGAGGGGGGCAGGGAGGGGGGCAATCCTTCCCTATTATGTTCTTGCAATGGTGGATGACCATCTTCCTCGGATCAACCAGGGTTCACACTGTTGAGGATAAACCCGGGGCCCTACAACTGATGTACTTGGCTATATCAAGCCAACTCCATGTATGTAGTTGGACTTAGTTAGCGAAACAGCCCTTTTTTCTATTGTTTAGTTTGTATTCCGAGTTTTTCATTTAATTACAACAGGGTATGCTGTAATGTTCATCTAATACTTCCTATTCATCTTTGTTTTCAGTATTCAAGATTTTGCAGTATCAGCAATGGGGGAGATTGCAATGTGAGGTTCATATATAATCTCATAGTCTAGTTTAAGTCGTACATGATGGATCATTTTTGTGGTTTCCCATGCCAAAATCTTGTGGGGGCAATGTATGTAGGTTACAGTTATTGAGTAAAAGAGTGATATATTACATATGCAGTGGCTTCGCTGTTACTATGTGACTTTAGTTAGATTGTTTTACTGGCATGTTGTGTATTTGGAGCTCTATCTTCATTGCTTCATAGACTTAAACAAAGTGAAGGTGTCAATGACTATGTAATTTCACTGCTGAGATTTGCCCTGCGATCATCTCATCATGTTGGTGCAATTGTTCATGTGCAGGTTAGTATTTGTACTAATATTCTAGAACATCGTTGTTTGTATTTTAGTGAACCATAAATTGTTTTGGAGAGCTAGCTATGAGCACTCAGTGGGCATGTGCAGCGATGGTTGCGGTACTTGGTTTGTGTGTGTCTGTCTGTCTCTTACCATGTTTTCTGCCACCACACGCAACAAAATCGACCAATAAGTGATACTAGCAGATTCAGCGCTAATTTTATATTCCAATTATCATAAAAACACTGCGTTCAAAAGTTATGGTGTTAAAACCATGTGAACAAGCCAATATGCACATTGCAGTTGCTGACCTTGACAGCATTCTGCGCCAATGGAGGCATCATAAAATTGAACGGATTGTACATGTCGACGTATTTTAATATCTCATCATTCATACATCGTCCACATGAGCATGCGTTGATATTTTTATGCGAAATACTATGCAAGATGTTCTCCCAAGTATACATGGGTCCTTGATGTGCTCTATGTAAAACTACGTACCTTTTCTTTCCTTTCTCTCTGGGTAAGTGATAGAGTTATCTCTCTCTCTTAGCACTTTCATGTCATTATTGAAATCTCTGTGGCTGTGTTGCTAAGGACTGCTTGCCGACATACTGTAGATCCGCTGCAAGTAAGGTGCTCACTCTTCTTGCCCATAGAATGCATTTCCACTAGCATTACGTTTTGCAGATGAAGAGGACTCAAGGAATAATCCTTGGCACGAGAATGCATCCGTGTATTGTTGGCATTATGATGCACCACTAATTCATATATAGGCTGGACCATGTCATGTGGTCTAACCTGTTGACAGCGCCAGTTTCACTCTAACATAGGTTAGCTGCATCAGAGGATTGTGTTTAGAGCAATGCTGGACTGGATACACATAGCCCACACTTCCGGAGGTTATCTAGTTTCACCAAAATGTAAAATTGTTGGCGTCGTACCTCTCTTAAGATTCATGCACACGTTTTATGCCTTCAAGACACATTCCTGCTTGGGGTAGAAAGGATATATGCCATATTTGCCTAAAATACATCTTAATTGGATCCAAACAAGAGTACACCCATTTTAAATGTGCGCTGGTGGTAATTAGTTTCAAAATCAAGCTGCAGTTAACTGATTGGTCGAAATATCTTTTAACTGGTGTTTCCATGCCCACAAGCACATGTGCTTTTATACTTACCTTACAAGAGCCTGTGTCACATGGAACGAGTCCCAAAATGCCTCGTACAATGGGCATGTTAGTGCATACCATATTTGATCTTTGTTCATGTGGTGGATATTATGGTTTGAATGGGCGTGTCAGAATACCTTTAACATTACCTGTGATGCTGAAATTATCATGCAGATGCAAAGGATTGCCAATGCTCAAAAAGTATCCATCAGCAAGCTTTTGTCACATTACAAGGAATTAATCTGCAATGTAAGTTGAAGGGGTTTTGATATAAACTGTGTTTACAGTATTGTAGTTTGTTGTCCTGGAGATGCTGAATGAGAGAAGGAAATTTGCTTCTGATGACCACAAGTACATGATTTTGCAACAGGTAACTATGTGTAGCACTTTTGCAAGCAGCATAACCGTTTATCGGTATGGTCTCCACACCAAGCATGCATCCATGTAAGCACACACATTACTTTCTTGTAGCTATATGTGGGCATATCAGAGGCACGAACAGTACAATAAATGCCATAGTGCAGATGGTTGCTCTGTGTTGAAAAATATTGAACACTTGGGAACTTATTGAGCGGTCACGGTAAATCGTAGGAGGTACAAAACATATATACCTGGAGCTACTCCCGGTGCCCGTGTAGAGTTGCCTGATACCTGAAATGCGAGAGCTCTGGCACTCACAGGAAATCTTGCGACAAACCAGTTAAAGCACCATTCACGCTTCTATACAACAGAGATGGTTGTGTATTGTCTGTTGACCAATAAACTATGTTCATGCAATATTACACTACGTAGCACGATCAACTAATGCTTGACATCACATGGTCTATTGTTACATGTTATTATTACTTCATTTATTTACAGGTTTCATCTGTGTTTGGGAAGAATAATGTGAAAGAATTTTTGGAGGTATTTCTTTTATAAACTCATACAATGTTGGCCACACATTTACACAAAGACACACAACTTGGTACTGTATGCACATGGGTAATGGGGAATTATGCAACACGACAATAAGCAAAACTGTGAAGGTGGGTGCGCAGAATGTACTAATCTGTGATCTTTCTAGCAGCCAAGCTCTCCCTAGGTTTGCGAAAGTAGCACTGGAATGCGTACTGACTTGTTACCTCCCCTGCAATGTTTTTAATTGTGCTTTGGTGACTTGAAATATTTTTTGTAGTTACTACATTGTTACTAACACTATTGTACGTAGGTCGTCAAAGATGCTCTAATTCCAGCTCTTGTGTGTCATGGTACACGTCAGTCTTCCGGTGTGTTACAGTTCGTTGCTCAGAAGTATGGTATGGTAAGTTTTAAGTCATTGCCCTGTCTAATAGACGTCAGTCTGATATTGTTCCTGGTTTAAATTGGGCAGGATTGGAACTCACAAACTGTTACGCACCAAAATTTTTAGAACTGCTTCATAATCATGGAAGATGATATTTTTGCTGTAGAGTCTAAGGATACATGGTGTGCCTGTAGATCAGTGTTAAATGTTTGACGGGGGAGGATGTTGTGCACATGTCAGTTGCGTCACGTGTGTTGTATAGTTATAATAATTATATGCTCAGCCTGCAACCCACTGATTCGGCACTCAATGAAGAATGGCACACTTGAATTTGCAAGGCTACAGTTTTACCTAAAGTGCACACTGAGGCATATACTGAATCAAAGAGTAGTAAGTCCATGAACACCAACTAGAACCCTTCCTCAATTACTTTACACTACGCGAAGTTTAGTGATGTTGATTGTGCCCAACTCCCCTGGTTTGGGCACTATAGTGTTTTAAAGTGAATGTACGTATATTTCTTATACTGCTCAATTAGACAATGAGAACTCTCTTGGTGGATAACTTCAAGTTTATATTTCTGCATCTTGTAAAAAATGGCCAGCAGGAAGATCTTCAAAACGTGTCAGAGTATCTTAAGGTATGTTTTATACGTACTGGTACGTATAATCGTGGTGTGGATAATAAAACGTATATAACAATCAGTGAGATCACGGATAAATAGGACATCCTTTTGTACATGTGTAAGTACAGGTACTTCTAATTATTGCTCACTGGCTAATTAATATTTAACCTTTGATCTGTACAACGGTCGATAGCTTGAGATTGGTTATGAATATCAAACTTGCAAATTAAAAGTTGCACCACCATCAAAATTTGAAATCTGACTTATTGTCCATCTAACTGCAACACTTGCATGCTACACAGTTGGGTGAATATGTTCTCTTCGGGTTACCTGCGTAAAATAGTGATAATTCAACCTTCAAAAATCATACAATCAGTTGGCCACATTACCCCACCTTCTTGGAGAATCTAAGAAAGGTGGACAATCAGATATTCGGAAGTCCATGGCCAGAATAACAATAATGTAAATCATGTCAAAATGGTAGAATAATCAATTTCAATATTCAAATTTCCGTATTCATAAATTGCAAAGCTCAAGTTAGAAAAAAAATCGAATGGCTGGTTCAAAAACAGAAGAAGTGAACCGGATATGCAAAATCTTAGTATCGTTGAGGGCAGAAATATTTCACTGCACACATAAGGTTTGTGTAATATTGAGTAAAGTAGAGGTCACCTGAGGTTAGGCTGATTTTGCAAGGCATCTTTGCTTACAGATTTAATATCCTAAATAAAACCTACTGTTCGGAGTGTCTGACTTGCATGAAGCCATGGGTGTGGGTTACAATGAAGTTGGTCATTTTCTCTTTGACCACCGTGATTTTGAACCACACTGGTGAACCCCATTTTGTGCCCATAATATCTAGGGTGTTTGCAATGTGCACTTTCAAAATATAGGAACCATGCGTTTGAAAGTAACTCTGGCCTGCCTACACAATAAACAAAAGTCAAGTGCGTATGTCCTGCCATGCACATTCTACGTAGAGTTTTGCAGATTGAAAACCAGTTCTAGAGACTGACATGGGATATGTTGGTTCTCATTTCCGTCTGTCTATAAGGGCATGTACTCAGACACAGAAACGCTGCAAGTTGAAAAAGAACTCATTGTTTCTAACTGGGCATCCTGTGTCACAGTGCCGTCTATCATGTAAATGTTCAATACTTTGTCGGCAATAGTGTGCAACTTTTATTTTGCATAGTCTGCTGGTGGTTTTGACATGACAGCTGTTCTACACAGTGAGGCACTCAATGTATTGAACTTACTACTTCTGCATCTGAGTACACATCGAAAACGAGTGTTAGCTGGTGTTAAGATTGTAGCTGGAATCAAGCGGAGTGTGACAGTTGAGACTGAGGAGGACATTGTATGGATAATAACAAATTTGTTATTGTTATGTCTGACTGAATAACCTGCTTTTTGTAGGCCAACTACCTGCATCCTCGTCTCCATGGAGTAATTGCTTACTTCAATTTTGTCTTGTTGCGCGTTGATGGCAGTGACGGAATCTTGAAAGGAAAACTGGTTTGTGTTCTATTGTATTCTGTATCTCGTTTAATTGTCCTTAGCCCTTCTCTGGTTTTGCTACAAAACTGTAAAAATTTAGTAAAACATTTGCCTAGTGTATTGTGAGGCACACTCCAAGACCAGAATTTGCCTGTTGGATATACTCAATCTCACACACCCAACGGAGACAGTGCCACAGCCACACACAGCTGCTTTCATTGTGCTGGTCGTAGCCCTAGCCGAGTAAACAATAACCATGTATCCAGTAACCATAACAGATATCCAGTAATCGTAGTCCTAGCCCTTATCCCCCCACCTCCTAAAATTGTGTATGGCATTGTATGGAAAGAATGCCTACGGGGTATATATGAGAAAGGAATGCGGCGTCAGGCTTATACTTTGATTGTAACTCTAACTCCATAGTTACACCTGGAAGTTGTGGTGTGTGTTTCCGATAAGCCTGCAGACAGTGCTCTATTACATACTCCCCACCGAGTGCCCCTGCTCCCGAGTGATTAGACTACAAGAATTGATTTTGAACTAATTTTGAAGGCCCATGTAAAATAATAAAATACTTTAATGTGCTTAGACTCATATTTTCACAATGCAGGCAATTAACAGTCTAGTGGAGGTTATGAAACTGATGGGTCGGAAGTATATCACTTTAGTGAAAATGAAAGTGATTGGAATGCTGAGGTACAGGTTGTCTATAATTACATGTGTTTCTTATAGCTGTGGTTTAGTTTTGATACGTTTTGCCTTGACAGACATTGCCTGAGTTTTAAAGATGATGCTGTTGTAGAATGTACTCTTTCGGCATGGAAATGCTTTATGGAGAGGTATGTAAGCTGTTAGTATGCAGCATGAAGATATAAGAGAGAGCCAGTTAGCACAGTTAACTTTCTACATCACTGCATACATGCAGTTCTCATGGTAATGATGATTGGTCTAATACCCCTCTCCCATAATTCCAGTACCTGTAGTAGGGTGTTACCCTCAGTGTCCATGTGCAGCGAGGGTTGTACTTGTGTCTGTCTGTCTGTCTTACAGCCATTTTGGCACTACAGGGTTTGGGACGGCCTATGAGAGAAATAAGTGGCTCTAAACGACGACAGCAGGAAAAGTTATGTGTCAATTTTCCTGGTTCAGGATTGATGGCATGAAAACCAGTGAAAAGCCAATCTAATAGGCATTAGCTTACTCAACGAGTGTTTGCTTGTTCAATGGTAGACACGAAATTACTTGGAGGGCGAGAATCCAGTCTGTGCTCCAAACGCCAGTGCCTGATGTTCCGAGCTAGTTGTAGATCAGTAAACAGGCTATGGTCAACCCCAGTAGTGGCATGGGGCGTGTTACTGTACTGCAGGAGAAAGTGAAGATAGACATTGCTGTATTACAGCTTGTTGAGACAAGGCTTGTTTCACAGTCTGAACAAGCAGTCCTGCTACGCCATTGGTGGTGGGATGGTTGAGACATGTATGTGTTTGACCCCATTCGACCATAACTCGCTGAACTCCTAACAAAACCGAGACCCATTGCCAGTGACCAAATGCTTAGGTGCTATGCACTGGGCACATTATCCCCCCAAACCCTGCTTGCGCAGGATAACGTGATTCTTAACAAAGCACTACCTCTGCCACTAAGATTGGGTATTCACCACTACGAGGGGCAACTATCCTGCTATTGGTCCGGCAAACTCAACATGGAGCCTTTGCCATGGCTAAGCGGACCATACCCAGTAGTAGAGAGGGACCTTAGGTGGCGAATGTGAGCTGGATCCTTTTCTGCCATTGTAGAGCAATGCCAAATGCTTCATGGGCTCTGGTATGGGATACAGTAGGAGCAATGTCAGGCTCGTCTTCTGCCTCACTTCCTGATTAGTCAGCTTCTCGACTTGTGCTTCAATTTCATCATCTATCGTTAGCTTATACCCAGGATCCCCTGAAACTTCAGCTGGCATTCACTTGCTTTGCCAAACACTGCTCTCTTCAGTGCCAACTTCTTGAAAGCACCTACCTCTTCATTGCTCTCATCTAGTGTGGTCTGTTGCTCTAGCTTGTTCCATGCGTTTGGATGACAGGGAGGGGTTGCTTCTTCCCATGCCTGAGGAGACCAATAAACACCGTATTTGATGCTACACCATTTCTGGCACTGTAAGTGTTGAGGTAAGATTTTCTAGAATAATGTGTCTCAGAAGCTGTTTGTTGTAGCGTCGTTAAAAGCTTCAAGAATTCCTTGGTTCTTAGCTGCAGAACCGAGGTGCAGTTGGGAGACAAGGAGCAAGTTGTTACTCTGCCACCAGCTGATGTGAGGGTTTCAGTGGATGGATGGGATGGAGCATTGTCAAGTAAAAAAGAATTTTTTACTGTAACTAGCCTCGGGGAATTTCCTTCTCGCATCTGTGCAATGATGTCCAGCTTCTTTTCGAGAGACTTGACGCTACACTTTCGTTACGTGGCCATTATAAGGCTACCAAGGCTCCTCATGCATGCACAGACGCAAGTTTGTGCAAAATCTATTTGCACATGGGTGGTGGTAGAGCCTGCCCAGTAGAGGAAGGTGCCCGTATTTTTGAGGTCAGGATAAAGAAGGTTTTACTGTACTTGGTTGTCGGTGTAATGTGTAGGTCATACTGATTTTGAGCCTGCGTAATTGGGTAAATTATGAAATTTCTTCTACATTGTGTGATTTTATATGTACAGCACTGGAAATCCATATTAGTTCAAAGGTGAATGTCACTCCTTTTCACCTAATGTGAATAATATTGAGTGGTATTCATAGAGAGCAAACCTACTAGTCGTCCGAACTTGCACCTGCACAGTCATAATGGTTTTCAAACCACAATTCAACACTCCCCATGCTGCGGATTCAAAGGTCACGCTCGCGTTATAAAGAAAAATTCATTTAGCATTTGTTTCGTGTACATACATGTGTATAATTATCTCCCACATGATGTTTGTTTCTGCAGTGTCGAGACAGAATCTTTAGGGCCATTGCTTGGGCAAATAGTTGTTGCTCTTTGCCCTTTTGTTGAAAAGTATACTGAGCAAGTCAGTGCTATGTTCGAGTTCTTCATTATTGAAAACAGGCAAGCAGCTGGGAGTAGGTAGTACTCGGCTCTACCCCATACTCTATGACCATTCTCCTCATACTATTATTGGGCAGACAGCATTGACTTTCGTGCCATAACTCTTACATATATGGCACGAGGTTCACATACAACAAACTCAAAATCCATTGACTAGCAAGGTTTAAAACTTAAACTGCTTCACTTTGTATATCGTCTGCCATTCCTACACAAAGAATAACTTCTGGAAGGTGAATTTTAATATGTGGTGTCTTTTGTTCAAATTCAGAGATGCCCTACTGCCATACTTCAATGATATCTATTTGGTACCTGAGCATCCTGCACTAAAGAATGTTAGTGATGTGCTCTGTGCGTCCAATAGAGTGAAGAAAAGGTATGCTAATTTACCTGGTAGCCAGAAAATCGCCTACAATATCCTTATTAGCTTGCAAGAAAGAGTTCGTCATATATTAAAAGGTGTACGTCATGAACGCTCTGATGTACGAAGAGATGCCTTGAAGGCATTGTACAAGTTGCAGATAGAGTGTAGAGTAAGTCTTTTATCTGATGTGTGGTGTTTTTGTTTAAGTTGTGCTGTCGCATTCCAGAATGAACTGGAGCAGTGTATGGTGGGCAGTGAAACCATTGACCCTGTCATCACTAAGATCATCACAACAGTGAGATTATGTTACATAAAAAGATGCACTTCTATAATCTCGGTAGTTAAAATGTAATGAGTGTCTAATGTTCAGCTGCGTAAAGATGGGGTTAAAGGATTTTTAAAGCTTGCAGTGCAACGCATACTGAAGGACTGATTGATTGCTCCCATGTTGGTTGCCTGTGTCAGAGTACTTTTAACTGTCAACACGCATGTTAATATATTTTGAGTGTTTTTCTGTTATGACTATGCAACAGGCTCAGTCCTGGGTTGGCATGCATTTGAGAGCCCTGGCGCGAACCATGCATTCATTTACCTCAACACAGTGCAAGTCCTCGGAGGATGGATATCTAGTCTCGATAGAGTTGCCCTATATGATGCAGCTAGTTAGTATTAGTGCGAGAAGCTGAATCATTCTTCTAACAAAACAGCAATCATTGGGCGCCCATAAATTAATTAGACATGCGTATTATCGTGTGTCTACACTTTTTTGTTGTGTGGCTGTGTATGTTTGTTTGGTGTCGAGGATGTGCACCTTATTGTTTTTTAACATTTTAACAGCTTTTAAGCAGTCTTAGAGGAGCTGTTGATACTGAGCTTAGAGGACTCTATGGTAAATGTCTTGGAGAGCTGGGAGCCATTGATCCTGGAAAGTAAGTCTATCTCACATATTTTCCTTTAACTCTGCAAAGTATATCTCTTTCAGGCTTGAGATTCCGTCTCTATCTACAGTAAGAGTTGTTATGTTTGCTGAAATTGACCAGGGTTTTGCACGAGATCTGTTGCAAGAACTAGCGAGAGCCTATTCAGCATCATCAAATACAAGAACACAAGTAATTATAGTTTTTTTCCTGAATAATAATTATATCAGAATACTGAAACCTGTAGGACTGTTGTGCATTTGCTATTCAAGAAGTTTTACGAGCATGTGAAAGCAACAATATCGATTCCCTAAGGTAGGATTAATCCATGAAGTGACATAAACATTCTCTCACAACAATTGTTAGTGATGGTACTAAATTCTGGTCTTCTCTACCTGCCGATTGCCAGGAAGTGTTGCAACCGCACCTTGACTCTAAGTACGTAAGAAACCATTTCACAACCACTTGCCTTTTGCTTTTTTAGTGCTTACTGTGCTACGTATGTGCCGTACGTAAAGTATGCTTTTAGACCTTAGCATGTGGATATTTCGCAAACCTCGGATCTTCGCCATGCACAGGGATCGAAAGATAGCCATGAATTGTTCTCAACTACTGTTGTAATACTTGCTGCAACGTATGGATATAAACCATTAGCACAACTTGTGTAAACATAATGCTCAAACCATGGACCACACAAAACTAGGTACTGCAATGTTTGCTATGATCTGCTCACTATGATTGTGACGTATGTCTGCTGTGTTCAGGACCAAACTATTATCCATGCTATGCACAGCCAACCTTGCTGCAGGTTTTCGTCACACATGCTGAGGGTGAACTCCCCCTCCACTAGCCCATAATATACTCAGATTTACTCACTAAGTTAGAAAATATATTTTTTATTTGCACCTAAAATTATGTGTATGACAAAGTCATTCACTGCGACCTACGTAATTTCACCCTTACAGTCAAAGTAGCAATACGTTGTTTAGCCCGTTTCATACTACTCTTTAGGACAGCGTGCATAAATTGGTGAAAGTATATACATAAACCAGTCGTGGTTCATCATTTGCTTTCTTTGCCATTTGCTTTATAACTGACTACTAATTAACCCTCAACATGCATGCACAGCAAGAATTACGGTGCTTCGTTTTGTAAGTGCGTGTGTGTCTGTCTGTCTGGCTGTTACCTGCCACCACGTGTAACAATCTGACGAAACAGCGACACCAACCGGCGAAGTGTGGCAAAACACTGCGTTCAAAAGTTGCAGCAAGTGAATAATCAAAAGAACTAAAGTGCAAACCCTCGGCAAACTGCGGTACTGCTAATTGATGGGCTTGGCTATAATATTAGTATGCGTGGTCTCCCGCTTGTCGCTCGAAGAGAGCCTGACACGGGCTAGCGACAGTAGTAAATAGCATCGGGAGTCGATACACATCCTTTGTTGCAACTTCAGGTGCCTTTAAAGTGCGCAGAGCAAGCGGATCTGGTCGAGGTAAGCCTTGCATATTGGCTTTGTCACCATGTTTTCACGCCATATCTCTCCAACACGGTACTTTTACGAAATTCGTCAAATTTAAAATCAAGCCATGGTAGCGGCTACTCAAGCCAAAGTACGTAGTATAACCTTTTGGTATCGCTATTTTGTTGTTTTGTTGCGCATGGTGGCAGAAAACGTAACAGACAGACAGACAGAGGCACAAGCGAACCAAGTACTGTAACCCTCGCTGCGCATGCGCGCCAAGGGTTCATAAGCCAGTAAGCAAATTACTAGTGGCTTACTTCGACCGCATCCTGCCTGTTTGCATACTGCGAAGTTGCCCTTGATACTTTAAGGTTTTTGCCTTGTACTTACACGACTGTATAGCCGGGTTCCACACCAGAATTATGGACTCAAACATTGTCATTCAACTGTGGCTATATACATACGTAATGGTTGTCTTATTCTGTCATGTAAAGTTACACAGCCAGCATTCAAGAACCAGTGAAATACACCACACCTATTTTCAAAACAATTAAACTGAAGAACTTTTCTGAGTGGATTAAGAAGTGGTGCATTTGGCTCATTCACAAGGTAAAGCTGCATAGTTGACTTGTGAGTTTTAGAGCACTGTTCCTAGACTGCAGAGCGTGCTGGGTTTGAGTAAAAAAGTTGTCCTGGGTGTTGTTGATTATACCAGTATGTGTAAGCAAGTAGATACGGAATGGTGGGGAGGTGTGCTATCCTTTTTCAGCAACCAAATGCAAATTGTAGGCCGAAGAGAGGGTGTGACTTTTTGGAGATCGAAGTTGTTGCATTATGGTGTGTTCACCAGTAACATCCTGGTATGTGTGGGTAGACTCCAGAATAATATGTGTGTTTACTGTGCCTTAGTTTTTCTGTGAGGTGTTTGGTATACCTTAAGCTAGCAGCTGTGGGTGTATTGTTCACACTTGGTATTTCTTTTTTCACAGCTTAAACAAGGCCTCCCAAAACAGATATTTCTACCATGCACCCTAGTTTTTCAGGTATGAATGCTAATAGTGTACGAGTAGGCAGATGCATGGCGAGTGAGAGAGGGTGCAAGCCTGCATCTGAAATCCACACTACATTACCAATGAAAAGCACTGACGTGCAAACCCTCGGCATTGTGACGCGCACACGTAAGTAAACGCATGCGCCATACCACTAATTGATGGGCTGGGTTTAGTTTTAGCTGTTACTCGTCGTGGTCTCTTGCCAGCTCGCGAGTCTGATGCGGGCTAACTACACTACTAGATAGCATGCGAGAGGCGATACATGCCATGCGTTGCATTTTCTGGTGCCTCCGAGCTATGCAGAGCACGCGGATCGATCATACTGTGGTAAGCCATCCCGTCCGTGTTTTTGTTTGCATATTGGCTTTTTCGCGCTCTAGCTTTGCAACGGAGCAGTTTCAGACAAAACTGTTCGAATATACTTCTTGTATACTTTCAGCACAGCACGTCGCCTGTGGTTTATATGCTACCATATGTCCTCATGTGTGTACTTCGTTGTGTCAACCATGGAATAATCAAGCAGGTAAATCTAGTATAGTGTGGCAATTCTTTCAGAATATACTAACTGGAATGTTGCGCAACACACACCATTCATGATTCTAATCCTGCTCAAATACATTGTCGTCTCGTATGTTTAATTTCATAACAGTCATCATAAAACTAAAATAAAGTCTGTCCTAATAACGTATTTACTTGCTGTTGTTCACGGCAATTTTACGTTAGTCACTATTGCTTGAATTCTAGTAGTGTAACTGTTAACCACCCATGTATCTTTGCTGTGTATCACTTAAGTTTGCGCTGTCTAGCATTCACTGAAATAGAATCTATTTTCCTTAAGGACATGTGCTATATGTATGCCATTTATGCTGTATGGCATTTTTGTTCCAGGTTCAAAAAGAGGTCATGGCAGTTTTGGATAATATGGCACATACGAAAGAGATATTGCCTGAAGATATGTGTGAGTTAATACTATTTGCTTCAATTTGCCATTTCAGTTCATTTTAGCCATTTCATTTTCACCCTTATAGACTCAAACTCAATGTGTGCTCAGACAATATTTCGTGCCATTGATTTCCTAACGGCATGGGTTGTGGAGAAAAGCAAAGCCAAAAGAAAAGGTGGACCACATAAGGGTGCGTTCTTTTGAAGTGCTATTGAGTGCAATGAATGCGTGCTTAATTATACATCGCTCTATAATAGAAAGTACAGTTGGTATATCTGTCGACATTTTTTATGATAACGGAAGAATGTGTCATTACAGGGCAGACATATTTTGGATTTTTGCAGTATGTGCAGTTGAATTTTTTTATATGCACACATGCTTTGGTGTTGTCACCCTGTGTACACACAAATCAAGCACAGGAAGTGTTTAAAGAGGTTCTTGGCAACTTTCAGAAGTTCTTTTATGTGACAGATAACACAATTATTTTAGGGTTGTCTCATTAAGCAGGTCATCGATTAGCGGTACCGACCTACTCTTGCATATGGGTGGTTCGTCTGTTTCTAGTGCGCTGATAGTTCACGATGCTTTTCTGTAGAAAATGAAGACATTCAACAGGTGAAGGACTTCATAAATGAGATCCCAAAGGTACAATCATACCTGTTTCTGTTTGAAATATGCTAGTCTGGACCCCACTTCTTTGAAATTGTGCAATTTTGGGAGAAACAGACTCAACTGCCCGATTTGTGTGGCTGATTGTTTTTGCATGGGTGACCGTTTAAGAATAGATTTTGGGATAGTTTCATCTAAACTTAACATCTCGTGATTTTATATGGGGAAAGAAGAAAACAAGAGTGAGGTAGCTTCTACAGGGCTTCGCAACCTACAAATAACAAATCAAGCAAAAACAATTCACAGTAGAACAAAGCTCATACACACACAACATGATGTGTAGTTGTAAGTATATGTTTCAGTGCCCAGACAGGACAGCATGAGCCCTGTAAGGTGAATGCTGTCCTGTCTGGGTACAGCAATAGATTTGTTGGATATCCCTAGCAACTGACATGTATGAACACACCTTACATCGCACAGGATAGTATATGCTCATGAAACTCTCCAATACCTAGCTTTATACATGTTGGTTGCCTAGGGATATCCAACAAGCTGGTGCACAGTGGTAGGAATGTGTAAACCTACAAAGTGGAATGCAAATTACACAATGATAGTGAAAAAAAAGGACAAAAAACAAACCAAAAACAAAACAAAACAAAAAAGGACACAAAAAAAACAAAAAAAACACAAAGGTGAAAGATAGAACCTATGTATATACACCACTTGTGCACCTCTGCTACGTATGTACATAAGTACCCTTTTAAACTCTGTACATACGTGTTACAAAAATCTTTTGTATAGGATATCCTTGGACTTGCTGCCTTCAAATGTCAGGCCTATACTCGAGCTCTGATGTACATTGAAATGTTTCTGAGTGCTAACCAGTCAGTTTTAGAGGAGCACCTAGGATTTCTTCAGGTTGGCAAGTCAAGTGGACAGCCCTACTCAGTTCAGCCATTAATGTTTATGCAGAAGGTGTATGTAGCACTCGATGAACCAGATGGAGTAGCAGGAGTTGTTGCAGTGAGAAACTCAGAACCAACAATGCAAGAGGAGATTATTGAGTTTGAGAGTACAGGTGATTTGTGCTAGAATGCAACACATTTTGGTGAGGGACTGTGGGCAATCTAAGAATGTTCCAGGTCAAACAGCCCAGGGTGTGCATGATACACAGATAAATGTGTATCGTGCAACATCATTAACCCTCGGCGCTCATGCGCAGCGAGGTTTACTGTAGTTGTCGTGTCTGTCTGTCTGTCTGTCTGTCCGTTACCTAACATCTCACTTCATAGCTCAACAAACAATACTAGGTAGTCAGCGTCGGGTAACGGTCGAAATGTATGTATGGTTCTCTCTTAAACTGCTGCGTTCGAGAGTTACGGTGTGAAACACGAGCGAAAAAGCCAATATGCTAATTAGAACAGGCTTACCTCGAGTGGGTTCGCTCTCTCTGTGTATCTTGAAGGCCACAACGAATGTCGTGTATTGACTCCCCCATGCTATCTACGTACTGCGCACTGCACCAATTCTACGTGTTACATATATTAACCCTTGCCATGTATTTGAAGCGGGGTTACAGTACTTGGTTTGTCTGTCTGTCTGTCTTGGCCCAACAGCTTCAGAGCTATGAGGATATTAAATAAAGGCGATTTTCTGCGTTGAAGGGCTATGGCATGAAACTTGACTTAAAAAGCCAATGTGCTAATCTGCAAATGCTCTTCGGCCAGCTTTCGCTAGTTCAGTGCTCTGTGGAGGCATGGAGTTCTATATTCATTCCAATGCTAGCACTACCTACTGAAGCAGCTAGCCTTAGTAGTCTGGGCTAGAAAAATAAGCTGTCGTTTGTACAATCCATGAAATAGCAGTGAGTTCTGCATATGTGCATTGTACATACTTTATTCTGCAAAGCGCACTACGTGCATTGCTTTGCACTGAGAGTTATCACTTCAGCACTTTTCATTTTGAAGGCAACTATCGTGGTGCTGCTGCACTGTATGAGCAGATAATCCAAGAAAATCCGGACTCCATATCATACCATGAGGTACACAAGTGTGTGGTTGTCTAAGAGTACTGTCCACATACTGGACACTTATGTGCAAATGAACCCAAATGCACAAAGTGGTTAAATTTCCTCATATGTCTTATGCCTAATGGTGTTCTAAGCTTTTGAGTTGTATTCTGTAACACATCTGTGTCAGTTTGACTGAATAAGCTTTGCCTGCAAGTTGAGGAAGTAGTTACGTACCTGCATTTTAAAATCAACAAGGCCAAGAAAACCTATCAACACATGTATAACAATGTGGCAGAAGAAGAGTAACTCTTGAATGAGGAAGGCAAAAAATTAAAAGGAATGTAGCTACGTGCTTGCAGTTTTTGAGTTGTGAAGCAAGTAAAATACATGCACGAGTAGCTAGCAGGATGTGCCAGCAGGTTTGTATTGGTGAGTTGCACTTAGCTGCTGAAAAATCCAAGAGTCTGCTTTGTAAGGGACAACCCCCAGAGTTGAGTGGAGCGTGTAGCGGGGAGGGGTTGCAATTCTGCTGGGTTGGACTGCAACGCAGGGGTTCCTGACTGTCTCCGAGATGAGCATGTGGCCCCTTTGGAACAGTGGTAGCAAGAGAGTAGTTCACCTGTCAAAAAATATTGCTGCTCCAATGCTCTATGCGATGGTGATTTACCTTCTGGGGATATTACTTATGCACTTACTTCATTGTAGGGTCTTATGAGATGTTTGATGAGACAAGGGAATGTTACATTTGCAGTAATGCATGTGGATGGATTGCGGGAAAGAAAGTAAGGCATGTGCCATACACATTATGTATGTATCATGTACGTATCATCTTTTGTAGACCTCAGTGGGTTCACCGTCTTAATGCTTTTCGAGTTGAAGCTGCATGGAAACTAGGCCAATGGGGAGACCTGGAGCAGTATCTTAAAGCTGTAAGTACTGGTATCGTCATTGGGACTTAGTGTTCTTAATGCGCAGAGAGTGTTGCTTGGTGTATATGTTTACTTGTCAGTTGTATTTACCACTTAGGCAGTTGCGTTTGTGATTTGTGCGCTGAATTGCCCCCTTGAGTTTTTTAAGGTTTGACTCACAGGAGTTTAACATTAAGGCGTTAAAAGCTAATTTTGGTAATGGAGTTCCTTTGCTTTTGATTGCCACAAGCAGTAGATTTAACGTTTGCTTAAGAGACTATGTGAGAGTCAGTGCCGCTTAAGGGGTTATGGCGTGAAACATGACTAAAAAATTAGCATGGCTTACTTCAACTGGTCCTTGTCCCATTAGCATTCTCCTTGTACCAGTGGAGGGAGCGCTGGATAGCGCTCTGCCAGCGCTGGTACACACAGATGAGCCATGAAGTTACTCTGAGGACGAGTATCCAGTCCAGCATAGCTTTTAATTATGCCTAGTATATCACATGACCTTGCACAATGTTATCATGTGCGCCGAGGGTTACAGTAGTTGGTTTGTCTGTCTGTCTGTCAACGCTTATTCCGGCACTGCTTTGTGCACCCTGGAGACACAAGAAGTCACAATTAAGAGCGTGTATCAACTCCCACATGGTATCTACTAGCGTAGCTAGCCCGTATCAGACCCTCCGCCAGCCTGCTTGGAGACCACAAGTAAATGCATACTCTTGGCCCTACCCATCAATTATCGGTACTGCACATGCGCAGTTCACCTAGGGTTTGCACTTCAGTGCTTTTATTATAATTTATTGTGATTGAAATTTGTGAAGATGTTCAATGACCATTTTTCTTTTCCTCTGCTTATATACCAAATCCCGTTGTACTGTGTAGGGTTCAGTATCCAGTAAGAATTGGGATGTCAATGTTGGATACCTTCTCCTTGCAGCCAAACAGAAGGTTAGACTTGTTACGAAAATAACAACTTCCAAAACCTTAATGTACAGAACCTCTCCGGCTTCATGCAACGGTTAAGTAAAGTCCGAGCTGAACAGATGGGTCCACTTTCAACTGCAAGTTATGAGCAAGGTTCATACCAGAGAGGCTATGAATATATTGTCAGGTACTCGTTATTTCTAGCACTAATGGAAGCACTCTAATGTATGGGCTTTTTGTAGATTACACATGTTACAGGAGCTCGAGGAGTATGTCATTCCATTGATAAGTAGCCGTAAAAAACCTTCCAGACACAGCATTGAACGTTGGAGGGCAAGACTTTCTCTAACTCAGGTCAGACTTTAATCACTGACAGGAATATGAAATGTTTTCACATGTTGTCGTTATTGGTGTTGTCTGTCTATCATCACTTTCGCAGGTACATACATGTAAAGAAAAGAAGCAAATATGCTAATAAGCAATGGATTACCTCAACCAGTGTTTTTCTGATAGAGTGCAAGTATATATTGGTTTCCTTCGTGCTTTTCGTTTACCACAGGAATCGTTTCGTATTCGAGAGCCCATACTAAGTTTAAGGAGAGTGATGCTTGGTTTGGAGCCAAAGTAAGTATCAACATTTCTCACTTGTTAACTGAATTTTTTCTTGGTTATATAGCAAGCACAATACTGAAATAGGACAGTACTGGCTTGGTAGCACTCAAATTGCACGAAGGTAAACTGTTTTATGCAGTTTACTTTGGTTGATCATAATAATATTTTGTGTTAGTGCTGGACATATTCAAACATCAGAGAGTTTTCTACTGAAAGTGCGGGAATATGCCCTACTTGAATTCAATACTGAAAAAGCTAAGCACTTGAGGAGTGAGGTAAGATTGTATGTACCTCATACGAATGTTACGGTCCTCTTTCTAGGGTGCTAGCCATTCAGCGTTGCTGTATCTGCAAAAATTTGTAAGGTGTGTTTTTATGTAGCAACCTACTTTTGTTTATAACATTTTTATTATGACCATGAAGTGTATAGGAGTTTAAGTACATGTTACTGCAGTGCTCGTAGAGCACACTTGCCATGTTCAAACCCACTTGGTACAGTAACCACAGCACAATGGATAATTATGCCACCCTTTTTAGGAAAGCGGTGTGTAAACGCTACTTTTTAACCCTTGGTGTGCATGGGCAGCGAGGGTTACAGTACTTGGTTTGTAATTCCTTCCGTCTGTCTGTCTGTCTGTTACCACGTTTTCTGCCACCACGCGCAACAGTTTGGCCAAATTGCAACACCAACGAGTTCAGTGCTACACTGGCTTCATTTTAATAATGGTGATTTTCGTAAAAGTGCTGCATTCGAGAGTTATGGTGTGAAAACCAAGTCAATACGCCAATATGCTAATTAGTACAGGTATACCTCGACCGGGTCTGCTAGATCTGTGTCGAAGGCACAAGAAGTCAAAATGAAGCGCGCATATCGACTCACGCAAGCTATCTACTACTATCGCTTGCCCCTGTCAGACTCTCCGCGAGCTACCAGCAGGAGACAATGAGTGAACGCCTTATAGCCCCCCACCCATCAATTAGCGTTACCACGCATGCACAGTTCGTCGAGGGTGTGCACATTTCTGATGGAACTCAGCAAGTTTGTACAACATACACACTCAAGTGTATATACAGCATATCTGAATGAATGAAAAAGCACTGAAGTGCAAACCCTCGGCGAACTTCGCATGTGCAGTACCGCTAATTGATGAGATGGGCTATTAGTATGTGGTCTCCACGCTAGTAGCTCGCGGAGAGTCTTTTTCGCTCATGTTGACGCCATAACTTCCGAGCGCAGCAGTTTCAGAGAAAACCCCAGATCTTTATCCGACCCTGAATACGTGGTATTGTTTGTGGAGCGATTGATGGCTCGGTACCGGAGTGACTGACTGACAGTGGCATTGGGAGTGTTGAGGCGTCGGTGGCGGGGTCAGAAAATGCGCCTGAGCCATCTTAGTAGCACTTGAAGGGGAAGACAATTCCCAGGGTCGCCAAAAGGTGGCGTTTTCTTTGTCGTCAGAGGTCATAGTGATCCCAGTTGAGCTGTCTATTTTGGTTTTAGTGCGTTGCGATTTTTGGAAATTTATCGGGTATGATGTCATTGAGTTCGCTAAGTGGGTGCTACTACTAGCCATCATACCCTATAATGTGTCCTTGCTGGGGTAACATGTACCAAATGCTTTACAAGAGTGGCCAGTTTTGTAAGGCACCAGCGAAAACTAAAGCCACCAGTGTGCAAACCAGTGGACCAGAAGCAAAGCCATCATATAACATGTTTGTTCTAGCGATAAGGTTCCGACCAATGAGATATTGTTTTTAGAAAATGTCCCACTTTTAAAGCACACATCTTTTTGTCTGGCTGCACCAGTTTGGACTCCAATGCAACGGTTAGTCTGAGAGTTGTATGTCTCAGCAACTTGGTAACGAGGTAGAAAGACAAGGCAAGGCAAACAAGTCAACTACACCTAGGACAGCTTTGCAAGAGTGGCCAGTTTTGTAAGGCACTAGCGAAAACTGAAGCCACGAGTGTGCAAACCAGCGGACCACAAGCAAAGCCACCATAGAGGTTTGTTCTAGCAATAAGGCTCTGACCAATAAGATATTGTATTTTGAAATGTCCCACTTTTAAAGCACACGAAGCATTGACAAGGGAGACAAGACAGCCGTGAGTACTTAAGTGCCTTTAGTTTAGTCTGCCTACACCAGTTTTGACTCCAAAGCAACGGTTAGTCTGAGAGTTGTATGTTTCAACAATTTGGAAACGAGGTAGAAAGGCAAGGCAAACGAGTCAACTACACCCAGGACAGCTCTGTCTTTTCAAAGAAAGGAAGAGCTGCCCTGGGTAGGATTCGAACCCACAAACTCTGCAGTCTAGGCGAGCGCTCTACCAACTGAGTTACCAGGGCAACTCAGCTGGTAGGGGTTCGAATCAACACAGCACAAGGCAAACCTCAAACCACTGTGCTATGGCACAGTATACTCTTCACTCAGTATGTAGAAGCACACCGGGGTAATTAAACCACCAAAGACACCCAACTCCAAACCGAGTATACATGTCTCAACAACTTGGTAGTGAGGTAGAAAGGCAAGGCAAGGCAAACAAGTCAACTACACCCACAGGTAATGATACGGGGAAGGGGGCCGGGGGCCTAGGATATCTTTCGAATATATCCTAGGCCCGATGCATGTGATTTCAGAAGCTCACGTTCTCTTACACATCATCTGAGCACACTCTGTTGCAGTAGCAACTGAGCTGCCACTCTTCGAGCTTACAGGAGTGTCGTCAGCAAGCAGCTTCAAACCACGAAATAAAAGCCAGCTCGACCCTTCGTGTTACAAGTCTAAAGCCATGTTTCCTGCTTTTTGTACTTTTGTCTAATCTTCATACTTCATACACCCAGCGGTTATGCAAATGAGCTAGACATAATTATAGGGATATTGTATGGCCTTTTATGTTCCTAACTAACATAGACTCAACAAAGCACTCACCATGCATCTTTTGGGCTAGCTGGAATTCCTTTGATGTTACTCTTAGTCATCATTCAATACATGTTTTTTTTCATCTATAGAAAACAATGGCCAGAGAACAGAACCATTTTGGAAGAAAAAGAGAAGTTTATACATGCACAGGTTAGTGTCCACAACTTGAAGTAAATGGAAATATTAATGGATGGTCACAACTGTAGGCTCTCCTTTTAATTGGTCAATGGATGGAAGAAACAGCACACTATGACACTCAAACTGTTTTAAAGCAATACAAGGTGCAGCTTAATGTATTTTCATGATGGTAATATGACTAGAGAATCACTAAGTACGGTAGTACTTACGTAGTATATAGGGATGGGCATGGTACCTAGCATCATATATTTATGGGGCTATGATACAGAGTTTTGTTCATCTTCTTCTTCTTCTTCTTCTTGGACGCGCGTAACTCGAAAACGAAATAACATATAGTAATGTAAGCATGTAGATATCTGTCACCCGAAAGGACTGGTCATACTTATTTGTTTGTAAACAATATCGTAAACAACAACAAATATCCCCAGGAAATACATTATAATGGGATCACATGTGTCAATTTAAGTCACAAATGGTAAGAGCTATGTGAACGAAACTTTGTAGACATAATGTATTCAATCACCAACATTTAAATCACAACAATACATGCTTATAAACAACAACAAATAGCCTCAGGCACTTTTCTTTAAATTTACTTCTTCACTCCTCAAACTGTCCAATGGTATATAGCACACATGAGATGAAATTTGGTATGTATATCATTTCCATCACAATGAAAACCACTGAAGTGCAAACCCTCGGCGAACTGCGCATGCGCGATACTGCTAATTGATGGGCTGGGCTCTTTGTACTCGCGGTCTCCCGCTAGTACCTCGCGGAGAGTCTGACACGGGCGCTAGGTACAGTAGTAGATAGCATGCGGGAGTCGATACATGCCATTCGTTGTGACTTCCTGAGCCCCCAAGGTATGTACACAGAGCGAGCGGATCAGGTCGCGGTAAGCCCAGTGTGATTATGCACATTGGCCTTCTTGCTTGTTTTCACAGCATATCTCTCGAACGCAGTCGTTTAAGGAATAACACCATTTTGTTATTCATGCGCTTGTAGCACTGAAGTGTTTGGTATCGTCGCCTCGTAGCCTGTAGTGTCGTGGACAGACAGACACACATACCAACTACTGTAACTCTCGCTGCGCATGCACGCCGAGGGTTAATTACATGTTTCCATGACGACCGCATACGGTTTGAAAGTCTCAGGCAATTTTCTTTAAAACTACTTCTTCACTTTTCAAACTTGCTAACTGTAGCACACAAGGAGGTGAAACTTGGTGCGCATGTGTTTTACATCATTTCCATGACGACCACAACAAATAGCCTCAGGCACTTTTCTTTATAATTACTTCTTTACTCCTCAAACTCGCTATCGGTATATACCACGCATGGAGATGAAACTTGATGTGTAACATCATTTCCATGACAACTACATGTTTCTATGACGTCTACATATTGTTCAAATAGCTTCAGGCACTTCTCCTCCAACTTGCTAACGGTAACACTCATGGAGATGAAAGTTTGTCAGAATGCATATGATATCATTTCCATGACTACCACATATTATTTGAACAACCAAATATCCTCAGGCATTCACTCCTCAAACTTGTTAACAGCAGCACACATGGAAATGAAACTTGGTACGCATGCATATTACATCATTTCCATGACGACAACAGGCATTATTCTCCATTATTAATTTTTATAGGGGGCTTGCTCCCTTTCACAGATATAATATACGTAGTAATGGAGAAAAGTAAATTAAAAATCCTGCGAATAAAAAAAAAGAGGCATATAGGGATGGTATAAAAAGAATGGGATGCATGAAGCTTGGTTAATGAACAGATTTGAGCACACCCCAACCCCATCACACAATCCCTATATTGTTGCCTAGGTAAAGTATTTAGCATTCAACATTACACAACAGTCCAGCTTGAAAATACGAAAAAGTCATGCTACTGAGTAACCAACTAGAGTACAAATGAAGTGGCACATCAGGCAACAATATAGGGATTGTGTGATGGGGTTGGGGTGTCAGTCTGCTCAAATCTGTTCATTAACCAAGCTTCATATATCCCATCCCTATCTTGTCTCCCTTTCTTTTTATACCATCCCTATATGCATCTTTTCGCAGGATTTTTAATTTACTATAATTATAAGCATTGCAGAGATACGTAGCTTGTCTTCATCAGAAGGGGGAACAAAATGCTCTTGGTTTAACCGTGCACAACTGTGACACAGCGGGCTCTGTAAATAAAATGCAATACGACGGCAACTTGAGAACTTGGTATAGTTTATAGATCTGTAGAACTGCTGCAAGATTATTAGTCTGATCCTGAGAAACTCAACTGATTAACTTGCATTGAATGAAGGATGCACTCACATTGAAACTTCCGTATATACGAGACACTTGCGGAACAACTGCCAAAGCAGTGATAGCATAGGAGAAGCTTTTGCTTAGTAAAAGGTGTATTTGAGGCTGCAAAGCGTCCCAAGGACAAGAGAAAACGAGTAGCTTGTGAATTCTGGCACCTATGTGCACAAGCTTGACACCAGAGTGCACTTTGGACGCGCACAACAGATTGCTATGAAAAACTAGCCACGATCCAGACAGACAACCCGTGGACTAACATGAAGGCTCAAGGCATCAAGGGCAAACCGGTAGAGATCACACACTTAATTAACCCTCAGCGCTCATGCACAGCGAGGGTTATAGTACTTGGTTTGTAAGTGTGTCTGTCTGTCCGTCTGTCTGTTACCACGTTTTCTATGACTATATACGCGCAACGAGATAACAAAACAGCGATACCAAGAGCTTCATCACTACACTGGCTTCATTTTTGTTTTTTAAAGTCGATTTTCGTATAACTGCTGCGTTCTAAAGTTATGGCGTAAAAAGCAAGTGAACAAGCCAATATGCACATTAGCACAGGCTTTACAGGGCTTCAAAATAGCACTCGCCCGTGGACGGGCGCTAACGCCTAAAGCGGTCGCCTGGCTGGCGAGAGACACACTAGACAGACTTAGTGGAGTTGTAATAGCGAAGTTAAGTTGTAATAACGTGGTTTGGTTCGGAATATAGTAGACGTGAGCCAGCGTCTTCACCGCGGCGAACTGGTGATCGAATACGCGACGCATGGGGGCGGGGTTTGATCTTAGGAGTACAGGAACCTCAACTATAAAACCTAGACAGTCAGATGAAGACACTGTTTGTGATGATGTGTAATTGACTCTGTGCCTTCAATAAATAGTTGGGCTAGTGTGAAAGCTGTTGGGCTAGTAGAATTGAGAGCTTACTAGCCCTATTGGCCAGTTGAGAAATATGTTAGATTACACCCCTGGGCTTACCTCGACCGTGTCCGCTCGCTCTGTGTATCTTTGAAGGCACAAGAAGTCACAACCAAGGGCATGTATCGACGCCTCCATGCTATCTACTACTGTAGCTAGCCCGTGCCAGACTCTCCGTGAGCTACTAGCGGGATACCACGAGTAAAGGCATAAAAGCCCAGCCCATCAAGTGTGGTACTGTGCATGCGCAGTTCGCCGAGGGTTTGCGCTCTAGTGCTTTTCATTTGATTGGAATCTCTGATTTCACATTGGTTGTGAATGGGGGGGGTTGGTTAAAAATGAATCACATGGCATTTTTAGAGTGAAGAGCAACAGCTAAGTCAACATAAGTACTGTATATAATGTAAGTGGCAAGCATTTAGTCATGAGGCACTTGCGCTGCAGGTGATGTATACAAACACGTGTTAGAATCTTGCTCCGCTAAGTGAGCATGACTATTGTGATTTTTTCAGAGTGTAATTGATGTTCAGCCAAAATCAGAAGAAGGTCATTTCTATCTTGGAAAATATTATGACCGACTAATGGGATTTATGGCAAAGGATCGTCCTGCAAAGTGAGCGAACTGGACGTATTCCTTCCTTTTATATATTGCCTTTCCTGGTAATAGTGACTTCTTACCGTTTATTATCCGACACTATGGACATACTCTCGAGTACGGTTGCAAGTACCTCTATCAGTGCATGCCACGACTTCTAACATTATGGCTTGATTTTGGATGCAAAGTACCTGACAGTGGTAAGGCAGTAATTACTGTAGTGTATGATGTTTCACATAGTGTATGATCTTTAGGTAAAAAAAGTCAGGAGAGGTCTGGTGCAAAAACAGTTCAGCAATTGAATGATGTACGTATGTGATGTTTGTTTAGTCACTCATATTTTCCACATTCAATCTTTCTCAGATTATTCAAACCATGTCAGAGCGGCTACCTGCATACCAGTACCTGATTGCTTTCTCCCAGCTTATATCACGAATATGTCATCCTAACCGCAATGTCTTTTCTATGCTTGAAGTGAGCATTGGCTTTTACAAGTCGATGAATGACAATTTAAGATTTTTGATTTTTGATATTTTGCAGGCTATAATTCTGAAGCTAATTGAGCACTATCCTCAACAGTGCCTATGGATGATGGTAGCTGTAAACAAGGTAAAGAGTATACTATAGCGTCATTGATCGTGTGTTCACTTTCAATTATTATAGAGTACCCACCATGATCGACAGGAACGGTGTAGGACAATACTTGATAAAGCAAAGTAAGTTTAGTTAAACCCTCGCCTGCAAATATGTGTGGCAGTTATTGTAATTGGTCTGTGCGTGTGGGTGTCGGTCTGTCCTCGGTAACCGTTGCAGGTCTGACACTGCGACATTGACATCATGGTAGGTATAGCTATCCCAAATAGAGCAAAATTTCTGCAGCAGAACCGAGGGAGGAAGACGGTAAGGGGTGCAATTGTGATCCTGTGTAGGCAGTACTGTAGAGTGTATATCACGGGGAGTAATTGATAGTGTATGATGGAAAGAAACTTAGCTGATGGTAACAAACCTCCCTTGTGCATTGAATCGTGAATTACTAGTGATTTTGACATGCACGTGCATGTCGACATCAAGGTTGCAAGGCAAAGGTGTACGATACGACACGTGTAAAAAATGGAAGGCATATTGTGCAAGTCATAGTATCATAAGGCTTATTTACTTTTTAGTGGTGTCAGTTACTCGCATTTAAAGTGTTTTTTATTATAATCTGTTGTATGTTATTCATCCTATAGGCAACAAATTACTGGAATGGATAAACTAATCACTGTGAGTTTCGTGATCCCCTAGTCAGTACAATGTTGCAAAGCAATGTAGTCTCTTGTGTTTTGGCCCAGCAGCATTTCTGTTGCCCTGCTGTTTTATGAACACTACCGTATACTGCCAATTATTAAACTCTGTTCATTGCAGCATGTATGCACAGAGATTATGTATGGTAATAACTCGGGCAAATTTTTGACATATTTTGTCTTTTACAACAATTCCGCTTTATTAACCCTCGGCGGGCCGCAGCAAGGGTTACAGTACATGGTCTGTCTGTGTGTGTGCAGTTGTAGATGCTTATTTTGGCACTACAGGCTACAAGAAGGCCTATAAGCGATATGAATGGCTTCAGAACGACACAAGGCTGGAAATAAAATGGCGATTTTCCTGAAACGGCTGCATTCGAGAGATATACCATGAAAACGAGCAAATTAAGCCAATAAGCATAGTCGCAATGGGCTTACCCTGACCTTATCCACTCGCTCAGTGTACTTCGGAGGCACATACTAAGTTGCTAGCCGGTGTTGGACTTGGAAGCTACGAGCGTGTAGACTACGAGCGTAGTGCGCCAAGCACTTTAGTGCTTTATATTAAGTCTGCTCTTTTACATACTGTGTGCTCTTTTGTTTTAGAGCTGTGAGTTGCCCTGTGGGATAATTGTATCTCACTGTAATCCTTGATGATCTTAAAATCCTCCAAGCTGCATAGGTAGCTCTGATCTCTTAGCCCAGCGGCACACAATTGGGTTTTACTACAGTATCTGTAATGCTATTCTATTTTAGAACACTCAGGTAATCTGCTGTGTACTTACTTGTGCATTATTACAACCACTCTTTCTTTCTCTTAAGGATATGGTGAGATTAACGGACAAACTGTTGGAAGTTTGCAACAAGCCTGCTGAGTCAGGCAAAACCTATTCAATGGATAAAATATGTCGTGGTCTTACTCGTCTTACCACAGCTGAGTACGTTACATTGCTAGCTGTGTATCTATTGTTGCCAGAAACCATTGAATTCCCGCCTTACCTGGAGCATATGTAGCTACAGTCTGCGAGCAGTCCCTACGTAGCTTTATAGCATGCCCACAAATTCCACTGGGACTAGACTAACTGCATGCACTCAAGGACTTGCATTGATGCTGTAAATACTAGATCAAGTCATGCTGTTCACAAGCAATTTATTTATGATCGCTTCCCACAAGTAAGAGTAATAGAGTGTAATCTTTAGAGACAGGAATATCGCACTGTTAAACACCAAGAAAAGCTAAAACGGCAGCATACCTTCGGTTGGACATAGAATCGAACAATGTAGCTGCTAGAAGTGAAACATACAGACAGAAACACCAACAGATGCACACACAAACCAACTAAATTAACCTTTGCTGCACTAGCACGCTCTGTGGGTAAGTAAATGAATCAAGTACTGATCGAAGGATTACTACTGAGTCACATTGTCTACACGAATAAAATTTGGCTGGAGACTATGTACTAACCGTAACATCTACAACTAAGTAGCTTCACTGCTTAAGCAATTGTTGGCTTGCTCAAGCTTGCCCAAAATGGCCATTACGATTCTGATACACCTGGATAGAATTAATGCAAAGCTTCTACTTGTGCAGGAGATACACCTAGTGGTCTTAGGGGCCAAGGATATATCTATTCTACAAATCAATGTTTTCCGTATCTCGTAGTTAGAAGTGTATGGTGTATATGCAGTTATCTGCAGGGGCACACAGTTTGTCCCATTTCTTAGTGTCTATTTTTGCATCATCTGACATTCGCTTTTGCAGGGACTTTAGCTGCATCATGGTCCCACTGCAGTCCTCGATGACTGTCACTCTACCAGCAGGCATTAGTGACAGTACCAAACACAATGCATTTCCAGGCTTCCAGCCGACGATTGAACGATTTGATGAAAAGGTGTGTGGCTACTTGATTTTGATTTTGATGAGAGGGCACTTTTTACCTCCACTGACATGCAGGTGGAAGTTCTACCATCACTGCAGAAACCTAAGAAAATCACTGCATGTGGTAGCGATGGCAAGGCATATGTTTTACTCTGCAAGCCAAAAGTATGGGGGCATCCATTCATTGTGAGACTATCTTTCAGTTTAATGTAATATAGGACGATCTGAGAAAAGATGCTCGGTTGATGGAGTTTAACTCTGTGATAAACAAGGTGAGTAATCTATGACTGTGGTACACAGCATGGAGTAGTACACAAATCTTTTTGGTGGCTGAGGTAATGCTTCTCTTACTAATTGCAGTGCCTAAGAAAACATCCTGAATGTCGGCAGCGCAGACTACATATCCGAACTTACGTAAGTTCTCCCATATACAATGCTGGGTACCGACTACAACTGCTAAGCACACACCATAAACTCTGTGTGTCTGTCTGTCTGTACACAAGGCTATTCTCGCACCGCAAGCTACGAGTATTATAGGTTTATACAGAGAGCTTATTTGTTTTGTGTCAGGGGTTGGTACTTTAGTCTGCTTTCATTGTTGTGGTGGCTTCTCTCTCTTTGTAGGCTGTTATTCCACTAAATGAAGAATGTGGGCTCCTTGAATGGGTCCCAAACACTCATGGCCTTCGCAATATACTCATAAAACTCTATCAGTGAGTGCTATTAATGTGAATACCAGTTGTTGAATTTAAATGGGCATTAGGGAAAGGCAAGTCTGTATGTCTGGTAGAGAATTGCGTGATGCTGTAAAACCAGCTGGCAGAGATGCAGGGTAAGATGTTAATGTTTAAGTGTCATTGTTTTTTGACATTATAAAATCATGCACAGAAAGCTGAAGGACATTTTTTTAACAAAATTACTTCCTAGGTGAGTTTGGGCTATAAACAGTTTACGTTACTCAGTGCTTCTTTCAAACATGATTGCTCAAAGACATTGGGTGTACTTTAGCCCGAGTATGGTATAAATATTACTTCGTGTGTGTCCCTTATTCAGAGAGATGCTACAAGTGTGTCCCCTATTGTATTCCAATATCACACTTCTTTGTTGACGCTGTTGTGTACATATTCATATGCTCGCAGACATCCACCTGTTTTTGGGGAATGGTTTTTGCGAACATTTCCTGACCCTACAGCATGGTAAGTTCAGCCACACTGTACTTGTTACTGAACCATGCACAAATTTCTTGGACCTGGCTATAAAAATGTCTGCATCCTCCACATGACTTTTAGAGCTTGTTCTGGTGACTGTCTACTGACTGCATCTCTTTGTTCAGAAAGAATGTTAACAAATAGGCACTATCAAAACTCGTTCTCTTTGTCACAGGTACTCAAGTCGCCTTTCATACGCCCACACTGCTGCAGTAATGTCAATGGTTGGCTATGTTCTTGGTCTTGGAGACAGACATGGCGAAAACATCTTGTTCGATTCAAAGAGTGGAGATTGCGTACATGTTGACTTCAATTGCCTATTCAATAGGGTACATGATTATATTGCATCTTCTGTGTGATATACTGTATGTTCACTTGGCAGGGGGAAACGTTGGACGTTGCAGAAGTTGTTCCTTTTCGACTTACTCACAACATGATACATGCGCTTGTAAGTGTTTCTGTGTAATTACATATGTTGGTTTATACTCTCCTGTATAGGGTGCTACTGGGTATGAAGGAGCATTTCGTAAATCGTGTGAAATTACAATGAGCCTAATGCGCACTGAGTGTGACACATTGCTGTGGTAAGTGTATAAGGTGTAACTAATACTCAACACACTTGTGGCTGCCACTCTTTCTCCTGTACCTATCAGGCAGAATATTAATAGCCAATGCTGCTCACACTATGCAGAAATATGTGTAATACTGTAGATACAGACAGTTATGTAAGGTACACCATGGTAGAGCGTGTTTTGTTTGAGGTCGCCAGGAATGTAAGTTTAAACCACGGAAGTGTTGGAAATGACAGCATTGAGAGACACAGTGGAGACAGCAATTAAAGCTTCTTTTAGTAAAGTTAGGGGTGTTTATAATAATAGTGATGGTTGGTCTATTAAAGGTTCAGTTTTAGGTCAGGAACACACTGTAGCTGGGTAGGCACAGAGACGGGCACCAGAAACTGTATTTCTTAGTGGTTGATGGCTCTATTGCTAAGGCTGCTGCTGCTTTCTGGAAGTGCAAAGTGTACTGTACAATTCTGTTGGTAGATGATAATCCAGGGTATTATGGTAGTAATTATACAGTCAAAAGGTTTGTCAAGACTCGAAGTCATGTATCATAACTGGAGTTCACCACACACAACCCCCAGATTAAAGCCGGACGATAAAGTCTTTTCATTGACTTAAGTACCGCCCGCCAACAAATCCGGACAGCTCTTATTTCCTGTGTAGCTATGTACAATGTTTTGTTACCTATATAGATGTCCCCACCATTCAGCATGTTCTCTCACGTTTGTTTTGACCTGTAGTGTGCTGAAAACCTTTATTCATGACCCTTTGGTGGAGTGGGAGAAAGTCAAGGGGCAACCAACAAGTCAAGATGCTACCAATGAAAAGGTGTGTTATTTTATGCAGAATGCCTGCTTTTTCTAAAATTTTAGTGCCATCATCAATGAATCTGTCCAGGCTATAAAGATAATTCATGACATAGAAGACAGGTTGCAAGGAAAATACCCCAAGTCAAAAGGTCTCCCACTTTCCATTGAAGGACAAGTTGATGGGCTTATAAAGGCAAGATAAATATTGTTTTGGTGTGTTCTTTTTTGATGTGTTATTTTCAATTCAGGATGCAACAAGTATTGACAATCTGAGCAAGATGTACATAGGTTGGGCTGCATTTATGTAACGTATTTTTAACACATAACCCTCAATGTTTATACCTCATCAAGTCACCACCATTGTTATCATCATTAACCCTCGGCGCGCATGCGCAGCGAGGGTTACAGTAGTCGTTCTGTCATTCTGTCTGTCTGCTCTGTCTGTCCGCGCGAGTTCTAGCACTACAGGCTACGAGGCGGCCAATGAGTGGCACCAACGGGTTGTGAACGACGAGAAGATTGATATCACTGTGGCGATTTTCCCGAAACGACTGCGATATGGCGTGAAAACAAGCGAAAAAGCTTACGCGAGCGATTCATCGCGCACGCGCGTATGTGGGTGTATCGTTTTGCCGGAGCATCAGACGCGAGCGATCCATCGCGCACGCGCGTATGTCGTTTGCCGGAGCATGCGCATCTGCTAGATTCCGCGTGGTGGTTTAGTTGACCTTTGACGAGCAAGAGTTTCTCTCCTCAGTCATTGTTGATCTCTGTTCTCGATGGACAACAAATTGAGCAAGGTATGTCCGCAACGTTCATAATCGTACTGGGCTTACCGCGACCTGATCCGCTCGCTCTGTGTACCTTTGGGGCTCAGAAAGTCACAATGAACGGCATGTATCGACTCCCGCATGCTATCTACTACTGTAGCTAGCCCGTGTGAGACTCGCGACGTGAGCAGTATCGCGTATATATGCGCAGTTCGCCGAGGGTTTGCACTTTAGTGCTTTTCATTTCTAATGATTGTGCATTTTCGAGCACTTGTTATTAGGGTGATGGTTGAAGCATTTTCGGCACTGCATAGTTGCTATACACAGTATGCAGTATCAAATAGATACTCCTATATAAGTAACACAGTTTTGGAGTTCTCAAATTAAGTGGGTGTGTTGTTGACAGAGTAAAGTATAATTATAGAGGAAGAGAGTGAAATCTAGTAAGAGTGTAGGATGACAAACCTTTGCTGCAACCAGAACATTAAGTATAGGTTTGCAAACCTACTTGGTATTTCCAGCACAATGCCTGAATTCCCTATAAGGAAAGCCAAGTGGGTATTGAAGCTGAGCCCTCTGGTAGTACAACTAAGTGGGTGGCCAAACGGCGCTGTTGCTGGGGTAACATTATACCAAGTGAGTTTACATAGGCCACAAAATTAGGCACTTAACCAGGTGTTGTTTTGATAACTAAATAGGTGTGTAACCACACCTTCCAATAATTAATATTCATGGTGACCTGGAGGGCATAATTATGCACACAGTTAATTATACACGTATGTTTGAAGGTCCAAAAAACTATTACTGTATGGCATGACGAAAAATAGAGCAGGCAGAGTCTGCAACAATGAGAAGGGAAATGAGGTGATCGTAGGAAAGGTTCTCCATTTCTCTTGGGTTATTTGTGCAAGCATGTTGCAGGCATGAACTGTTAGAAGGAACTTCTGCGAACACTGGAAACACGAGCTTGGGTGGAAGAGCTCCTTGAAAATTGCCTGCATAGTGCGAGTGCCTTTGACCCCTTGGTCAAGGGCAACATCCCATACACAACGCCATGATGTGTGAGTGGCAACATGAGCGGCTGGAGCAGCTGGTCCACGACGTTGGGTGGCTGAGCTCAATGATATATAGTAGGAGCTTGAAGTCGGAGTGAAGAATTTGCTTTTTGACGCAGGTGCATTTTCAGGGTCTGATAGGCATTCGGCAAGGACACGGGTACCCAGGTTTGCCTCCAAAATTCTATACTGTTGAACTATTGACATCTCGAAGATATTTTCCATAGCAAGTGAGGTAAAAACCCTGCTGTTGGTCGTGTCCTTAGTTCCTGATAAGAGCTTGCTGAGAAAGCTAAGTTTCCGGATGAGAATATGGGTCGCAAATGTGGGCCAAAGAAGAGCAATACGGACAACAAGCAAAATGCGGCATCCATTCTCATGTTGAAAACTCTCTAAGGTATCAACAGAGGTGAAGTCCAACAACTAGGCCTCACTGCCGTATAATAATGTTGGGATGATACAGGTTTCGAAAATATTGATGTTATCAGAAACTGTGGATAGGCTTGAGTTCCACCACACTCGGAGACACTTTGAAGCATTTGAGGTGGTGATGCAGGAATTACCACTTTGTATATACAACAGCACTTGCCGTGTCACGAGAGTAGGGAGAAATCTTCACTACCTAAAAATTTTGTGGTGTTAAATTTGAGGTAGGAATCGGAGGCGAAGGAGTCATCCTGTTTGTAGATGGAACTTAATGATGCAGCAGTAGTGCGAAGATCATCGGCCTGAATGGCACCACCCATGTAGGTCTCTCTCATATGAAGACCACATTCACTCTCCCGCAGAGCAAATCCATTGCTGCGAGGAACAAGGTTGGAGAAAGAACCAAACCTTGCTTAACACTGCGAGAAATGTTGAAGCAGCTGGATATGTGGTTGACTAGGGCAGAGGATGTTGAATACCAGTGCTTTAAAAGGTGCCAGAGTTTCCCATTAATAATAATTTTATTATGACAATTGAGTAGAGCTGTTTGAAGAGAATAGGTATCTCGACAGAGTCAAAAGCTTTTTCAATGTCATAGGGACACGGGAAAGGTTTGCTTCCATCAAGTACACGTGTCAGCCGTGCTTCTTGAGTTGCAAAAATAGCATCTGCACAAGAGAGACCCTTTTGATACTGTCTGGGCAAAATCAGGTACACCTGCCTCTTCAATCAGAAGCGGTGATCCCAGGTGTGCCTACACATGTGCATACACACATGGTTAGCCCTCCGCCGAACTAAAGGCCTCTAGCGAAGATCATCAGCACACTAGGAGTCACATAATGTTACTTAGTCTGGGAACAATGGATTAGAGAGTATTTGCTACTTTTGTACTTGTGGGAAATAATATCTTTTATAAACTAAGAACACCCCTCTTTTATAATTATGAACAGCTTCGATCTAACTAAAGGGGTCTCGTCCCCTACTCACGTCTCTCACAACGGAAAAGAAACACTGACCTTGCCTGGATATCATCCTCATCCAAGTTAAAGGAATGCTCAGTAATCCCTCACAACTTCGAACATTTTACCGTTCGCCCCAGATGCTTCCAACCTTCCAGACACAGGCATTCTGTGTAGCTACAACTGAGGAATTGATCAGGTGCAATAAACACTGGTCCTGATGGTGTATCTTGCCATATGCTCAAAGGTACAGCAGAATCTGTTGCTCCTACTCTAAAACACCTATTCAACTCCTCCTTGAGAACAAGTAATATTCCAACAGCATGGAAAAGAATCATTCAAGTGACCCAAAGTGTTACATACCTCTTTCACTTGTACCCATCGTAAGCAAAGTTCTAGAAAGACATGTCTATAACCTAGTGTGGGACCATCTGGAGGACTCAGGCCAGATACCACCTGAACCAACACATCTCATGGTCTGACACATCCGACAATAAAAAGTGTGAAACTGCAGTCACAGGTACTCATGGAACTACACCAAGGCATTGTTTAATTATTGGTATGCTGAAGCTATTACACCTGGGCCAACATCTTCACACTTCGTCGTCGAAGAGAGTGGGAAAGAGAACGTCGTGCCCGTGAGACTCCTGAGCAGAGAGAGGCTCGTCTGTATCAGCGTCGCTTGCGTGATAGGGAACGGGCAAGGGAACGCCTCGCCACACTGGAAACAGCGGAAGCGAGACTAGGGAGAGCTTTTGTAGGAGATAGAGCTAGACGCGCTGCGGAATCAGGGGAAACGGAACAGGCCAGGCTCGCACAGCTCTGTGCTACTCCTGTGCCCGTGAGACTCACGAGCAGAGAGAGGCTCTACTCACCTGCTCACCGTTCTGGCAATATAAAGTACGGTTTTTTCCCTACATGTACATGTAAGTAACGGCGACACGTAGCTCTGTCTTGCTTCACGAAAGGAAAGCTGTGCGCTGGCGGCACGTTATGCAGCCCGAACATCGCGGGCAAATCCTAAGTTGGGCTCGCCCACTAGTTACGTAAGATTATGTTGTGTACACGTGAAACCGACCCGCGAGAGGGTGCCGCTGGACCAATGGCTACACGTGCAACGGACCCTGGAGCCTCTTTTCACAGGTTAAGCTGAGGCTCCTTGCTCGGGTGTCCACCAGGAATGTGTTGGCTACACAGCCGAGAATATGGCCTAGCTGTCCTATCCACCTCGCTCTCGCCGTTTTTCAGCCGGGAAACGGTGAAAATAGGCTCCAGGGTCTGTTGCATGACGTGTAGAGCCACACACAACACATCGATTCTCAGTCATGACACTAACAACTACCCTTTCTCGCCCAGATCTCCGCGCAGGAACTAGCTAGAGCGTCCGTTCTTTTTACTACGGTTACGCATACCGCGTACCGTAAAAGCTACGTGCTGCGCCGCTCCGCCGCGCCCGAACGAGACTCCGGATGTGACGTCACGTTCAATTAAAAACTAGTGAACATTGTTGGCGAGCGGGAGCGGCCCTTTGTTCGGGCAGCGTAACGTGCCGTCAGCGCACAGCTCTTTCCTTTCGTGAAGCAAGACAGATCTACCTGTCGCCGTTACATGCGTACTCAGAACGGTGAGCAGGTGAGTAGAACGGTATACTTACCTTCAGAGTCGTGGCAGCTGGCATGCAGCAGTATCTGCACGAGCAATCCTAGCTTACTTTGAAGTTGCACCTTCGAACCATGAAAATTGGGGAAAGGAACAGCCTCTGTCAGTCACCGAAGGTTGCATCGCATGCCGTCGAATGGAGGAGAATTTGCTAGATCGATCGGCCATAAGCGTACGTACGTACGGAAATGTGTAAAAATGATTTCGGATAAAAAGAAGCCGCGCAGTTTGATGTAGTGGGGTTTTATGCTACCACCTTGCAGACTGAACATCTTTATAGGCCAGGGGTGCTTGTTGTGCATACAGCTCAGAACAAGTTGGGTAACAGTGAAGAGAGTCCCTTCATTGATAAAAGAGCACAGTACCCACCTTTTGCCGTAGAAAATCTGAGTTGGAGAGATGTCTGGGTAGTGCATAAGACATATTTTATTGGCAATGGCAATATCCTAACCAAACCACTCTTGTAATAGCTACCATAATGGAAATTTCACACTGTCTTGCACTCACTTGGGAATAATGTTCGTTCAATTATGATTTGTGTTGCCTTGTTTGTTCACAGACGAGGGAGGGTACTGCATTACCGAACTGTAATGTATTTGCCAACGAAAAGGGTATTTGCCGGTGGAGCTCTTATCATTGCAACAATAACTGGAATTGTGTACGTCAGCACTATTGGGCCATTTCCAACTCTCCCAAGAGCATGTCACAATTGCAATCTCAGTGAATCAATCCCAAACAAAAGTGGTTTCTACTCACAGGTTTTGAAACCTAGTGTACCTGAAGCCACACCAATGTGTGGTGTCAGTTGTCCGAATATTGTGTATATGCTTGCCGATGATCTGGGGTATGGAGATGTAAGATATAATGGAGGGAATGTGTACACCCCAAATCTTGATGCCATGGCTAATGGGCGGCACAGTATACAATTCAAGAGATTTTACTCTGGTGGTCCAACTTGTTCTCCGACTAGGGGCACTCTATTGACTGGACGCAATCACAACCGATACTGTGTTTGGCATGCTGATGTGGTGAAGACCAAACAAGATCTTTCCTGTCCCTCGCTTATGCCTCTACCATCATCAGAGCTAACAGTGGCAGAAGTTATGTCCAGTTCTGGATATCAGACATCTATCTATGGGAAGTGGCATTTAGGAGACCTGAAAAAAATTGAAGGAGGGAACTCCAAGTGGCCAGTATCAAATCCAAGTACACATGGTTTCCAACACTGGCTTGTAACTGAAAGGCGCTCGTCCACTCTTCTTCCAAACTGTAAATGTTTTTCTAATTTTACATGTTCATTGGAGGAACACCAGTATGATATTCAATACTGTCGAAACTATTGGTACATCAATCCCACCAGTAATAAACTCACAAAATCCACAAAGCAAGTGTTTGACGATGCTGACTTTCTTGTTGATTGTTTTGAAAAGTTTCTAAAAACAAGAAATAGGTCACAGCCATTTTACTCTCAGATTTCATTTCATTCAGTACATGCTCCCTTCCATGCCACCCCTTTCTGGAGGAACCATTACTCGTATGTGTCAGATACAGATAAAATGAACTACCTGGGTGCAACTTCTGCTCTCGATCATGCTGTTGGGAGAGTGAGGACCTTGTTGGAAAAGTTTGAAGTTTATAACAATACACTTTTGTGGTTTTCGAGTGACAATGGACCACAGACTGGTCTACCAGGGTCTACTGGAGGCTTGAGAGGACGTAAAGGAAGTGTTTGGGAGGGAGGCATTCGTGTTCCAGGAATTATCGAATGGCCAGAGGTAATCAGTGAGAACAGAAAGTCTTCAGTTCCTGTTGTTACTTCAGATTTTCTTCCTACGATTGCTGACATAGTTGGCTTTAAAGTATCTACTGATATCATCCTTGATGGAGTATCCCTCTTACCGATCTTGAAAACAACTAGTGCCCACAGAGACAGCAATATTAAATTTGCTTTTCATATAAAAAGGGGAGATCTAAAATCAAACTTTGCAGCCGCAGTTGTTGGTGAAAGGTACAAATACTATGCAGCGTTTGATGATGGAAAAATACAAAGTTCGTACTTGTTTGACCTTGAAAGTGACAGTAGTGAGAAAACAGACATATCCAGCAAGAATCCTAATGTGACCCTTTCGATGAAAGCAGAGTTGCAAGATTTTCTCTTATCAGTTACTAAGAGTGCAAAACAAGTAGGATGTATCCACACCCATGATAGGAACACTGTTAATTGTTAATTATTTCGTGCATTAAATTCCACTGGACAAGTTACATTTTTCTGTCAATTTTAGCTATCTGTAGTGTACACATTAAACCTGTTACATAGAGACATCATTGAAAGAGATGACAATCTTTACACGGAAATGTTATAGTAAATTCATAGAGATGGCAAGGAGACAGACAGGGATGACACTATTCTCATTCCCAGACCCCTCCTCTTTTGTGTAGAGGGGTCTGGGAATGAGACTACAGTAGTCATACTTCAAACTGACACTTGCTTCAGTGTTAATTATTTTCACACAAGCCCTATATATCACTAAGTATATACGGTAGTACTTAGTATATAGGGATGGGCATGGTACCTAGATGTATGGAGCTGTTCATCTTCTCCTTCTTCAAATTTTTGTACGAATGTAGATATCCGTCACCAGAAGAGACTGGTCATAGTTTTTAACCAACATTGTTTATTGTAAACAACAACAAATAGCCACAGGCAATAAAATAAAAAAGAAAGAGGCAGTAAAAATCCCTGTAGAATAAGTCCGTAGAAAAATAGACTATATAAAATCTGGAAAGAAAGAACAAAAACATACGCACAGACCAGGCTCATGAGCTACAGAGCGGCTTTGCAATGATTGTATTTAGTATGCACATGTTGTAAAATTTAAAAACGTATTGTTTAAATCGATCTGCGTGAGATGTGACGACTCTGGAACGGATCCATTGCTGGCAAACATACACCATCTTTAATATGTCTCTGTACACTACAACCATTATTTGTCTAAAAACCACACGTTTCTTCGCAAACCTCGAAAAACTACACACAATGTTGAGTACCTGAATCCTTGGCGAACAAGTCTTTGAGTAAGTTTGTAGTGCCTCACCGCAAAATTAGTATAGTTACTGCATATTCTACCTATACGTACAAGCTGGGAAACATAAACTCCATATGCAGGTCCAGATGGAATATTAGAAGAAAGATATGGAAAAGTAACAATACTAAAATTGAAAATGTCTCGCTTGTCATATAATGCTGTTTAATATTTCTATAGTTACCAGTAAATCTAAGTACGACAGTTGTGCCACATTCCGTAGTTTTCTTTGGTTGGAGCTCGCAAGGTATGTCACTTATTGCTGAATGAAACACAGTATTATTTTAGTGTCAATATATCTCATTGTATTAGTGAATTTCTTAGCCAACATTAAATTAGGCCTCTTACATACTGATAAAGAGAAACAAATTTGCTACTAATGGCACACAATCCGTACCCATCGGAATCCCCACACATTGTCTGTACACTCTATTGCCTATACTAACATAACTATCAGATATTCCACATACGCAACATGTTCTTCATGTTTAGATGACGATGATGATGGTGTGTTTGACCAATATGCTCTTCCAGTATGGTCGGCTATAAGGAACACACTGTCTTTCACTTTGTAGGCCTCCTTGATTAAAGATTGTAAACATTGTTTGAGCAAACAATGAGGAATACTGTAATGTTTAGCGGTAGAAAAATTATTTAATTTTATTTAAGGTTGAAAGAACATGCTGTGAGTTATCTATAACCAAAAAACAATTACCTCCAGTTCTACCATTACAGTATTGTCGAAAATGGTTGGTAACTAATTAACCCTCGCCGCGCATGCGCAGCGAGGGTTACAGTAGTTGGGTTTGTCTGTCTGTCTGTTACTCTTCATCTCACTTCTCGAGTGCTCTTTCGTCTCACAAAGGATACCACCTACAGAACGGGCAATGAAGGTCAGAAATTTCGAACGGTTTTCTCTGAAACTGCTCCGTTGCAAAGCTAGAGCGCGAAAAAGCCAATATGCAAATACACAACGGACTGGATGGCTACCACAGTCGGATCGATCCGCGTACTTCGGAGGCACCAGAAGATGCAACGCAGGGCGTGTATCGCCTCTGGCATACTATCTAGTAGTGTAGTTAGCCCGCGTTAGACTCTGGCAAGAGACCAGCTAAAACTAAACCCAGCCCATCAATTAGTGGTACGGCGCATGCGTTTACTTACGCGTGCGCGTAACTGTGCGCCGAGGGTTTGCACTTCAGTGCTTTTCATTATTTAAAGCAACTAGTAAGTAACTTAGATAAAGGCTTTGTAGTGCACTTATGCGAAGCAGCTATAAACCTAGAACCATAACGTTTTTTGTGTAACTTTGGAAGCCAATAAAACAGGGGTAAGCATTCACATTCAGGCTGTACTACTATCCGATTGGCCGTCATAAACTTCAAATGCTCATCCACTAGTTTGTCACAATCCGTTGCAGCACGCTTATACGTTGTAGTCGCACTGAACACAATCTCTATGTAATATTTCTTGCACACTATATCACATTGCTAGATGCCTTATCAGCTGGTACTTACTATGAAGTTCCTGGAGAGACCCTAAATGCTACTCTTAAGTGACCTTATCCTCTTTTCAATGCATTCATTGACCTTGCATTCCCATTCGTTTAATGCTCTTATGTTGACTCTTTCCTTCCGCGACCATTTGCGTTTATACTTAGCTACTGCCTCCCTTACACAAGCTCTCATTAATACTCCAGTTAATGCAGTTCTGTTCCCTGAACGATGGTCCCTTCTCTATCAGGCCTCTAAGTTTAGAGCATCTCATACTATCGTTAAGTCTCCCGTTATTACATGTCCTGCAGGCTCATAGCAGTATTTACTTTTACTACAGTCACAGTACATAAATTATCCTCAGTTCCGCTATCAACATCCAATTCTTCCACTACCTTCTTTTGATTAAATATCCTCCCAGCTATTGTCTTTTGTATATTATTTATAGCTAATAGTGGGAGGCACCCTGTTGTTCAAAAACTGGGGTACTGCATCTCTAACATACCTACTGTTCATTATTCTAGGAAGATTAAACTCCTTACATTAAACATAAAAACATGAGACTTATAACCACGCATGCAATCCTCAAGGCGTGAAGTTAAATCATCAAAATAAATTTTTCTTCTTTGTTTGCGGCTATTACTACATGGCTCCATGACAACCACACATTGTTCGAACAACAAAGAGCCTAATTACTTCTTCTCTCCGCAAAATTGCTAACGATAGCACTCATGGAGATGAAACTTGGCACGCATGAATCATTTACATGATGATAACAGGCATTAAATTCAATAGGGGGCTTGCCCCTTTCACAGAGATGTACGAAGTAGTATATAAAAATGAGTGGAGACAAGTAAATAAAAAATCTAAAATAAAAAAATTAAAAGTAAAAATATAGTATAGATACATGAGTTGAAACTGAACAAAAGCTTTCCATTCGGTCCCTTTCTCCCCTGTCTCTCCCATCCAGGGAGACAGGAGAGACAACATAGACATGGGAGACACACACACGAGACACGGGGCGACACCGAAGAGTTTTCGCCGACCCAGCACCCCCCACGTCCCAAACAAAGAAACATTATGCGGGTTCAAAAATTCTTCGCTTCATGCGTATTCTTACCAGAGTGATACGTGAAAATTGGATCTGAAAGCCGGACCCCCCCCCGCGATAACACTGCTTCATAGTGCCAGCAATTGACAAAATATTCTTCTAAGCAGGTGACAAACGATTCAAAAGCAAACATTACTAAGATCTGAGCTAAAGAGTGTCTGGTAATGTAGCAATCTGAGTAACCATTGGTCCCAGTATCTCTCACAGAGTTCAGGAGGAAACAGGTGGACATGGCAGGGCTCCCCAGACGGATAGGCAACGACAATCGCAACATTATCCACCTGAAGAAATAAATCCTAGTCAGACATAGAGCAAGGGAATAACTTTCACCTTGAAAGGGTAGTGCAGGTCTTGATTGACTGCCCCTGCATACGCAACTGCTTGAAGAGGGTAGTCGTGTAGGTCCGTAATCAAAGGACGGGGCTTCGATGACGTTTTCCAGTCAATCAAACACAAACTATCTCTGTGAAAAATAAACCAGCCTTTTCACATCTAAACCTAACATGTCTATTGACTTACCTGTATGTAGCAATGCAGTCACAAGTACCAGAGTAGCCTAACTCTACATGAGCTACAACACTCTCTAAATAGTGCACCTCACTTATGTCAGCCAATACTGGGTTCACACTCTCAAGGTAGCCACTACACGCAGATGACAATACATCATCCCTGCTGTCACTGCAGAATGTAAGACACCTTTGGTTAGCCATGAATGTGTTAGTAGCAGAAAAAGGTGCCTACAAACATGTACCTTTGAGGTAGAGCTTGTATACGACTGTTGACATCATCACCAGTACTTGGATTACCCACGTTTTCACTGCCCACATCACATGCATCATTCTCCATTGAAGGAAGGGTATGACTGGGAGGGAATGGAAGGGGTGGTGGTAGGGAGGAGATTGTAGTTGTGTTGTATGGTGGAGGAATTGAACATTTCAAGAGTGGGTGCTCTTGCGGCTTTATTGACAGTAGGTGAGGTCTGTAGAGCTTAGATTCTAATTCCTGGAAAACAATGTTGTGGCGGGAAACAGAGCAAGGAGAGGGGGGAGTGATTATGAAATTCACACGTACGTACTCAAAGTTCTCACCGCATGAAACTCTTTTCCAACAGCTCTTATCTCATCCCTGACCTGCTGATATCCCATTTCTCCATATTCCCTCACCATTCCCTTTTTCCAGTTATTAAGCATGAAATTCCTACTCTTTGGAAGTGTTAGATTAAGAACTGTTGTCACACTTGGGAGAGAAAGCAATTCGTCACCTCTCTCAACAATGTACGTTCGTACTTCGGATGAATTTCCCTTGTAAACGGTGAACGTGGGCTCTTGTACACAACAACCAACGCTAGGCTTTTCATTTACACCACACTTGCCTTTGAATGGAAAAGTCAGCTTGAATCTGGGGGCATCTCCTAATCGTTCCTTCTCGTCTAAAACATTCCAGCAACTACGGCTGCTATACTTCCGTCCATCGGGCGGGGTTGCAGCCAGATGAATAGAAAGCAAGGTTCCCTTTAAGAGCGTCTTTCGGCAGTGTGAGCAAGCCGAAAACTGTCGGATCATCACTTCAATTAATGCCCACCTTCTTAGCTATTGCCATAGCAACGCAAATACAGACGGGGGCCGGCAGGTCGTGCACGACAAGATGGGGAAAGATTTTTATGCGATTCTTGGCATTAATCGAGGTGCATCAGATGTTGACTTGCAGCACAGGTATTCCTTGACCAGTCGCTGTACATAAAACCGGCCCGAAAAATTTGCAATGATGCTGCTCTTCTAAACTAGCTAGTGAGACACCCCCTGCATCATTGCTGCAAGCAAAATAGGTGGAGAGTTAGTCTTCCTGTAGTTTGCAGGCTTATGTTATATATAGCTACATTCATGTCACTTATAGCTACCGTAAGCTGGCACTCAAGTTCCATCCTGTCAAAAATGAAAGTGGGGGAGCAGATGAAAAATTTGCAGAGGTGGCAGAAGCATATGATATCTTGAGCAACCGTAAGTCACCCCAGATCTTAATTAACCAGTAGAAAATTTTTTGGTATACTTGCCTTAGTTGACCAGTAAACAATTTAATATGTCGTTGACCAGTAAAACCGATGTACATGTATGTATTTCTAGTTGACCAGTAACTCAATGTTGCTGCAGTCACCAATGTTGCCTCAGATACCACAGTTACCAATGTTGCCTTAGTGGGCCAGTGAACCCAATGTTGCCTCACTCGACCAGTAAACGTGATCATACATAGTGCACATTAAATGGTTTCCGCAATCCTCTACACAGTCATGTGATATAATGTACACGCCGCATCCGCACGGGAAATACTTCACAGGCAGGCATGCGCGTTCAAGATTGTTGTTGATGATATGAGATCTGTAACTAGTCGAAAAGAAGTGGCTGTTGACTCTCCAAAGGGCTAGAATCATCAGAGAAGGTGTCACCTTTGTCTTGAAACCATGCTGTGAGCCAAAGAGCAGGGTTGTATTTTCACACAAAATTGCTCAGACTGTTACGAAACCGTATTGACAAATCTGAAGAAAACATGCGTATATTCAAAGAGATCAGATATGAATCCAATTCAGCAAAGCTCATCAACTAGCAGCATTATAGAGAGTATTCTTGGAATATGTTGCCAAGGTCACAATTGCTCATTATACATTTGAGTCCAAATAGTTACAAGTGTTGTCAGAATCCCTCGTAACAGAGAAGCCTTTCTCTCTGAAGATGAGAGGGTCATCAGATATGCATGTGGTTGAATTGGGATGAAATTGCACGAGATATTTGAGAGGCAGCACAGGGGAAAGGCAGCTTCCGTTTTTACACGCATTGAAAAGATCCAGCCACAGGCCCCATCTTGACCTCTATTGGAGTCCACACGGGAATGGACATACAGGGTTAACAGAGGTGGACTTTTTTGTAGTTACATGGTGGAGGCTATTATCTGTTCCTGTCCATTGGGTTGGCATGCAGGAGAGACTGTTCCATCTTGAATCATCACACTCCAACGGAAAGGATGCAAAAGTTCAACATGTTTGTCAAGATACTGTTGTACAGTTTCATTGGTACATGATTGTAGTGTCGACATGCGTTAAGAAGACTGTTCAGAGCTACTAAAGCACATTGTAATGCTGTGGCCCAAAAATTCAGGGTTGTATATGTGTACAGCAGTGTTTGTGTCGAGGAAAGCGTTTACAGAACTGACTGGGGAAAGCAATTTTCCGTTCTTTTCTCTATCATCTGAAAACACTTTTTTCTCTGGATGACCAGGATAGGCATAGCGTGTCGATTTGGATCGAAAAGTATATGTATGTTCTCTCATGACTCGGTGAACACTGAAGACATCATCCACCTGCACTGCAATTCATAATTCACACCAGTTCGTGTGTGCCGCTGACTGTACGGACGACAGCTAATAGCGTCCTGCAGAAAAATGCGCCCGTGTTGCCAATCTCATGTAACGAATTAATGTTGTATTGGTCACTAGCCCCAATTCCAAAATCCACACGGCAGTTGAGGTGTCCCATTGCATTACACCAACTTCTGACAGTACCTAACTAGGTCTACACTACGTTTCTGTAAAATGTAAAATTATACAGCTATCAGAAGGGCAACTTTTGACAAGTTTGGGGAGGAGGGTTTGAGAGCTGGAGTTTCTACTGCAGAAGGAGGTGAGTATAATGTTAACCTAAAAGACTACCATTCATGGCATAAATTATGATGCAAAGTGAATTATGAGTTTGCTAATGTGTTTGTAAGGATTTCTTGATGGCTATTCATTCCATGGTGATGCTTACAAAGTCTTTGCAGACTTCTTTGGATGTGATAACCCATTTAAAGGTTAGTTAATATTAAATGTGTGTATATATAGACTCCATGATCTGTAATAATTTTGTCATGCCCTACAGAGTTATTCATCAATGAAGAAGTGGCAGGTAGCAGTTACCCAAAGTTTGGAGGATTAAAAGGGCGTTCACAGCCCAAGCAAGACCCTCCAATAGAACGAGATTTGATGCTGACATTGGAAGAGGTGTACAATGGATGCATCAAGAAGATGGAAATATCCAGAAAAGTAATGTGTTGCACAGTTAGCCAACACAAAATAGAACCCTATACACATTGCTATTTCTACATCATACATTCACCGCTAGATGCACTATGCATTTTTGCTTCTTCCAGTATAGAAGCCTATAGCAAGGTGTTAGGTGGGTAGTGATACAAGAACATTAATTTGGATGCAGTTCTTTGAGCATGTTCCTAGAGTGCACTGTACACTTAGCCTGAGTATGAGTGCTAAACTATTCTGATTGCCTGGCATGATGACAATATTTGCAGGTTTTAAATGATGATGGGTTTACAACAAGTACTCGCAAAAAGATAGTAACCATAACAGTGAAGAGGGGATGGAGAGAGGGGACAAGGATCACATTTCCTAAGGAAGGGGACCAGGGGCCTAACAGAGTGCCAGGTCCGTACATCAATTATTGGTGATTTGCATACATTTTTACTCTTACTTCACTCCAGCTGATATAGTGTTCGTTCTGAAACACAAACCACACCCAACTCTAATTCGCGACGGTGATAATCTCATCTTCAGTCCAGAAATACCTTTGATAAAGGTTAATTTGAACCTCCATTAGAGTATATACAACCCTTCTATAGGGAAGTAGAGTCAATTTGTGTCTTGGTTTTGTGCAACCACTGTGTGACTGTGCTAGTCCACCATGTCATAATTATTTGATCGCTGTCTAGTGCATGAAATTTGAATACCCAGTATCACTGGTGTATTATCTATTGTCATATGGGGTCAAAACAAAGTTGCATGGATGTCTATTGCTACGTGTTTTTGCAACCACACAGGCTCTATGTGGTGGTAATGTACAGGTGCACACCCTTGACAACCGCATTATCACAATCCCAATTACTGAAGTCATCAGGTACTTTCACTATTGTATTTTTCAATGACTGTAGCCTGTTTAGAGATTTATTTACAAGTACGTAACTGCATTCTCATAACATGCATGCTGCTAGAATGGCCCGTCCACCCTTGTTGTTCCCTTTAGTCCAGGCAATACCAAGTGTGTTGTTTGTGAGGGGATGCCAGTGTCTGATGAGCCATCTCAGAGAGGTGACCTGCTGATCCAGTTCAGGATAGCCTTCCCTCCCTCCCTTTCTCCTCATCAGCAGTCCCTTATTAGACAGGCTCTCCAGTGATCTGCACGAAACTGTTGTATTGTAACTGAACTATGCTAAAAACATGACAATTTTGCAGTTCAGTTCCTGTAAAAAGTGTATGTCTTTTCACTACATAAATAAGTTTTTTAAGTTACAGGGGCATGAAAATTATCCATAGTGCTAGTACTCAATGAGTCATCTGACACAAGGAAACAAATAGATAATACTTCCTTCAAATGTGGACTGTCTGTAGCCCTGAGATTTATGCCTTATTAGAGTGTAATCTAGTTTCAATTCCTCTAGCAGTAAGACTTCCAGATTCCTCGTTGGAAGAGTTGCCAGTATCTGAATGTACTCTATCTCATATTTCTGAATTGGATGTTTTGGGGCTCTGTCTTCCCTGGACACATCTAAAGCTATGGGCATTGATGGAATTGGTCCCAAAGTTCAAAACATTGTGCACTGGCACTTTACAAACTCCTCCATCACCTGTTCTTGCTAAGCCTCTCACAGCACTATCTGCCTCAAGATTGGCGAACTCACCCAGTTTAATCCGGTGATAAATCATCTGTCTGTAACTATTGACCGATTTCTCTCCTCTGCTCGGTTTCTAAAGTTCTGGAAAGGCTGATCTACAATAAAATCATCCCTTTTGTTTCTCCCTCGCAGTTTGGATTTCGTCCTAAGCATTCAACAATTCAACAGTTACTGGTTTTCCTCACTACCCTTCAGGACTATAATGCCTGTCCTCAAACTGTCAAGCTGATGTTGTTTACCTCGATTTTAAGAAAACCTTCGACAGTGTCCCACATAACGAACTTCTAGTAAAGCTGTGGTCTTTTGGAATCACTGACAACCTGTGGAAATGGTTCCAAGCCTATCTCTCCTGTCGATTGCACTCAATTGCTGTATTTCTGACCCCCTTCCAGTTATCTCAGGAGTATTATACCGCAAGGAAGTATTATGGGTCCTCTATTGTTCTTAATATTCATCAACGACTTTCGGTTGCTCTAAAACATTTGCTGATGATGCCAAGTGTCTAAAGAAAGTTTCCACTCCATCTGACTGTCTTTTACTCCAAAATGACCTCCTTTGCCTGTCTCTATGGAGCCATAAGTGGAACCTCCAGTTGAAAATGTTGTATATTATACACAGATTTAGTTCCAAATTTTCTTGCGTCGTCGTTGACTACACTATCAATAACACTGAAATCGTTCTTAACTGTCATCATGACCTTGGGATTTTATTGTCTAGCGACCTTAAATGGAATAACCATCTGAAGTTCATTGCCTCTCGAGCATACAAAACATTAGGCCTCATTCGGCGTTCATTTTCCTCAGGTCTTGATATAAGACTAAAAAGAACTTGTACATCCTAACTTTTCGTTCTCAATTGTCCTACGGTTCAAAGATTTGGAGGCCCCCATCTTATCAAGGATATTTATTATGTGCAACATAATATTATTCTGAACGAATATAAGTCAGATTACAAGCATCGCTTACTGCCACTTTGACTTCTCCCTCTTGTTATGGAACTTGAGCTGTATGACATTATGTTCTTCACCCGTTGCCTCAAGACCCCTGATCCCTCAAATACCTTTCCTCTGCAGTCTTATGTACATTTTTTAGAAGTCAATACCCGGTCTTCAACCCACCTGAAGCTGATGCATTCCCTCTGTAAATCCAATGTTACACGACACTTGTATTTCAACAGACTTCCACGGCTCTGGAACTCTCTTCCACCTATCAAAACCTTTTTCATCCTATTCCTACCATTCGGAATCAAATTCTTGAAGTATTTTGGTCACATTTTGAATCTCAATTCCTGAGTACGAATCCATTGTACATTTCACTATATTTGCCCATGTGCTGTGTGTGTTTGCTCATCAATAGCAACTAATTACTCAGCTACGTATACCACCTAGGTCAATACTTTGTTGGTGTTCCGTCAGTACATCTTACAAAGTCTGTATGCCTGTTCTTTTTTCCCTTTTCTTCATGCATTGTAAAGCTCAAATAATAATAATAATAATAATAATAATAGTGACTGGTATCCAGTCACTGTATCTTGAATTTAATCACCAGAGCAAAGATAAGCAATGCCCTATGGACAGATGACTGAGAGAGCTACGGTGTTTCACTAGCAGTGCTGCAGAAGTGTCTGTCCATGTCTAGTAAAGGTTCCCTCCTGATGTAGAAAGGTCAGAGATGCAATGTTTCTGTCTACTCGAGTCCGTTAGCTACCTGCACAACCACTGGCCTTACATCTGTTGAATTTTCAACCCCTTGAAGATCTCATGTGTGAGACCATGCTATTGTACTTCCATTGGTTTTTAGGTCGAAGCGTACTCCATCATACCACCTCTACTGTGTCTCATGACATGGTCTCTTATCCAGTTTTCTGAACAGTAGGGTGGTCTTTTTTCTCCCATACAGCCTAAGTATCCGAGCCATTATTAGACGGTATGTTGCACTCTTTGATACTGACTTCTCCTGTTCATTGTACCATGCAGTGATCACTTCCTAGCCACCTGAGGCGGATAGTAGATCCCACAAGTAATGGATGTGTGTCATAATGCTCTGAGACTCTGTTTTGCACAGATGTAATCTAAACAGATAACACCAACATGGGGTGATCCATATCACAAAAAACTATTAGTGTAGGTGAAACTTCAAGCTACAACAAAAGGGAAAATTAAAGTTACAACAATATTACAGGAGTTTGTTTTGTATAAAAAATAAAATATCATAACTGTAAAATTCTTGACTATATTATACTTATACATTAACCTATCTGCTCTAAATCCCTCTTACATGGAAAGCGACTACCATCGATTACACATTTCCTTTCTTCATAGTGGGCAATGAGTGCTCCCCAGTTTTCATCATATTGTAACAATGTCTTGTTGCCTGCAAAGGATGACATTTGCAGTTGGGAGCAACAAACATTGAAGGTATTACTTACCAATGATAATCAACCCATACTTGCTTCGTGTAATTCCTACATTCATTTCATGTGTGTCTGTTAGAAACCCTAGGTTCTCCAGCAGCCAAGAACGGTCAGGTTGTACGTAGTCTTCATTACTGATCTCATGGAGAGGTTGAGAGCGAACAGTAGACAGTATCACAATGCCATACTCATCACCTATTAATATTGATAATAGATGTTAGTAACCCACTACATCAACGTTAAGGTTGTACCTTGGCTCTCAGTTATGGTGATGATGGCCAGACTACTTAGCCCAGCATTGTTTGCTAGTTCTGTTAAACACTTCTTCTGAGCTTTATAAGGGGTTATTAGTGCTATCTCAGTCAGCTTTACGTTGTACACCTCTGTCAGGACTTGCACTATTTGTACCTGAAGAATAAAGATACTCAAATGCCTGATGAATATGCAATGGATTGTATCTTACTGCTTTCACTGCTTCATCAGGGTTTGATTTGGATAGTCCATCTAGTGACTCTTTTCCCACAAGGTCACAAAACATGATAGGCATGTTGAAACCATTTGGCCAGATGTTTAGTTTCGTCTCATGGTTACTGCGCTGCTTCACTGATGCATCAGTTATAAGTTTACCCTCATAAAAGTGAATCGATGGAAACCTGCATATTTCTTCATGCTGGAATGGAACAAGAGTTGGCTTCTACAGACTCACAGAACAAGTTATGGAGATAGTAATAATACTGGTGATAAAAATATTAAACTGGTTTAGCTGCAAGGTAGGAGAGGGAATGACTGAGGCTGGTTTACAAAACGTCTCATTGCTGTGTTGCACCACAAAGCGGTATATATGCAATGAGGCAAACAATACAATGACTGGAAGTTGAAAGCTAAAACTGTCTGGTACAAACTGTGCACCCCTTCCACCCATGTTGACCTTATGAACCATCAGAATTTCTATACAAGAAGCTTCTCTTTCTGACCTTACTACATTATTAAAATTGGTCAAACTTGCCCTAGGTACACTTTTAAAATAGCTTTTCTCTACCTTAAACCCCTTACCATGCGGTACTGGATTGTGAGAAGTTCCGTTTTCCTTGACTTTGCATATCTTTCAAACAATGATGTACTTAGCCCGTTTTCTCTGGCAGGCTTATACTCAATGACTGGCTGGAGTTGCTGATGGTCACCAAGTAAAATGACGTGTTCACATAATCTCATTGGTACAATAGTTTCTGGTTCATATGCCATTCCACTTTCATCAACAATACACTGCAGAACCCTTGTCTTTTTTTCTCTACTGGTTTGTGGACCCTGTCTAATAAGGCCTTGTCCAATTCTGCCACTGGCAGCTTCATTGCACGTGCACAGAACAATATCAAAGCGCGCATACATCACCATTGTCTCTAAATTTTCAGTAAGTTTTTTCCATTTGCTGTACATTACTGCACCAGCAATATGACCCTGCTTGTACTCGTCCGAAAACATTTTCTCCATTTGTTGCAGTTCAATTGATTCTTCATGCTGAAGATGACGGATTTTCCAATGAAGAGCATATTGTTGGGCCCATTCAGGGCAGTGGTAACCTGATTCTGAGGCATCAAAAGCTTCATTATTGCAGTAAGGTCCTGGAAAATCTATACGCTCCACAGCTTTTCCATAAACTCTCAGTATATTTATTTCCTTCGAAAGGCAATCCAGTGTTCCTATCAAATGAAAAACACTAAACACTTGAGCCATCAGTCTCTTAATAGCTACACATGAAAAAACAGCACTGTCAATTTTTTTATTCCGAGAACCTTTGGTGCATATGCAATGCTGGAGGGATGTAACTTACTCAAAACAACATCGACGGCTTTGTTGGTAGGAGCACTGTAAATTACACACTCATTAAAACCCCGATCCCTGTTGCTCATGGCCAGAGCATAGGCGATATGTGCACCTGTCTCACTTTTTCCTGTGCCTGACAAGATCGAAGAGCAATGGTATGAATATACACTTATTGGCATACACTCATGTGTGTACAACCATAAAGCTTTCCAACCATGCAATGGCTTAGAATTGGATGCAAGAGGAAAGTAAAGTTGCTGCTAATCTACATGTGCACTACGTATACACTTGGGATGACCCAGGTCTCTGTGTTTATTACTGCCTTCATGTCTTCACTCGTGGGTTATGGAGATTGAGAACAAAAGTTGCAATGTGTAATATCGGCAGGACTGCTATTATAGTCTTGATTCCACTACTTACGCAATAAAATTAATTTTATGACACACAAGCCATGAATGAAACCTTAATGTAGGGTGCTGCATACTGTCACTGGCAACTCACTCAGTACCTGGTGGACCTTGAATCAGTAGAAATCTTTGAGTAAGCGACCGCTTCAGTGCATTCCATTGATTATGATTTAGAAGCTTCTGACTTGACCATAAACGTCTTATCTTGGGATTATGGTCTATATGCTCACAATTCACAACTTGTGTCTTTGGTACTAAAATAGAATAATGGGTTTTATCATGACTATAATAGACATTGTTCAGATCAACTTACCTTTTTTGAGTCTGCTATCCTCCTTTCCTTTTGCAACTACCTTCAGCAGCTCACTTACTTGTGCTTTAGGGTTTATCAGACTTAAAAGCACTTTGTATACTCGTCTAAGAAAAGAAAAATCAGAATGTATACCCATAGTCCCAGAGAACAAGTAGGTAGGATTATACATGAAAGAGCTGTCCATGGGTGTAGTTGATTTGTTTGTTGTGTCTTTGCCTTTCTACGGCAGTTTTCACATGCATAACAGTTTGGAGTTGGGCGTCTTTAGTGGGTTAATTGCTCCTACATACTTAGTGAGAGTACTCTGTACCATAGCACAGTGGTTTGAGGTTTGTCTTTGTGTTGTATTGTGTTGTAGATTTGAACCCCTACCAGCTGAGTTGCCCTGGTAACTCTGTTGGTAGAGCGCTCACCTAGACCCCACGTTCGTTCGAATCCCACCTAGGGCAGCTCATCTTTTTTCCTTGGTCCTCGGTGTAGTTGATTTGCTTGTTGTGCTTTTTGCCTTTCTACCTTGTAGTTTTGACATGCAAAACATACAATTTTCATGCTGTTGATAAAATAGTATATACTCACCTGTAGGATTTACTCATGTAAATGATTTGTACTTCACATTCTTCTTTCTCGACATACGGCTTAATTTTCTCTGATACTAGAACATTTTCGCTGCCGCAACTTTGTAAACGAGCTCTCTCTCTTCCTTCATCTTCTTTTTCAATGTCAGTTATCACAAAGTGAAAAACTGCATGAATGTTCGAATTTCTTCTAGTGCCATAACGGACACATACCATATCCCCTACCCCAATCTTAAAGAATGGCTTTGCCCGGTCTATAATGGCAGATGGTAGAATAAGGTAGACTGGCCCCTTTGGTTCATAGTGACTGGCACCAATTTCTTTGGGAATAGTCAGTTTACCCTCCGTCCAGTCTAACTTAGCACCATAGATAATTGCTGTCTGATTATCTCTGACACTTCGTTGAGCAGCTTCTGCTAACAGCACCTTTTCCCACAGGCTCACATACTCATGTAAATCAACATAGGACTCTTTTGAAGCATTAGTGAGGTGTGAGTCTGAAAAACATTCAGCTGGATGGGCGTTATGTTGCAAGCAAATACGATAAAATGGTGTTATTTCTATCATTTGCAATGCAGGAGAAAGAGTACCTTCACGTGTAGACCAAGTCATCCACACCTTTATCAAGTCATATAGATCCATTCGACAGGTTATTGTACTTTTTACAACTGGTGAATCTTCCTGGTTTGAAAAAGGACTTGCTTGTTTGGAACTTTTAACCTCTAATGCACCCAGGATAACTTGCATTTGTGCCAAGTTCTCTTTACAAGGGTGCTGTATAAACTCCTTTACTTGCTTCCATTTAGCAGGAGACAATTCTGTTGCTGTAGGCGAAATCTTCACATTGTGTGTCATTTCCTGCAACATATCAGGTTTCTCTGATTGTTTGAAGAATGTCATAGTTGAAAATGGTACACTGTAGGCAGCTGTCCAATCGTGAGGGACTGCCTCCCCAACATTGAATGATATGCCTTCATAATCATATGGGAACGAAGAGTTTTCATCAAAAGAGATCAAAGTAACGTTCCATGAGTACAGTTGAGACTCTGATTCTATTGTTCTACATTGCAAGTTGCGGACTTTAAAGCGCTTATTCTTCACAGGTATTACTTTCAATTCCTTGTTTAAGAATGACATTTCAATCTCTACTTTATTATTACTTGCGACTACAGCTTCATATTGCTGACTAGACTGAGTATACTCATCTGCTAGCTTAAGAGCCTTCATCTTTTTCTCAAAACTCTTGGCATTTTGAGCTGCACCATTCAGAATATGGCACAGAAACTCCACTTCTTTGTGGCTGTATCCACATGATTGACTAATTAAAAATGATCTTAGCATTCTTTGAACAATAATATCTGCATATCTTCTTAATGGTGATGTAAAATGAGTATAAACGGGCAGGCAAAGGCCATTATGTAGATAAGATTCTCTTTCTGTGTCACTGGAGGTTGCTATATACTCAGCCTTTTGTTGTATTTGCCTAAAGCGCGTAGATGAAGCATTAAGCTGTGGAAAGCAGGAGTCATCAGTAAGAATATTGAGCAGGACAATTTCATTTCCTTCTTTGAGAGCGTGTTGGAGAGCATGCAATGTACTCAGAGGTATCACGAGACTCCTTGGTTGTGGTGGTAAATGCTGGAAATATTTTGAGATAGATTGCGAATATTGAGCAACATTGCAGTGGGCACTGCGAGCTGCTTCAAACTTTTCAGCATTAGGTGGAGCTTGCCTTCTAAGTAGTGCACAATGAGGTAGACCAGAGAGTATTTTTTCAGCTACATGTCTGTTTGCCCATATCATCATTTCCTCTACCAAGAGGTGCGTCTGCCAGCATTGCCGTTCTTTCCCATCATCCATTTCATAACTCTGTGCAGCTGAATCACCTAGCCTGTCTCTTCTCAGTTTCATTGCAATTTGGAACAGAATTTGTAAAGTTTTCTTGAGATTTGGCTGATCATTAATACTGTCATATTCTTCTACAGACTGGGAAAGATCACTTGGGTATTCTCTCCCGCCCATTATTGCCTGAGCTGTTGGGTAAGATAACTTGACACAAGACCTGACTTTTGATTCTTTGAGCTGTGGATCTTTGATCTCCACTGCACATTCTGTAATGATCACATTTGCTGATACAGTAATTACTTCGCAGATTTGATTCGGATTGAGTGATAGTTTCGCCCGTTTTTTCAAAGGGATAATATTCATTACTTTTTTCCCACCGTAAATAGATTGCCCTTTTGATGCTGCTCTTCTGTCTATTTCATCATTTAATGTAATTGCTTTGGTTGTATTCACTATGTGAACAGCTAAACAGTATGAATCAGGTTTCTTCCAAAGAGAAATTGCATCATCAAGATTTATAGCATCTTCAGGGTCAATGGTAAATGCCCTGGTGTCTATGCTGCTACATACAGGGCCAACCAGTCCTTTTGATTCAAATTGTGATTCGGTTTCTGAGCTTTCTGTTTCATCCTCATATTGCACATTGTGTTCAATCATTAGTAGTCTTTCAGCATGAAATGCCGAGCAGCCTTTTGGCACTGCATGAATAACAGCTCCAAGAGGGAGCCGATATTTTGGGTTCCATTGAAGTATTCTGATAACAAAAACCATGTCTTGTGCAAGTGAAAAGGGAATAACATTTTCTATCTCTGGTATGTTACCTTCAGTGAGAGAGGAAGGCTTAAAGACTACTACATCTTTTGATTGAAGCTCCAAATCAATCATATTCTTATCCTTCTTTTCAAGAAGGTCTCTGGACAATTTTGGAAGATTAAAAAAGAGTGGGTACTTTTTATCCAGGGGGTAAAAGAGGGTTGGATTGTAGAGGTGTGCTCTGCACAATATTGTTTGTTTGTGGCATCTTTTTACTACCCTTAAGACCCTGCCTTTGTTATCTGGGTACTGAAGGTCATTGAAGGTAGAAACCTCTACAATATCATTATGGAATGCACCCCTTATATTGCCTTTTCCTCGAATGTGTACGACGTTCTTAGTTGGGTCCAAGGGAATAGCCTCAGCCTTTGAAAAATACATCATGTTGAGCCTACAATTGTACACATTAGTTGCACCCTTATCTTCATCGTCATCATCTTTGTTGCCTTGCAGAGGCACTGTAGACTCATTAATTCGCCAGGCTAACCTACTTTTGACTGTAGAAAGTTTTAGCTTTGATCTCCGACACTCTGGAATCATTTGAAACTTCTTTTTATATGCATTTAAAATGCTGTCATTATCTCCGTGTAAAATATTATCCAAACAAAGTGTTTCGTTCCCTGAAAACACTTGCTGATGTAGGACCTCTGAAAAATGTGTCCTTTCATCTGCTTGAACATCATTTGGTAGGTAGAAAGACTTGCATTCAACGCAACGTTTTATGAATTCTTTCCAGCACATGAAACTATGATTGCTTGGATCAATTTCATGCATTCTTTTCTCTTTACGAAGAATTTGTAGAGGATTTCCCACAGCAACAACTAAATACTTGGCCCTGGTTAGAGCTGTATTGAACACATAGCGATTTATAATAGTTTTAGTCGTGTTGTTTGGAATTCCTCTTTCGTCTGTTGTTTCACATGTGCCCAGGAAAACTGCTGTAAATTCACAACCTAGGAGTGGTTACACATGAAACAATTGGAAGTACATTTGGTACAGAGATTCTTACCTTGAATTTCATATGTTTTCATCACATCTACAACCTTATCTCTTTCTCCAACTTCTGCACGTAGCTTCCTTGCAATTAGGTTTCTCTGCAAGGGTAAGGCTTCACTGAATATCTAATCACAACAGTTATGATCTATGTCACTAACCTGAGTTGCAGATGGTGTCATGATGCACACTGTTCCTGTGGAATCGTACCTTTCACCCCACTCCTCTGGCCAAGAATTGTAAACATACTTCGTAACTGACTTCACCAATGTGTCTGCTTCTTTCTCATCTGTACCAATCGCATTAGCTGTGTCTGTGTCCTCAATACTGGAGCAGACAAACACAAGTGGGAACGGAGCTAATGGATGTGCTTTGGCATCTGCAACGTTGCACTGCAGCGTGGACTTGTAGAAGAGAGCAGATGGAAGCATTAGGAGACCACTGTGAGATCTGTAGTTCTGGAGGAGGGAAAACACACATGACTTTTGTTCATCTGCACTGAAGTGGTTGTGAAGACGTTCTAGTAATGAAGTAGAGAGCCCATTTCTCCTTGCCTCTTCACCAAGCACTAACACATTTGGACCAACCTACAAGGTGTATAATTTAATAAGGTAAACAGGAAGTGTGTAAGTGCTTTTCATTACCTGACAATGATCTCCAGCCAGGACAATCTTGGTTTGAGCTCTAGCGTGCCGAAGTGGAATAATAGCCTCAGTTTCTCTTGTTTGGGCTGCTTCATCAATTAGTATGTGTGTGATATTATTTTTGATCCTCAAATGATGTGACAGACCAAGAGTAGAAACAATTATTTTGGGAGCACGTAATGAAACTGCTTTGACACTACAGTAGTAATGTCCATACTTCATTTTAATCCTGGAGTGATACTGGGATGTTTCAATACGCACAATGTTTATGTTGTGAAATTGCCGGTACTCTTCCTGAAGTAATTGGAAGTACTCTATGAATGTGTCTGCAGAGTGCTGATGATGAGTACATATCAGTATAATGTTTCTCTGATCTTGTTTTATCAATTCGTATGCAGCTCGAGCTAAAACACGTGTTTTCCCGGTTCCAAAAGGTCCAGCTATAATAAGTGGAGTAGAGCGCTGCTGAAGGATTCCAGCTAATGCTTGCATCTGCCCAGAGCTGTCAAGCTCTAAGATACACTTACCTATATTCATTCTCTGAGGAGAACTGCTTCCTGCTCTCCCACTGGGTAAGAGTTTCTGAATCACATCATTTGGAAGTGCTTCAAGGGCTTCATGTTGGCGATTAAAGTAAGAATGTTTGAGTTCGAATACCACATCACACTCAATTCTATTCCTAGTGGTGATCAATTTCAGGGGGGCATGCGCTTTGTGTGGAAATCCTACAGTTAACATTCTAGATGCCACAAAGTCTGCTTTAAATTTCGTTCCATTAATCGTAATTGTAGCTGCTTCCCCAGCTTGCTTTGCATATGCCAGTGCATCATCATTGCCGTCAACACTAGTGATTTCTCCATAGAAACTATATTTTGCAGACTCAAGAAATGTGGTGTTGTAGTACCTTTGGCTTCCAGGCTTTTGATTAAAAATCCGAATAAGATACCTTCCATTACACCTAAATGAGTAAACGTGCAGTGTGATTAAATGCTCAAGTACCTGTGCCTCAAGGGTTAGTTGTACTATGCATGCTTATTTGTTCAAATCATTACTCCTATAGTAGTACACACCAATTCTAATAACCACCGGCACTGGTTGAATGCCAGGTCAACAAACTTCATCAGGGAGTCATGCTGTTCTGTCTCTGCCTGATTGAAAGATACGTAGTACTCGAGGCCTGACTGGCATGACTTTAAATTACTTAGTGAAAAGCAATCTTTGCTACAAACACATCAGGGAAAAGAGGGGTTAGGTATTTGTTAAAAACATATGCACATTTTATTTGTCAAGCTACCTCCAATATACTAAATTTTTTTTATGAAGCAGGTTTTCGTACAAAAATACTTAGAAGAGAGATCACAAAGAACCCATTGTGTAAAGCTATTAACCAGAGAGAAAACTAAAACAACTGATTGACAAACAACACTACCAGTGATATAAATTATGAAAAGCACTGAAGTGCAAACCCTCGGCGCATTGTGATGCGCACGCGTGAGTAAACGCATGCGCTGTATCACTAATTGATGGGCTGGGTTTAGTTCTGGCTGTTACTCCTGGTCTCTAGCCATCTCGCGCAGAGTCTGACGCGGGCTAACTACACGCCCTGCGTTGCATCTTCTGGTGCCTCCGAGCATGCGGATCGATCAGACCACGGTAAGCCATCCCGTCCGTTGCGTATTTGCATATTGGCTTTTTCGTGCTCAAGCTTTTCAGAGAAAACCGCCTTTATTTTCTGACCTTCGTCGCCCGCCCGTTGGGTAGATGGTATCGTTTCTGGGACGAACAGACGTTCGAGGAGTGAGATGTAGAGTAACAGACAAACAGACAGACAGACCCAACTACTGTACCCTCGCTGCGCATGCGCGCCGAGGGTAACAAGCACAGATTGCAAACCTTCAGTCACTAGCTATATGCATTGCAACACCCATGTGCATGTGTTGGTTGGTTCTATCAATTGATGGGCTTGGCCATGCTGTCACTAGTGGTCTCTCCTAGCTTGCTTACTGAGAGTCTGACATACTGGTAGATAGCATGTGGAACTCAATACTCGTCCCTGTTGCAACCTCAGATGCTTCTACAGATGCACTGCAATTGGAGCAAGCCAGTGCTAAGTTGGATATCACTTGTTTTTCACGTAATAACTTTTACGAAAACTGCCTTTTTAAAACCCAGTGTATATAGTGATGAACCTGTTGGTATCGTTGTTTTCTAATTATTGCGTGGTGACAGAAAACATGGTAACAGGCAAAATCATGGCCAGGCAACAAACAATTCATACTGTAACCCTCACTGTGCCAAGGGTCAACTACTCTTGCACCCATACACTCTGGGTATGAGTACGAAACTAAAATGCAAACCCAATGTCACGAAGCTGCTGTGCAAACTAGTTCTCTGAAATCTGTTGGGGACACACAGTAACCAAAGTGTTTGGGCAGTGTTCATTGTTTTCTACAATGGCAGTGGCTGATTTTATGCAGGTACAAACCTCTCAGAAAGAATTGACATGTGCTCCTTTTCCTCCCAACAGAGCAAGTGATGGAATCTTTCTTGTAGTTTCTCCAGTGTAGGGCCCGTGAAATATCCGCTCATCCAATTTGTCCCCATATTGAAAGAAATATTTGTGTTTTCCACTGTCAACTCCTTCAACATCTTGCTGGGAAGACGTTAGTTGATCTTCTCTGTCTTTTGACACTCGCACATTTTTTGTTTCCTCAAGAGTCTGAAAAGAGTAATACATGGGAGAGTCAGTATATACATGAAGATATTTACATGAAAATTCCATGTATCAACATGTACAACAGGCATTAAATTGACCCTTGTTCCACACTACCAGATGAATTTTGGAAGCGGAGCGACGCAACTGCAGATATACAGCCTATGCAGCCGTTGGCACAGGGAGCATTATAGCTTGGTGGCTCTGTCGGATGTGATGTTGTGATGGCTGCACGCTGCGCCCGCACAGTTGTAAGAAAGGCAGTGTTTCCGCTCCTCGAGTGTTTTCTAAAGCGAGACGCTGCTTCCTGTGAGCTCTGTGTTCTGCTAGTCACCCCTTGGTGGATTAAGAATCACGTACACACTTACGGTATGTGTGTGCATCGATGGATAGGCGCAAATTGGAAAATCGGCCTGCTTGGCAATTACATGTGTGCCTAAGTTCCTTTCTTTATTCTCGTTTGACCTAGTGATGAGATACTTCTAAGTTCTAGCCAGTCTGAGAAAAACTGTTGGCGTTGGTTCTGAGTTGTGGGAGGTAATTGGCTCTTCGCTGTTCGAGTCTGTTCAAGGGATATCTGGTAGCTAAGAGGCTGAGTTTTATGGCCTAACTCGCTAGCGTTACTGTCCCCGTCTCAGGGTGACACCTGGAGACCACAGGTGTCCACCATGGGGCTGGGTAGTTAGGTGTCTGTGTGGTAAGGAGGCAGGCACTAAGCATAATTCTGGTATATCATGTCCGAGATAGCCCCATCTAGTTATAGATGTGGTCAGTGGCCCTAATGCTATGGTTGCTATATCTTATTGCTTCTGTTTGTCTGAGGTTAGGAGAGTGAGAGAGAGATGCAAAACTGCAACTAAGTTGGAAGTCACTCTCTATGAGGGAGAGCTGACGTTCTAATCTCATAGTGGGCAGCTGGATTCCCAGTCTCAGGCCGCTGACTTCAACTCCCATACACAGAGTGAGAGGGAACAGAATGCAAAACGAACTAAGTGGAGTCAATCTCTATGAGAGGAGAATCTGTGGAGAGCTGACAGTTGATAGTCATTTGGGCACTGGATTCCAGTCTCTCATGCCTGACTTCAACTCCCATACCCATTGGTTTTCACATCAACAGTATAAACACGTTTAGAAACTTCTCCATCTCATCAAATTCGTCACGCAGCAGTGGTAGGTTTTCATATCCAGCCAAACGAGACACAGGCCACCTCTGGCCGTTCATAATTGGAATGTGGTTGCAGTAGAAGTATAAACAATATGCATTGACCACAACCTGTACATACAACAACGCTACTAGGTAGTGAGGTAGTACGGTAACTACACAATGCCTGAGGATATTCTCAACTTTCCTACTGACTCTCTTAACCCAAGGAAAATCAGTCGTGTTTGTGCCATTCCCTCGTGTATGAAAGATTTTGGAACCTCACGTATAGATGTTGGAATCAGGGAAAATCAGCCTGACAGACTTATTGTCACATCTTGACGAACGGCAATGCAAGTGAGTTATCTAAAACATATAATAGAACCACACCTAGTGTCGAGATCGCAAGCAACGAAACCTGACGAAGGCTGGGCGAGGAAGGTTAGCGAGGTTTCGCGCGGTTTTAAATAGCCTTACTGAAGTCTTCTCTCAACAAAATTTTGTAGTAGGATATGTATGCAGACCAGCATCTGCGAGACCGCACAATTGTCCTGAAACATAAATGTTTTTGTCTGTGTCGCAAGGTCTCCCAAGTATATTATATTCTATGTTTGTAAAAAGACATACCAGTGTGGCTTGGGAGAAGGAAGGTGTGGTGACTGGCCAACTCGACTGACTTTCTTGCAGAGTGGTTTGTTGGTGTCGTCTAGGTTGTGTTGGAACTTGACCTCTGTCCAACTTCCTAGGGGTTCAGGTACGACTTTTCTTCTGTTGTGGATTTAACTTCCTGGTGTACTTGCTTGGCTGCTGGGGCACAGACAATGTCCCTGGTCTAAAAATAATTAATCAGCTAATGGTATACAAATAAATGAAAAATAATGTTCATACTATATTGGCTGATTTCTTTGAGACACCATCTACTGTGCTTTCTTTTCTGGTAGCTTTAGGAGCTGCTGCAATTCCTTTCTGTGGTGTACCTACATCCACACATAAAAATTACATGACTGGTTTTGGAGACGTTATGACAAATGTGGTTACTGAAAAAAACGTGGACAGTATTGATACACGTGCAACAATAAGTGGATCCAGAAATCCTGGGGTGTTCTGCAAAATCACTGTCAACATCTAAGAGTTGACCAGGCGCCTTAATTTCAGGAAAGAATAAGGGTTTACGAAAGTATGGCTCGTGCTCCTTAAGCAATTAATGTGCACCACCATTATTTTGTGCACGTTAATAGCTGACAGAGCAACCAGCCCCTCAGTTACTCACGTAGGTAACTAAGTCAGTGAAATAATTACCACAGATCGATGGTGTTTCTGGTTTCAGAAGAGAATCTACGGCAGTCATCAACCTTTCTTTCAGCCTTTTCTCGTGAGAGGGGTTAGCAACACACTCAGGTATAATAAGAGTGTTATGAAAGAGACACATCTTGAGGTACTGACTCCAACAGTGCCCACTCTTGTACTTTAGATGCATGTGCTTCTCAATCGACATGAGCAGATATGGGTTTCCAAAGCTTATGATCAGTGACCGGGCTCTTGTTATGGCAGTGTTGAAAACATACAGATCGCCAAGTACTCTTTGTTGGGTTACGTGTTTCTCCATTGTGATTGTAGGCTCACATGTACTGATATAGAGGACATCATACTCTTGACCTGCACAGAGTTTTAAGTGTGAGTTAGTAAGGTGCACTTAATAAGATTTATAGACCTAAGGGACCAGTGACACAGGCCTAAAATGTTACCGTACTAATTAGTCATACTATTACAACCAATGTCTTCATGCGAAACATTGTTATTGAGGCTTTAGCCATATTAAAGTCAACATGCCCCATCTTAACAAACCTTGAATATCATATGTTGGATGAACAACGCACATAGGTGGCATCTTATGCTTTAACTTCTTTTGTCTAAGTAGGGTCACCTGTTGTGGATAGTTAAATAACCATAGGTGATAGGCAGGAATCAGTTTACACAGAGTTCTGATGAGACGTAGGTACATTATGAACGAAACTCAGGCATAGTGACTGGAAACCAGTGCGTTAGGCACGTGGTTAGATTCTCAGAGAAAAGCTAGTCTTCCTCTGTCAGTTGTTGTCTGTATACACACAAGCACACAGCTTTTGCAATCCAATTTCTTGGTTAAAGTGGCATGTACATAGGTTGATGCATGATATATAAGATGTGTAAAAGTGTTCAAGCAACCAACAACAAGCTAGTTATAGGGATAGACGATATATGATATGATATTATTATGTAAAACAAACTTACATGAATTATGCTCATAAAAACATACCTGACCACGAGAAGAGCTCATTACAGAAACTCGTATCACTCCCCCCAGCTTGATATGCTCACTCAACATATCCATAAGAATATCTGCTTCAGCTTCATTTGTACAATCAGTACAAAACTGTTTTTGTTCGATGCTTGTGCAAACAAATACCATTGGGTACGAGAAACCATAGGGAATTTTGATGCTTGAAGTTAAAGCACTAGGCTTAACATATGACATGTAGAACATTTGCGAGGCAAAGCTTATTATGTCTTTATGACAGCGATAGTTTTCCATAAGATTGGCTTGCAGGTACCGTGTCTTTTCCCCAATAGCACTGTAATGATACTTTAGCCTTTCCAACAGAGATGTTTTAAGCCCATGCTTACGAGCTTCTTCTCCTAGAACCAGCAGTGAAGGACCAACCTGAATAATATAAAAATAAGTTATGTGCTATTACATACCTACATACCTTTTTGCTAGAGTTTGCAATGTCCTATTAGAGCTGAAGCGCTGATTTTTTCACTAGATTTGCCGGAGGTGTGCACGGACATCAAACGATCATTTCTTTCCTGCTGCAAGTCACTACAGTAGATCGCTTCCACACTTAACGACGCCATTTGCTGCTAACTCAGCAATGAGCATGCACCAAGCAGGGGGGCGTTGTCCTGATGCCACGTGTGCACGTGCCGGACAGTAGCCAGTGCCTTCAAGGTAGTAACTATCGGGAAGCGTACAACTAGCTAACCTGTGAAACCACAACTGTGCACTGTGTATAAAGATGGCAAAACCTAATTACACCTTGTACTGGACACTATTACACTGTCATCTAAGTATTATGTCTATACTGCCTCCGGCTTCAGGCATAGGCAGCCCATTAGCTATTGCTTGTGTACAATGCTAGACCTTCAGTGTTTTAGTGTCCCTGCCTAGGTATACCCAACTACATGTCACTACAAATGCTAGCGTGCTTTCACTTTGCCATGCAGTCACAATTTCTTCATTGCCAACCTCTCAACAAAGAAAATGCTGTGCTGTCATAGCTGTTCATTAAAAATAGTGGAAACAAGTGGAAAAAATCATTCCAAGGGGATATAGGAATGGCTTGAAGCACCAGAATCATTATATACACAGCAAAGATACACAAAAGTGCATGATAATAGTGGAAACAAGTGGACAATCATCAAGGGGAATAGGGATAGCTTGAGCACAGAATCCTATATACACATCAAAGTACCAAAAAGTGCATACACATCCCTATTATTCTTTTGTTTCATAGGCAAGGTATCCGACAAGGATATAGGAATGGTGTCATGTAGTTTTTTTTGTGTATCTTTGCTGTGTAATGACCCTTGTTTCTTCCTTTTTGGTGCTTCAAGCCATCCCTATATTCCCCTTCATTTTCATTTTGCCAATTGTATAAGTTCACAAGAGTGCACTTACTTGACGTGGATCCCCTGCCATGATTATCTTTGTGTCCTGTCTGCCAGACAGAGTGGTGCAACAGCTTCAGGTTCACGTGCTTGGGCTCCCTCATCAATCAGTATGTGAGTTAAAAATCCCGAAGGAATTACATCTTTCAATTGAAATGAGGTCAAAAATGTAGTTATTATTACTACCTTCCTTTCCGTAACCACACTCATCCACTATCTGCTTAAAGGTGGACACTGTTATTGTGCATCGATCGAATATTTTATTTTTAGGGATATAGCTATTGGGTACAATCCGTATGACTTTAGCATTGAGTGGATGTCTCCTATGCTCCATCAATGGTAAGAAGTAAGTCAGAACTGTATCTGCGGTGGCTTGATGGTGAGCACAAATAAGTATTCTAGCGGAAGACTGCATCACATCTGCTTCAGCTATAAAACAATAGGCAACTGACGCCAAAAAGCAGGTTTTCCCAGTTCCAAGGCACCTGATATTAGAACCGGGGGTGAACCTGACTTACAGGTTAGAGCTACCTGATATGATGATTGCTTCTCAGGTGATATTGCATCAAGATGCAAAATACTCAAATATTCTCTTGGGACATAATGTAGGGCTCTAATACCCTCTGCTCTTACTCCCCTGTCAAAATCCTGCGGTTGGGGCATAAGCCTTCTCACCACCACATCAGAAAGCCCACTCAGCACGCTATGCAGACTATCAAAGTAAGAATGTTTACTTCAAATTGAGCCTCAATCTCTGTAAGGCAATGAGGTGGCCCTAAAGTGGTTATCCATTGATATGTACACTCTGTTTTCTGTATAAGCATAGCTATTATCTCTTGAACATCTGCTCTCACTTCCATTTGCCCGTGAACCAGATATACAGCTTCACTTGCTTGTGTGGCATAGGCTACAATATCGCCATCTTTGACATGGAGAAACCCAAAGTTTTGCAAGCATCTGTTCATATATGGTAATGGGGTAGGTTCCATCACACCTGCATGCATGACATAATTGGTACAGGCTTATAGTGTAAAGTCAAGTTGGTTTGCATAATTAGGTAACCGACAGAAAGTAGTTAACTCATATCTCTGGCCTGTCAAAAGTATCTGTCCAACGTTTCGACACCTATTCAGGAAAGAACATCAGATAGCCGTCTTCACGGGGGATAGTGAGAGGTCTGCACTAGCAGAGCATGCCTTAAGACTGGACATGGAACAATGCCACTGTACTGCCATCATGCCAGCTCTTGGTCCAACGCCTGCTTTTAGAGTCCTGGTATGTACAAAGCCAACAAAGTGGCCTTAACAGAGAGTAGGGACCACTGCCATCTCTGTACAAGACTCTGAATGGCAATCACTGAGTTGGCATTAATCAATTTCACAATATCGGTAGCTACATTCCCGTTTTTCTAGATTACTAGTCACCAGTCACTGTGCACTTCATTCCCTGAAGATGACACCTGAATAGGTGTCGAAACCTTGGACAGAATAGCTTTTGACAGGCCAGAGATATGAGTCAATAATTTTTATTGTCCTGATTAACGAGGTGTCCTCATTTGAGGGGGTTGATATTTTTACTGATAATGATATATGTAGTTGCATATGAAGACATTATACATATTAAACGATCATGAAGTAAAGAATTCCAACAGCGAAGATTGCCTTGATGATTTAGTAAGGTTCAGAGAGTGTAGTTTAGTGAGTGAACCTGTCAAAGACATAGTTTCTGTTGATTCGCAAGTATATCCTCTGCATTCCAAGAACTGACGCCAGATGGACATCTTCAAGGCATGCGATCGCCCCAGGTAAGTTGTGAAGTTTTGTGCATGGCAAGTCAGTAGATTCTTCCTCCGACTCTCAAAATATCTTGAAGTATTTCGGGTAGTCTCTCATTGCCTTCTCAGCTACCATCCAAGGCTCGGCTGAACCTGCTGCCTGTGTCCAGTCACCGCTTGAAATATGGAGGATCAGTGGCTGAGACGAGGTGCAGGAGCTGCACTGGACACATTGAGACACAGGAGCACTGCCTCAGTGTGTGCCAGGCCTGCATGCCAGCAATGAAGAGCCGTCACGACAAGGTCATGGGACGCCTAGTCGAAGCCATCCCTGACTCCCTGGGGACAAAGTTCCTCGATCAGATGGTACAGGATTTCCCTGGACTGCTCAGGCCGGACATTGTTATCCTAAATGAGGAGCAAAAGAAGGCCTTTCTGATCGACGTTACTCGCCCATGTGAGCGCCCTGAAAACATGGAGGCGACAAGAAGGCGCATACAGGACAAGTACGCATGTCTTGAGAGCAAAGGCTATCAAACAAGCTTAGACGCCTTTGTCGTGGGGTCGCTGGGGACATGGGATCCAGAAAACGATCACCTTCTCTCTACTTTGGGGATCGGTCAGAAGTACGGAGCCCTGTTCAAAAAAACTCTGTTGCCGTGACGCCATCACCGGCAGTTACGAGGTGTGGGCCACCTGTTGTAGGCGGCAGCAGCTCCAGCAGAGTACAGGCTAAATCCATTTACACCAGTCTTAACTCTAGTGATGTGTTTTGTCCCCTCATGGCCTCTCACTCACAAGCCACCTGTCGAAAGATACACATTTGATACTACTGAAACAAGGCATCATTGAGGTAAGCATAATTATTCAGAGGTTCGATATCTCTTACGTGCTTGACACAACCACTGCTAGCATTCGACTCGTAGAGCTCTTTAACCACCTTCTTGTTCTTCAGAATTGTGCTGACTTGAGTTTTACCGCATTCACACCTATTTTTGCCTCTCTCTCCGACATTTTGAACACCTTGTACCTCATTTTCAGTGAAGTAAACCGCGATGGGCTGGAGGTGCCTTGCATTTATCGTTTGTATGGGCCTAAGACTTACGTGGAGAGAGCCAGGACTATGCTCAGTGGTGATCAAAGCCGAGTGCAATCCTCTGGAGTGTCTGGACCGTCACAAAGCTGCTTCGTTACTATTAACCGTTCTGGTTCACTGTTATTCAGTATGGGAGTATTTGATTTCGTGCATAAAACTTCGTCCGCAGGGCTTCCGTATTTCAGGGGTCGAATTATACAGCTGTAATAGGCAATGCGTCCCTATGCAAAGCGTCCTAAAACAAGGTGTCAGCATTTCAGAGCTTCGGATTATCGAGGTACCACTGTAAACATGCCCAGCCCATATCAATTAGCGGCATCGCGCATGCGCAGTTCGCCTACGGTTTGCACTTTAGTGCTTTCCAGTACATAATTTTACATGTACTGAAAAGGCAGATTGAAGTTCTACTCGAACTCGAAGAGAACTCATTGTATTGAAGTTAATACAGTAGACCACCCAGGAAAACTGGCCGCCTAGGTCATAATGGTCTACCCTCTACTTTTTACCTGGCCTATAAAGAGATGCAGAAAGAAATATGCTTCACTGACTGTTAAAGATATTGATAGGTTATGCTGATGTAAACATAGAAAGTGTTGGTATTATCCCGTCAAAATTGTAGATTTGTGATGCATTTAGGCAATGTTCATAGAACACACGACAGGTGGAAAAAGAGAAACAGCCAACTTTTGTCCAGAATCGAACTCAGGTGTGGTGACTGGAAGTCCAGTACCCTAATAGAAGATTTCAGCTCTTTCCTTGCTCATCTGCACAATCCTATCA